CAGATATGGGATTCCTGGACCGTAGCCGGCTTCGAAGAAGCCCAGGAAGAAGCGCGCGCACATCATCTCGGAGAAGGAGAAGGTAGCGGCCTGGCAGGTAGCTACGATGCCCCAGCCGACGACGCAGAAGGCGGCCCACATGTGTGGTGGGATGACCTTCCACATCAGGGCAAACCATTCGAAGACGATGTAGGAGATGTAGAAGATGGTCAGGAGCCACTGGTAGTTGGGGGAGGAGAGATGGAGGTCTTTTTCCATTCCTGCAATCTTGGCATTTCTAGAGAGCGGTCAGGGGGTTTTCGCAGGGGGAATTGATGATACTCACCCAATGTTCGAACGGTCGAGGTACGCCAGGAGATCTGGGAAGAGCATTAGCAGGCAGCTCCCCACGCGGTGCAGCACTCCATACAGAGACCCATAACCAGAGGGACGAGCCTCATGTCCAACTTGCGCACCACTCTCCTCTCCATTTCCGGGGTCACGAGAAAGTAGGCTGGTGCGGGTCCACCATTGCCATCCTCAACCTGGGTGACGGTTTGCTTCTCGGGGTCCAGATTGGATGTGGTGTTGACTGCGGCAGGGTTGTCTGTCGTAGAAGGCGTCTTCTCGTCGGATGCTGGAGAAGCCATGATGCAGCTGCCGTTGCAGTCGCGAGAGAAGAGTCAACGGGGTGAAAATGGCAAGGCGGAATACGACCAGACGATATAAGGGAGAAAGGAGAGATAAAGAGGGAAAACATGAGGAAAAGAGGAAAAGAAAAGAAAAGAAGACAGCGGCTCTCTCACCGCATCTAGAAGCCCGAGATCTTAGGGCTCAGGGCCATCCAAACCAGTGAGATTGGCGGGGGGACACACGAGGAGTGACACACGAGGAGCTCACGAGGAGCCCACGAGGAGCAGATATCCCACTTCCCACAGCGAATTTCCCCTCATTTTCCCGCCTTCTCGGCCTCTTTTTCCCCAAACCCCGGGCGGAGCGGAGTTGACAGGCTGACGGGGCCTTTCCCCGCATCTTCCCCGGCCAGGGTCACGTGTCCATTGGATGGAATCAGTTCCCTTCCTTTACTTTGCCTTATGTGTTTGACGTGCATATGGCACAGCAGTTGGCAGCAGACAGTAGATCGATACCTGAGGTATCCAGGGTTCCGGCTAAATGTGCGTGACGAGGCATAGCAAAGGGACCCTGCGTTGGAACTGCAGCGCCAGCGAGTCAGGCAAGACGCAGGGCAGCAGAGGACAACTGTAAATAGCGCAAACATTCAATAGATGCAATCAATAGATAGATTCGCAGGAAAGAGAGGGTCCAAGGACGAACCATAGGAACAAAGCACAAGAACAAAGCATAAGACAGAACTATGGGAATTGGAAGTCCCTTTATACTTCCTTAGAGTCGATGGGTCGTCCCGGCGAAACGCGCCTGTCGGAGCGAAGGACCCTTCCCCGTGGAGAGGCCTCGTCAGATGGTTGGCAAGTAACATCCTCAGGCCATCAGGCAGAACATCTGAACCCCTGATGACGAGGCCTTCGTAAGTCCGGATTAATCGTCGTATTTACAGCCGAAGCGAAGAGAGGATTACGAGAGAATACTCCGGACTCCGACATCGTCCTGCAGCATTCGATTACATAATAATGCATGTGTATAAAAGACCCTCGTATAAAAAGGCGTCCGCCCCGCTCCACTGCCGGAAACGCGGGATCAGGAATTGTCCCAAGAGCACGACGCGTGGCGGCGCCGTGCAGCCTCCTATTGGCCGGGCGGGGGCGCGGAAAGGCCAGGGCGGACAGGGTCTCCGGTCTGCGTCTGTCATCCAGAACCCCGATGACGTTGTTTCTTCCCAGCGGTTCTCACTTCGTTTCCAGCTATTTCCAGCCATTCGCAGCTATTTTCAGCTATTTTCAGGCACAACGCGGCGGCTGTGGCTTCTAGAAAAGCTTATGTCTCCACTCTGCTTTTTTTTCGTCTCGTCTTTTTTCTCTTTGTCCCTCAACCAAGGCCATGGCACCATCCCGACCTCCAAGGGTCTGTTTCTGTTTCTCAAGAGCAGGAAACACGAACGGGTGCAGAGGAATGGAATGCCATCTTTCATCATCCCCTTGTGTCTGCAGCAGCACAGTCCGAGACAGCCTGAGCTCTGCCTCTCTCTCTCCCCCCCCCCGCGATCGAAGAGCCTTCTGACGTGCTGCTGCGAGCATTGCTGCTTCTGCTTCTCCTCGGCAACGAACCAAAAGTGCCGGAAAGCACCAGGAACGAACGTGTTCGACGGTAGGGATTATTGGTCTCTCTCATTATTCACGTCTCTCTCTCTCTCTCCCTCTCTCACTCACACTCACACTTCCCTCTCCTCGCTTCCTCTCCTTTTCCCTCCTTTCACCTCTCCTCCTTTCCCTCCTCCCACCTCTCCTCTCTCTCCTCCCACCTCTTCCCTCTCTCTCCTCCATCAAAGGAGCCGCCAAGACAAGACGAGAACGGACTTGGTTTCCTCTCCCTCCCTCCCTCTCTACCGTCACCTCCCGCCGCCTCCCCGTCGTTGATCCCGTCTGATCGACAGCACATCCAAATCTATCCACGTACCTCACCACGCAGCTCTCTGCTGTCGTCCAATCCTTTGACTCCGCCAATCGAGATCAAGTCCCTCGCCGAGAGAAACAGAAACCAAGAACCCTGCCCGCCTATCCACACGCGGCCTCTTCACTCGTTCAACTCTCCATTTTTTTTTTCTGCCAACTAGCAACCAACCCGGCCACATCTCTCTGTACGAACTGCCCACTGTCATTCCAACCATACGAACTCTCCTGCCCATAGATCTCGCCGCCGCCAGAGCCACCACTGCTGGCACCGGCTCGCCCTCCCTCAGCAGCATTGCTCTGCTCCCCCCACAACGCCCATTCCCCTTCATCCTGGCCATGCCACAATCTCCTGCGATCTTCAACCAAGTAGGTCCAATGGTCCAACGGCCCAACATGATGTCACTTGAACGTGCCGACTTGAATGGCCTGTGCTGACCCTTCTCTTCTTTCCCCCCCGCAGCTAGCAGCTCCCCTCGGTCGAGTATTCGCCCTCCAAGATGGCCGTGAACAAAAGTAAGTCTCCTCTCCCGGATCCTTCCTCTGGTCCAGGTCTCGACGCTCCTCTCTCGACCCCCTCCAGAAGGTCGTCGCTCCGAGAGACAGAGGGTGAACGGGTGGCCCGAATGGCAGTTGCCAACCACCCGCCTCTGAGAAACCGCTCTCGCCTGCAACGATTCTCTTCGTTATTCTTTCCCTGCAGAGGTACAACAATTTCTAAAGCCCAGCAAGATGATTCGAATCACGAGCAAGGCGCGCGGAAGCCGCCCCCAGAACTCCTCCGAGAAGTATCCCCGAATCTAGCACCACCAGGTCCCCCTCCTCCAGCTTCCGCCGGCGCCGCCCCGTTATTGCCTCCCCTTAAGATCTCGAAGATACTACGCAAGTCGCAATCGTCCAATTCACTGCTGGCTCGGGCGCGGCCAACATCCCCAGCTACATCGGCGTTTCCAGGACATGGCCGTGTCGTCTCGTCCGCCGTGGACAGCCGACCGGCTGCATCATATCTGGGGGCGGATACTTTCGATAACTTGGTGAAGAAGCGAAGGAGTTGGATGCCAGGGTCAAGATCTGCGTCGCGCCATGCTTCGCGGGACTTCGACCCTCCCAAAAATGCGGTTGCCTGGGTCGACACAGGAAAGGACAAGCTCGACTACTCTCTCGGCTTCCTGCAAAATGGAGAGAGGGTGATGATTCCTGCTTCTTGCCCGTGTGGATGTGATGCTGACCTCCCCTCAGGTACCAGAACTCTGGGATGAGAGGGCCGATGTGCTGGTATATCTCTTTCCCCGAGCGACCGGACGCGCCCCATCATTCAAGATACCTTCCCTCGTTCTTGCATCGTCCCGACAGTTCACCTACATGATGTACGGGGATAGATACACCAACGGCAGCGAGAGGAGTCCAACTCTCGACGGGAGAGGAACCCTTGTAGCTGAGGACGCTACTCCTCGTAGTCCGTCACTCTATGCCCCCGGAACACCAACCGACACATCCAACTCGAACGAGTCTGTCACGTTCTTCGGAGACTTGACAAAAGAGTACTATCACCTCTATGTCCCGACTTCTGCGACGGTGGTCGACCCTAATCTTTCTCCACAAGACGTCCAATCGCTCGTTGATATCCGAAACCTGTTCGCGTTCTTGGTCGGCAAGCCGCTGGTCGCGACCCGAGCATGTCCCAGCCTCCTCAAAATCTTTTTGGCCATCTCTGCATTGCTCAAGAAGTTTGAGTTCACAAACTTCGGCGGCTCCACATATGGAGAGGCGGCTGCTGCTAGCTTTAGCTTTTTTGTCGATGACCTTAAACTGGCTGATGTCCGTGACAACCGGGAAAAGACCGTCGAGGCAATAATTCTAGGGGAAGCCATGCGCTCTTCTGAGCTCTATACCGAGGCCTATACACATGCGATCGGAAATTATCCTCTGGTGAAGAGTGTAGACCCAGGACTCTTTGGTCAAGTTTCCAAAATTACTCGAACCCGCCTAGAACGAGCTTATATTGATCTCAAAGCACGGCAGGCGTCTGCTCATATGAGACTGGCAAACTTTGAGTTTCCCTCTCTCTTCTCAGGCATTGCTGCGTCTACATCAAGTGAAGAATCCAAGTACGTCCGTTTTAAGAAATGGAAGAGCGAATATTTCTCAATGCGCAAGCGAATGCTCTCCTACTACAAGGACCTCCATGGACAGTGGCCACCGAAGAGTAGCAGTAGGAAGAATCCTTCCGTGGAGGGCGGGCTGAGTCGATTGGTTTTGAAGGGCCTTTATGCCGATATGTGCGACCTTTACGATCTTTTGGTTGATCGCGAGTCTCTGACTACTCGGTCCATGGGATCGGCAACCAACGCGGACTCGGATGGCAAAACATCAGACAATCCGGATATATTAGCCATTGACCCCTCATCTGCAGCCCTCAGAACACTCTTGGCCGAATTCGACCGCGCTTCCCCACCAGTCGTCCCTCCGATCCCGTTCGATCTCCCCAAAATCCCGACTATGACAGCTGTCGATCCTAAATACCCTACTCTGGGACCAAAAGACCAGCATCAGCTCTCTACCCGCAAACTCAAGCGTGACGAGACGGCTCGCATCCTCACGCAAAGTCACAACACCGGCGATGGTGCTGATTCCACCACACCTTTCCTCAAGATGTACAAGGAATTTGAAGAGAAAGAGTCGCACAATAGGAATTGCCTAGAACTCACTGACGTGCGTTATGGACACTGGATCTTCCTTTATTCCGTCATCCAGTCTCTACCCCTGCTCACAATGGACGCCCCTGGCTTGCAATACACGGACGGAGTCGAGTATTTCCTGTGTGAGCCGTCGTTGAGAACCCTGCCATGGATCGAAGAAGGTCCCTCGATCGAGAATGCATGGTACGTCAACAAGGTGAGCGGTCAGACGGTCTCAATGCCCCAGTTCGCAGTCGATCATGGCGTAGAGGGTACTTTCAGAAGAAGCCATTGTTGGGCCATGGCCGAGAAATGGCTGCAGAGCAGCGATCTATCGATTAATATCCCAGAATCTGGTGAGGATCAGATCCCTCCAGAGCCATTATCCCCACTGGCTCCGCCGCCTGGCTTTGGCGAAGGAGAATTTGGGCCACGACCCATTTCTCGAGCAGGTAGCGCAGATGGCAACCTTCCACTCAGAACCCGAGGGGACGCATCTGACGAGCGCCGAAGCCGCAGTCGAATGTCGCAACGAAATAGCATAGCATTTCTGGAACGACTTCCCAATCCAGCAGGGTTTGATCCTAGTCGGCGGGTTAGTCGGACGATGACGCCGGATGGAGCTAGGAGTCTGGTAGGATCGAGAACCAGCAGCCCCATTGGAATGGCCATTGGTGGAGAAGGTCGACGGGGGTCGAGCAACCTCAGTGTGCCACCGACCCCGAGACCCGGTACGGCCGGAGGCGGGGCGAGGACGTTTGATGAAATCTTACAGGACGTGCCTCAGAAGGAACCGAAGACGGACAAGAAGAAGAAGTGGTCAAAGTAAGCATGGGAGGCGGAGTCGGATAGGGGTGGGCGGCATAGGATCTGTTAAAAGTAAAAACTAAAAAGTAATCTGTACGAGTAATAAGCATACGACGGGGTCACGAAGTATGTGCCCGTCGGCACGATGGTACGAATAATATACGAGTCACAATGATGGTTGATGTTTGAACGTGTGTAACTTCTGTAACTTTTGTAAAGTACCTTAAGTATATGGGATTGGAGCTACTCCTTCTAGGCGCACGTACCAGATATTTTACAATTGATCCTTTACAACATGCAGCACAGCCAGCAAACCACCAAATCACTAAAAACGTAAACAATAAAAGCATCCATGAGGCTCTTCTTCTGCTACTTTCTTTCTTTCTTTCTTATCTATATTTATTTATTCTCTATGTATGTACCTATATTACTGTATGTATGTATGTATGTATGGGCAAAAAAAAAGTTCCCAAGGAAGGAAGTATAATAGATGCCGCCTGCCTGCCGCCTTTACGCCGTTTTTATTTCTCTACATGAATGAGGTGAGGTGAGGTGTTTGTTTAAGAGGAGAGAGAGAGAGGGATCTCGGGTGTTACGCCTTCCTGTCTGTCTGCCTGCCGGACGCCGAATATGTATAAGCCATGAAAAGAAAATAAATGAATATGAACATGAAAAGAAGGGAGGAGAGATAGAAAACCATCATCAATCACTCTCACTATTATAACATGGTATTCCCATCCCATGCTGAAAACAGCCATGAATCCGGCATATCTAGATTCGCGCCGATATCCGGCATCAGGAAATCAAATCCGAAATCGTCACCGAGACTGGGGGGACTCTCGTTATCCAGGGATGGCGGCGCTGCTTGTTGTTGTTGTGATTGTTGTTGTTGCTGTTGTTCCCGATGCGGTGGTTCCTGGTCCAAGGGCGGGTGGTTCTTGGTGCGTGCGCGCAACAGCTCGAGACAGAACTGGGCGCTGCGGGTGGCGGCTTCAGCGATGCAGCGCTCGGGCGGGGCGCCGGTGGTCAGGGCGTCGACCTGGCCGGCGGCGGCGCTGAGGAAGAGGTGGCCCTTGACGTTGTTCTCGCCCATGCGGATGCGGGCTGCGGCGAGGTCGATCATGGCGTGCAGGGCCTGGTACTGCGGAGCGCGGGCGGCGCGGCTGGCGGCCGAGGGCGGCAGGCCTGACGCGGCGTCCTCCTCGAGCTGGTGGATGAGCTCGATGATGATGATGATGGCGGCGTCCACGATGACTTCTTTGAAGAAGCCGCCGCCGACCGTCTTGAGGCGCGTGTAGTCATCGACGACGTGCGGCGGGTGGTCGGCGGGCAGGTCTTCGGCGCCCGAGTGGAAGAAGATGACGAGCGCTGCGTCGACGCAGACTTTGCGGGAGAAGTAGTAGCGCGGGTCCGACTGCGACCGGACGGCGAAGGGCCGGTGCACGTGGATCAGGAAGCGCCGGACGAGGATGTCGAGGAGGTTGCGTTGCAGCGCCGTCGGCCGCGGGAGGGAGGCTGGGTATGATTTCATGAGCCGGTTGGCGTTGTTGCACGCCTTGGTGATGTCCTGCCCGTAGCGGATAACCTCGTCGTATGAGGGCTCGGAACGGAAGTTATTGATCAGCTGCGAGATCTCGAGTCGCGTCTTCAGCGATTTGAGGAGCTCGATCTGGACCGACGTCCGCGTGTAGACGTGCTCGGGTTTGGGGGTTGGGGGGAGGGCTGTGTGCTCGTCCAGATCCTCGTCGTCGATGTTGGATGGTGGCTCGGTGTCAAAGTCCTGGACCGTGATCAGGGGTGGCATCCCAGCATCGAAAGACGTCTGCACGGTCATCTCCAGCACCGTGGCCCAGATCCTCCTCCGCATCTCCGCCTCGAAGATCGACATCTTCGGGAAGTATTTTGGGTCTCGATGGAAACCCATGGAGAATGCTGTTCGGAGAAGGTTCCCAGATGCGGTCCAGATCAAGTCGCCACCAACAGCATTGGTTTGGCGTGCCAGGAGGAGGAGGCAATGTATTTGGATTCCCGAGATATTCAGCCGGGCCTTCTCGAAGGGCGCCGCGACCCATGACTGAGCAGAATATACCCATTGCTGAGCCATGCTGCGCAACTCCTCGTTGCCATCCCCTTGATAGAAACACGTCCCGATGGCCATGACGAGTACCAGTTTCACGGCTAATGAGGTGCTGGCTCCCTGAGGGTCATCCCAATATCCAGCGTACTCTCGCTTGAAGGACGGGATGTGTACAATGCGGTACGCGGATTCACAAGTGCGCAGGTAGAGGTTGACCAGCTCATCTGCCATCTCTCGCGCAGGAATGTAATCCTTAAAGTTCGGATTCATGTGCCATTTGATGGGACGTTCTGCTTTAGCCGCTCTCGCCATGCTCTTGCATTTCTCAAGAGCCTCGCGAATCTCCCCAAGTCCAGATTTGACAGTAGGGTTGCCATCCGCATCCTTTAAAGTAAAGAATTTTGGGAACTATGACTGTCAACTTGGAAGTCTAACACTGCTAGACACATTGACATACCTGATGGAAGGAATGCATCCAGTGGCTCTGCCCATAGAATCGGGTCTTACAAAGATTGCCTCTCAGATCTTGAATGGGCGTCTTATCGCCGTGCTTGAAAGTCTTGGTCCGCAGAATATTGCGGCTGTCTCCGTCCTGAACTATAACGTCTTCGAAAGTTGAGAAACTGATGCCCATGAATGTTATGTTCTCGTCGCCCTCCTTTCTGGAGGATGCAGCATTGCCCTGCGCCGGCTCTGGCCTCCTGACCCGATCGACGAGGTTCTGGACATTTTTGTCAGAGAAACTGTTCTCCGTGCCACCACGAGGAGAGGAGTCCCATGAGTCTGTCCCCGACTGAGAGACATGTACCACGTCTGGAACCCTTTGGGACCAGGAAGCGCCTGCTTCGAGGCGAGGGGTCGGGATGCCGGGAGACGTGTCTGAGAGCTCTGCTAGAGGTCCAGGACTGCCCAGGTTCGAAGAAGCCCTGATAGAAGAGTGTCGATTAGCAGCAACGGAATGGTTACCTGGATATGTACACACGGCGTTTTTGGATTGGGCGCAATGGTTACAAGGCAGATTACGATCGCATTTGATTTTCCGCCGTCTGCATTCCGTGCACGACAAGGCTGGCCGCCGCCTCCTCCGCGGAGGGACGTTAGCCTCCGCCGCGGGGCGTCCGAACATTCTCCTCCGCTGAGAGACGAGGAGCGGAGGTTACGCTGGACACAAAAGAATTGTCCGTCCGGGGATATAACGACGCTCTGGTGTAGCCCGGTCACGAACAATATAATTGAGCTGATGTAGAGGGAAAAAACGAGGTCAAGGCCGTCGGCCTTAACGGCATATTCTTCTGACGTGAATATGCCCCGCACCAATGAGCGATGGGCCTTATGTCCGTCGTAGGAAGATGGCCAGGGTAAAGCGGCGAGGCTTATATCCGCACCCCCTGAATTGTCCGATATTCTACGTGACAAGGCTGACAGGGCTGCCTAAACGAGTGCACATATAGTAGCCATAAGACGACCATGAGATGCCAGCTGCTGCATCAGCACATCTGACACTCCTCTATACCATACCATCAAGATGTCTTCAAGCGACACCGAAAAGCCCCCTGTGGCCTACGAACCTACCGCCCAAAAAGCAGTCGACGATGATCGACCACTCGAAGAGAACGCGCTGGAAGACGGTTCGGTCAAGGAGCCATCCAACGAGAATTCCTTTCCAGAAGGAGGAACACGGGGGTGGGCAGTGGCAATTGCCTGTGCTATGGTCCTGTTCTGCACTTTTGGCTATGCCAATGCCTTTGGGTAAGCTCCTATCTTGAGGTGAATTTTGAGGTGTATGCGCTGACGGCCATGTAGCGTGCTCCAAGAGTACTACGAGACGCACCAGCTCAAGTCCAGATCTCCTTCTACCATCTCCTGGATCGGCTCATTGCAGAATTTCTTCTTGTTTGCAGGCTCTCTGCTCGGCGGTCCGCTCTTCGACCGATATGGCGCCAAGGTACGTTCGCGCCATAGCTCATGAGATCCATAATTTTAATCGTTATGTGTTTAGGTCCTGTGGCCTGCAGTTCTTGCACATGTATTCGCGGTAATGATGACCAGCATATGCAAAGAATACTATCAATTCATCCTCGCCCAAGGAGTCCTCGGCGGGATAGCCATGGGCATGTCGATGGCGCCTTCCATGGCCGCAACTAGTCAATACTTCAACAAGAAGCGTGGTGCGGCGCTGGGTATCGCAGTTGCTGGATCTTCCGTTGGCGGTGTCATATTCCCCATTGCGCTCAGCAGAATGCTCGTGAACCCAAAGCTTGGGTTTGGCTGGGCCATCCGAATCTGTGGTTTCATCATGCTTGCCGTTCTGCTCCCATCCTGTGTCATGGTCCGGGCCCGTGTCCCTCCTCGGTCCGGAAAATTCCTTCTTCCAAGCGCCTTTAAGGAACCCCTATTTGTCAGTATTATAGGATCTATATTCCTCATGATGCTCGGGCTCTTCACTCCATTTTTCTACCTTCCAACATACGCCATCGACCATGGCATGTCAACACAGTTGGCATCTTACCTTGTCTCAATATTAAACGGCGCCTCATTCTTCGGGCGAGTGATCCCCGGTATTATGGCAGATAAGGTTGGCCGACTTAACATGATGATGGCTGCGGCCATCAGCACTGGAATTCTCATTTTGTGCTTGCAGAGGATGACCACGAATGCGACAATCATTCTCTTCTCCGCTCTTTATGGCTTCTGCTCGGGGGCAATCGTATCTCTTATGTCAGCAAACTTGGCCCAGGTTCCCAAAAACCCGGCCAATATTGGCACCTACTTAGGTATGGGGATGGCAGTTATATCCATCGGGGCTCTTATTGGGCCCCCAATCAATGGTGCACTCGTCACTCGTTATCACAGTTTCAACCAGACCTTGACCATGAGCGGGGTGTTTGTCGTTGTTGGAGGTTGTTCTTTAATTTTTGCAAAACTAGCGACTGGAAATGGAGTGTTTGTGAAGCATTGAAGTGTAATATGAAAAATGGAAGTATTAGAGGTTGTGGGGAAATTGCGAATACGGACAAGCATGGGGTGTGATTAATAGGGCGGTGTTCGTAGAGGGAAATGGGACTCTCAACTCAAGAGGGAAAATACAATTTATAATTCCAACACGATCCCTTCATCAGGTGGCCGACTCGACCAATGTGCATCTGGCAACGGCATCCTGCATGATACCCTTATAATCCCGAGGTTGATATGGGAGCGAGCACACCAGGCGTTTACTCTGGCAATATCATACTCCATGTCACCCGTCCTGGGCAGAGGCTTGATACTTTCAAGAAGACCTTCCATCCAAGAAATTTCCCACAAAGCTGAAACTTCAGCATAGTTTGGTGTCTGAATGCTGATCAGAAGACCAAAGATTATGAGTGAATGGTCTCCCCATGCGGCAAGAGACGATGGGAGAATGTGACGATAAAGCCGAGTCGGCGTATGCGTCACCTTCCTCTGGTGAAACGGAGTTGGTTTCCCAAGACTTCCCGTTTAGCTCTCACATGCAGTCCGTCCCAATCCTAAGTTGTCGCTTCGTCTTGATCTTCCAGTGGGACAGACACTCCGAGATTGACCGCATCAGGTGTGTCAAATATCGTCGACTTGTAATCCCATCCCGTAGCGAACACTACAGTGGCTGAAAGGATGGTCTCATCGTTTAAAAGTGAAACCGTGGTTCCAGACATAGAGGTCATAGATGCACCATGTACTTCGATCAAGTCTCCTGGGTGCAGCTGCTTCACAAATTCTTCGATTCCATGAAGAACAGCCACACTGGAGGTAAAGAACAATGCGCTACAAATTTATCAGTTCGTCTTTTTGGTTTTGGGAGGAGTTTCTCGATATTCTTACTCTTCATCTTGTATGGCTCCGTCGGATCCATGTTCCCACTCTGCTATTTCCGCTGTGTAGGAATCGATACCAGAAAGTTCCAATGGAGATTATGGACGGGTCAGGATATTCTTCCAGCGGCCCATGAGTCTCGTGCCGTGCACGCCTCGTTTTCGTGTCTGCACCATCATTCCCGGCCCATTTCCAGTATCGCGGATGATCCAGTCAACTTTATTCCCCGCCAGGATACAAAGATTGACGGTATCGACTGCTGATTTGCAGCCATCATACACGGTCACATAGCCGACCTTTGAGCTCTGAGATCCATATGGTGTATGCCAACATCTTTTCAGTGGAGGTTAAGACCAGAAAAGTCTTTCAAGGGCACGTCAGGCCAATTTGGAGTGGAGTCAGCCCTGTTGCGATAATCAACTCGTCGCATTCAACCTTATGTCCGGAGTTCTCGGTCTCCACAACCCACCGGCTCCCATCAGCACTGCGGGAATCCTTTGAAACTCTGGTACTCAGCCTCAATCTTTCAATGAGCGAGAACTTCCCGACATATATGCCTGGAGGTAGTAACCCTATTGCCGGGCAAATCCGACCAATCTTTCCATCCGATGACCTCCCTCATGGGCAGATCCGAGAAATCAAACAGTTCAGATGGGCTGTCTGCATAGAACTCAAGGTCCATTCGATCCGCGCACCACACGCCACCGACTGATTTTTCGGCATTGAAAATGGTCAGGTTGATTGTCGGGTCAGTCCCAGATATCTGTACCAATGTGAGAAGCCGAATCCGGCTCCATCCTAGCAGAGGACGAACGCTTTTGCTACAACGAGTCCTGCCCAACCTGCAAGCCGGTTAGAAAAGAAGGCTTTGGTATGATGTACTGGAAAGCCAACTGAGCGACTCTCACCTGCGCCAACAATGATTACACTTTAGGCATGAGTGCCGAGGCACGTGCCGTGCCGTTTAAATCCATGGAAGCTCGGAGAAGACGACGATTGAAAGAACCAAGAGATGCGGTTCAAGCGGTTCTCAACTGGATATATACGTATCCCTAGCTATTATGGTGTAGAAGGCATATATACCCATCTCAGAATGGACACAATCGTCTGTCTCGGGGTATCGATCTCTCCACCGTCCGTCACGGGTGAAAGGATCCACGATGCAACAGGACCCGGCTGACCATACAGACGTCGCGCATTATCAAACCGGTCAGAACTAGCGGCCCGCTTACGCCCGCCAGTTACCTTACTTCAACTCAATTTATTCCCCTATCCAGATCCCTCCTCGTAGGCTTACAAGGCTTACACCCCTTTGGCTCTGATTCAAGACATTTTAACGGCGTTATAAATACCCTCCTTCTTCAAAGGGAAAATGTTGTTCTGCCGGTGGTATGAAGTATATCATACAAATCTTTACGAGCCTCCACTTTCATAATCTTGCTCCACTGGACTTTGGTGAAGTCACTGCCCATGTGTAGCAGAACGAGGTATATTTGAGCCAAGTGCCGAATTACCAGCTGATAAATCTCATATCCAATCTAGTTTGATGGGAGGTCTGTTCTCCTACTTCATGAGCATCTCCCAAAATCCATCTGCTGCACACAATCTCTTGCCTCTTCATATGTTATCGTTCCTTTGGAGAGAAAATTCTATTTCCAACTGGGTGACTTAACGATCTAAGGAATGAAGCAACCGAAATGACAGAATACCAATCATCCATTCCTTCTTAGCTTCAGCCTGTTTCATTTTCGCTTTCCGGTCCCTCAATGCAATTGTAGAGCCAACTTTTGAACACATAAAGCATCGCAGTATGACATACATTTGCAGGCAATGACTAGACAACAATACAAAAGCGATGGTTAACCATATATGGATGTCGCAGACTACACCCATCACGCATGAATCTCGCTCGACAATCATACATTCATACAAAAAGCACCGTCCATTGGTAGTCGCACACCAGTATCAACCTGATACAACTCCCAGCCTAGACTACCACGGTTCTTGGCGAATCGCTCGAGGCATAGGACTGGCCTTCCGGTCCAGTTGTGACCGATGTCCCACTGCTAATTCGGCTTCCATCAGGAGCGTCTTCTGTGTGCTGACCTTCATTATGGTGGTCCTGAGTTGTCACGCTTTCACTTCCGATAACACTCCCTTCGGCCGTCTGATGATGCTGGCTGGCTGAACTGGGCATCAACGTGTGATCCAAACCACCGTAACTTTCAACATCCTCCAAATCTGGTCGCCAATCCTTCAAGTCATCTTCTGCGTCATTCAGAATCTGGCGAACTTGATGATGGTGCTCGAATGGAGGGCGAACATCTCCTGGAACAACCGGAGTATCGTCAAGGAGGTTCAGGAGACGACGACCGTGGCGTGCGAGGATGATTTGTTTCTCGGCGCGCTCTATGGTCGCAGCGAATTCTGCGGCATATGCTTCCTTCATCTTTTGGCGAGTCTGATTCGTGTCAGTCTCCGGGAGCTTGAAAGGAAGAGAGAGAGATTGAACTCACAATGTTGGTCAACTGAGCCTCAGCAACGAGATTCTCTGCTTCCGCCCTGACGAGCTCTTGCTCTAAAATAACCAATTTCGCACTTTCGGGCTCCTTGGCCTTCAACCTTGCAATCTCGTCCATGAGCTTCGCCTTGGAATCTCGCGAAGGCTGGACGCTCTTCTCCGTGTTGCGAATAGCCTTCAAGATCGTCCTGCTATCATCGATATTGTGGGCATACAGGTCTTCCTGCTCTCCAATTTCAGACAGCAGAACTCCAATCTTATCCGAGATCTCGCTGATAGCATCATCGTTCGTGGACTCGCCCCACTCAGACAGCTGGGTGGCGATGGAGACTCGTTCCTTGGCGGCATCCTCGTGGGCTTGGATGAGGTAGTTCTCAGACTTGATCATTTTGTATAGTTTCTTGCTGAGTTCGGGCTGCATATTCCCCCGCAGCGAACTGAGACTGAATCCATGATGGCGAGTTCCGCTGGAGGAGGAAGAGGAACTGCCATGATCCTTCTTCGAGCGAATTGAGAGCGCGCGATTCCTAGTGGCGGCCGGAGTTAGCATGTACGGAAAAGGTGTGGCGAAAGGAAAAGCAAAGCTCGCTGACAAGTGCTTCATTGGGGTAGTTTTATTCTTGGAATTGCTTCTTCGCATGGTGATGTGTGCAAGTAAAGATTGACTGTAACGGAGAATGAATGGGCTTACATCTTGGATATGATTTGTGACAGAGACTGAAGAGGTTATTACTGCCTGCAAAAACATATCTGTCAGCTCCTTCCATTCCTGTCAAGCTCGTCATTGTGCTCGACTTGCTGGGTCGTGACAGCCTCCACTGCATCATCTGAAGCGCCAGCATCGAGCAGAGCAGACGCGCAGGGCGGTTGAGCAAATAGACAAGAGGGCTGAGGTTTTCTTACCCAGTTATGAAAAGAGGGATTTTATTCAAGTGATGGAGGGGTTCAAGAATGGGATTACTCGAATTTTTGTTGAAGGAATGGAGTAGAAAATAGAAAGAAATGAGTTGGCTTTTCAGGGAGCTGGCCAGCCCTTTATGGACACTGATTGACTCGTGGCCAAGATAACGGAGAGGGGCTGGCGATGATGTCACTGACGCTAAGAAATTTACTCGTTCCTCAGCCTTGTCCCTTGTCGCGGCAGCTAGAATTGGTGCCTGAAGGGCCTCAGGTACTATAATATCATACCTGCCTGGGTACCTTAGGCTAAAATCGCCACTAATATGCGTCCAGAACTCCGAGATCTACATCTGATAGTGCCTGAGGCACATTTATCCCGACGACTTGCTCCAACCCCAACACTGCTCGATCATTCGAGATGGACCCCGCCATCGCTGCAGAGCTGGACAGGTGCGCTGACGGTATCCCCTTTCGCGCTGTCAGAAATCACACTCAGTCAACATGGGCCCGTACATTCCACTCGTCTCCCGAACTCTACATCCAACCCGAGTCCATCGAGGAAGTTGAAAAGCTGATCAACCTCGCGCGAAGATGCAGGCGTCGGGTCACGACAGTGGGGAGCGGGCATTCGCCTTCGGACCTGACCTGCACCTCGAGCTGGCTTGTGAATCTGGATAATTTCAACAAGATCCTGTCGGTGGACAAGGAGAAATGCGTGGTGGTTATGCAGAGTGGGATACGGTTGGAGACAATTGGTCATGAGCTTGACAAGCATGGACTTGCTATGCCGAACCTAGGCAGTATCAACCACCAGTCTATTGCAGGAGCTATCTCGACTGGTACACATGGCAGTACGCTCCGTCATGGGATTCTCTCTGAGTCGATCCTGTCCCTCAAAATCACTCTCGCCAACGGCAAGACGGAAACGTGCTCCCCAACCCAGAATGAAGAACTCTTCCGTGCCGCACTCATCTCCCTCGGCGCCCTTGGGATCATCACAGAAGTGACATTCCAAGCCGCGCCGGCCTTTACACTTGCCTGGAAACAGGTCATTGATACTGATCTTAAGATGCTCAATTCATGGAATGGTACGCTGTGGACACAGGCCGAATTCGTCCGAGTATGGTGGTTCCCATACACCCGCCGTTCCGTCGTTTGGACCGCCTCTAAAACCGATCTGGCCCCTCAACCGCCTCCAAAATCCTACTATGATGCCTGGCTTGGCTATTACGTCTATCACAACCTCCTCGCGGCCGCACAGTGGTTCCCGAGAATCCTGCCGTGGGTAGAATGGTTTGTGTTTGGCATGCAATATGGCTTCCCGAACGGAAGCACCACCTCTGCGGTCCAGCCTTCGCGCGAAGCATTGTTGATGAACTGCCTGTACAGTCAGTTTGTGAATGAGTGGGCGATTCCTCTTTCTAAAGGCCCCGAAGCTCTCAGGAGATTGAGCTCATGGTTAAACCACTTGACCCCCGAGGATCCGGATTATGTCCCGCATAACATACCATTCTCAGCGGATGGGCTGTACGTGCATGCCCCGGTCGAAGTTCGCGTGTCAGACACATCTAAAAGCAAGACTCCAAGACCGTATCTGGATCCGACGTGCACGGAGGAACCAACACTTTACTTGAACGCTACGCTCTACAGACCGTATTACCGCGATCCCCCTTGTAGAGAGAGGTACTACCAGGCATTTGAGTATCTGATGAAGGATCTCGGGGGCAGGCCGCACTGGGCAAAGAACTTCGAGTGTAGTGGAAAGGATCTTGAGGGGATGTATGGAGAGCAATTGGCAGAATGGAGGAGAGTAAGAGGGGAGCATGATCCGGAGGGCATGTTCCTGGGGGAATGGCATCGGAGGGTTATTATGGGTGATGGACCGAGATTAGCTTTGGAGGAACGGGAATCGAGTCGTGGAAAGTTTTGGAAGGGAGGAGTCAAGGTTGAAGGTGTGGTTATGGGTTCTCCGGAGGGAAAGACGTTGAGGGGGAAGAGCAGCGAGGAGAGCTTTGAGCATTTGACTCCTTCGGAAGTGGATATAAAGCACGAGTAGAGTGAAAAATAGGACATCAGCCTCATCCTCTAATCTGCATGGAAGTCTGATCTGCCTATACCAATCGGGCATAAAAGAGAGAGAGCCGTCTGATGAATGTCACGTGCGTTGATAGCTGGTTTTCCGGCCTATTGCGATAAGAGATATATGTAAGGTAAGTAAGGTACCTAAGTCCAGAACAAGGACAATTCGAGCGACAGTCGTATCGCATCGGAAGAAAAGGTGAGAAGATTAAAGTCCACTGTCCCATTCTACTCTTCGCAACGTGCACCCTACGTGACGCTGATTTGGTCCCTGGCGCCAAAACCACCTAATCGGCACCGAACCAGCGCCAGATCCAACGTTACATCATGCCATGAACCCGCCACCTACAGTCTCGAGGGGAGTGAGGGGCCCAGTCCCGCACACCTTCAAAGCGCCCTATGGATTCTATGGATTCCCGGCCGGTATATAAAAATCCCTGATGGGATAGAATGAATAATGGCGGTTCAAGCCACGCAAAAGAAAGACGACAGCCGCAGCTCCTCCTCCCAGCAGCAGCAGCAGCAGCTCTCTGATTATCCCCGCGAGGCTGATCCCCACGAGGTTGTTGATTCCAGCATGCCGTCCGCGATCGCGGCTAGCCCGCGCGACCGAATCACCAAGTTCACCAACTGCCGTCTCGTGAAGGGCGATGTGCTCGTGGAGCAGGATCTGTGGGTGAGCTCGGCGACGGGGCGGATCGTGAGGAGCCAGGAGCTCTTCTACGGCGCGAAGGCGGTCCCTGACGAGACGATCGATCTGGGAGGGCGGATTATCTCGCCCGGTCTGATCGATGTCCAGATGAATGGAGCGTTTGGGTTCAACTTTTCGCAGATTCCTGAGGATCCATTGACTTATGAGAAGACGTTGAGGCAGGTCAATAAGTCCTTGGTACAGACAGGCGTCACTTCATATCTTCCCACGATCACCTCGGAGCGGAGAGAGGTCTACCATTATGTAGGACGTTCCCGCATGCTTTTCTTGACCATGATAACTGACCAACGCCAGGCATTACCCTTCCTCGGCCCCTCCAAAGGCTCCCAGGTCGCAGAGCACGGCGCCGAATCGCTCGGCGCGCACGTCGAAGGGCCCTTCCTCAGCCCGACCAAGAACGGCGTGCACAAAGTGCAGAACCTCATCACGGCGCACAGCTTCGCGGACCTCGAAGACTGCTACGGCGCTTCGAACCTCAACCCGACTCCCGACCCGCTCACCGGCATCCCACGGGCACCGCAGATCAAGATGCTGACGGCGGCGCCCGAACTCGGGTCCATGACGGCTCTGATCCCGGACCTCACAGCGCGCGGCATCGTCTACTCGATGGGCCACACCGAAGCGTCATACGAGGAGGCGTCCCTGGCCGTCTCGCACGGCTGCACCATGATCACGCACCTCTTCAACGCGATGCGTCCTCTGCACCACCGCAACCCCGGCGTCTTCGGCGTGCTCGGCCGCGCCGAATCCCTCCCGCGTCCCTACTTCGGCATCATCGCCGACGGCATCCATCTGCACCCCACCTCCGTCAAGATCGCCTTCAACGCGCACCCCGACGGCTTCATCCTCGTCACCGACGCCATGCACCTCGTGGGTCTGCCGGACGGCGTGTACGCCTGGACCAACGGCGAGCAGATCGTCAAGCGCGGCGCGAAACTCGTTTTGCAGGGCGCCGAGGATACGATTGCCGGCAGCTCCATCACGCTGGTCGAGTGCGTGAATAACTTCCTGTGCTGGAGTGGAGCCAGCATACCGCAGGCGCTGCGGGCCGTGACGGCGACGCCGGCGGCTATGTTGGGACTGCAAGGCGTCAAGGGCTCGTTGGAGAGTGATGCGGATGCGGATCTGTGCGTCTTTAGTGAGGAGGTGGGGGAGGCTGGGGGGACGAGATTGGTCGTGGATCAGGTGTGGAAGTTTGGGACAAAGGTGTTTGATAGATTGGAGTAGAGGGCGAGCGGTTGAGTAGGTAGGTAGGTACGTGAGTGATGATAGATACCTAAGATTATCCATCTTGTATATAAGTAGCCTCCCTTCCTTATTCGGAGAACATTATGAATAGACATATAAGCGTAGAATAGAAAGAATGAAACAACTTGTATTAATGCAACCCCCGTTTACCTATCTACCATTCTCTCGTTCTGTACCTACCTATACCGTCTTGCTACATATCCAGCGTACGAAGGACCATTATTGACGGTTTGACTCGGCATTTCTACATAACTGACCTTGAGCATCACAATCGATAACCAGAAGCCATCACTTGTTTTACATCGTGGCTCAAGAAGACCCGGCAAGGGTTGGGGACCTTCCCCCCTTTCCATCATGACACGTGACGCAGAAAAGCAGAGCAGTTTGGAAAATATTCATATATTTCAATTCTGACGCCGTCATACCTACCTACCTTACCTACAGAATCCGTCCATTCCTTATCCAATCCATGCGCGCCGAAAATATCATCCGCTTAAATGCAGCAAGGTATCTATCTATCCCGAAAAAGCAAACCTGCAGAAATTATGACCTCGAAGTTCCTCCTCTCCTACGAAGTTGAAGTTATACAGTCTTCCCACTTTTTTCCATCGCAATTTCCTGCACGGTTATGATAGGACGCTCATCATTCATACGAGCCTGGTTAGGCCTGAGAGGTCTGGGTCCCATGACCATCCCTCTCCTCCTCGTCACTCTTGAAACTCAACACTCTCACGACACAATCCTCACTCCCCGTGGCCAACTTGCTATCACTGAGTCCCAAACACGTAACCGGACCTTCATGGCCAGCTAGGGTCCGCTCACACTTCCCACTCCTCGCATCCCAAACCTTGACCATTCGGTCCTCGGCGCCACTGACGAACCTCAGCGTATCCCCGGCAAGAGCCCAAACACCCTCCACGTGACCAAAGAAGGTTTTGAGACAACGGCCAGTCGCTATATCCCAGAGGCGGATTGTGCTGTCTAGGGCGCCGGTCAGCATGTAGCGGACGGGACGAGGACGAGATGGTGGCCAGGTAGCGAAGATGTCTGTGTGTTCGGCGTGCGGACTTTGGGGGTCCATGGGAGCAGAGCTGGATGAGGCACCATCGTCAACGTCTTCTTCAGCATCTGGATCTTCTGGTTCGTATTCTGCCGGCAACAGGACCACCTGTTGGACCTGGCCCACGTGGCCTTCAAAGGTCCTAATCGTGCGCCGTGTATCTAGATCCCAGAGACGCACAGTGCAGTCGTCGGACGCGGAAAAGACGGTCCGTGATGCGGCATCCACTCTCACGGCATTAACCCAGTCCTTATGCCCCCGTAAGCAGAAGGTGGATTTATCTTCGAAGTTCCAGATCTTGACAGTCCGGTCAATGGAGCCCGAGGCAAGGATGTTGCCTTCGAAATGTACTCCTATGATGCCTTGGGTGTGTCCAGTGTATGTTGAAATGCATTCTCCCGTTCGCCAATTCCATACTCTGATGGTACTGTCCATAGACCCACTGATCAACTTCGTATCATCGAATTGCAGCGTTCTGATTCCTAGAGTGTGCCCCCGAAGCGTACGGATGCATTCCCCTGTCTCGATGTCCCAAATCTTGATGGTGTTATCATAGGACCCGGTCGCGAGGATATTGTCGTCAAATTGGAGACACATGACGCCGTTGGTGTGGCCACGGAAGACCTTCGTAGAATACCGTCCGTATTTCCAGTTCGTACCAACCTTGAAACGATCTTTGTAGACATCCTTCCACGGCCGGAACTTGGGCCGATCGAAATATGAAGATTCTTCAACGTTGATGCCGTTTGTGCACTGTCTTTTGGAGCCCGCGGGAGATTCTACCGCTAATTCAGCTGCAGGGCGTTTGTTGGATACCCTCGGGGAGGTCACTTTGGCTATATCGGTAATGCCACGGTCCTCTGGCATCGGTGTGATGTCGGGTGACCACTCATTCAATCCTCGCCCGGTTGCTCGTAGTTGTTGCTGACGCTTGTAATCACGCAGCCTCTTGCGCTCCAGTAATGGTAGACCCCAGCCACACTTTGTACACTTTCTATCGATGTGCTGCTCACACATCTTGTGCCATACCACGTCGTCGTCGGCCAATATTCTCCATTTTTGACTGACCTGGGCTGCCTTGCACAGCGACGTGGTGTCCAGATAGCACAGGATCTTAAACGCGATCTCGTGGGGAAGGGCGGTAATGAAGTCGATTCGTATGAGATCGCGGACGGCGGTAGATAGGTATGACAGCTGGGGGAAACAGCATTGGGCGAGGATGCCCTGCAGCATCAGATTTCGATGCTTCGCGGGGGCGGCGGAGAAGAGCGACCAGACGTGGGAAATACCTTGCTGGTCAGACTGTGATAATGTTTCGAGGTCCTGCTCAAGTGTTAGTACTGGACTATAGGCATAGGCAAGACCATCGCAACCACATACGCGCTGCAGGTTCTCCATAGTGGGCTCGTCTGCTGTCCTCCGACACTTGGAGTCGGGTCGGTGGCGGTAGCAGTATCTTGTATTAGGATCCTCCTTCTTCTTGGTCGACATCAACAGCGTCGGCGGCTGGGCAACCCCCAGCGGGGCGTACTGTTCGGGGATATGTCTCGCCAGGAATGGCGCGACGGTCTGGCCGGCCATCTTGCTCGTCGACGAAATGCTGATAGTGGGATCGCTGCCGTCGTGCTTCCCATCACAGTTATGCTGCGATGGAGGCTCTCCTTCGTCGCCGGGCCTGACGTGCTCTGAGGCGATGCGGCCGTCGGATGGCATTTCCCAGGTCATGGCACGACGGAGGGATTTGGGATTTGGATCCGGCTTGGTGGTCCTGGGGAGCTCGGTCGGTACTTCAATAGACGGCTGGAGCACGAGGGAGTCGGTGTGGGCTGACGCCATAATGCTGGGCTGCGCACAAGACGACGAGTTGACAACCGACACGCAAAGACAGAAAGGGAGGGCAGATCTGACTCGTTATCGGGGGCGCATGGAGGGGTGAGAATGGGAATTCCGAGGGGGTCGCCAGAGGAGAGAAAGGATATTCCGCATCCAAGTTGAGATTTCAGAGGCGGATGGCGTGCTCGAGGGGGCGACTTGAGGTGAATCGAATCGAATCGTGTGTCGTGCTCGACGGCGGCGGGACGAGACGACGGGTATATGGATAATAATCGATCGATGGACGACGAGCGCAGCGCCGCCAGCCGTGCCAGAGAGGGCGTCCGGGGCGCAAGAACGGGAATGCAATAAATAATTCTCAGAGACGATCACGGACCGATGCAGCAATTCTCGTAGGTTGAGAGATTGTCGGTCTGGCTGGCTGTTGCGAGGTGGAAGAGGTGACTGATTGACCTTGTTGGCCCTGGGCCTTTCGTAGTTCGAGGGGGACGAGAGACGCCGATCAGATTTGCTCCCCTCAACCCGAGTCTAAAGAGGCAAATCATGCAAATCATGCCTGATTTCTCAGGCGGACACCGCGGAAGTGATCACGCGATTTCAGGCGACCGTCCCGTGATTTGCAAAATTCATACGTGATTACGAGCTGGATTACGCGGGTTCCATATTTGGTAGATAATCAAGGAAAATCTGAGGCAGTTTTACGTTTAGAATAATCTACGCCTAGAATCATATGTCTTGCTCTCTCACAAGTCTCTCTTTTGCTTCTTTCCGTCTTCCCCGTGGGTTCCAGATCTCTCTTCTGCTCTGCTCTGCCCAGTATAGTACCATACAACTGCTCGACACTAAACTAATCATAACTCGTACGCCGAGACTTCCTTCTCACTCCAATCCCAGAGCTTCACAGCCAGCTCTGCATCTATCGATGCCCGACTTCCCTGCCCAGGAACACCCACCGGCGTATAATACTCCCCGCTCACCACCTCCCCTTTCCCCTCTTTGCTTCCCCCTCCCCGCAGAGGGCCTGTCGCTGCCCACAACTGCCCCTTCGCCCCATCCTCCACACTCGTGTATACTGTGCCCCGCGCCACATCTATCACCTTCCCCACCCCCAGCGGCCAGTTCGAGATGGCATTCCTGTAGAGCTCCGTGTTCACCACCCCCGGATGCACCGCCACGGCCGTGATCCCCTGCTCGTGATACCTCCGGTGCAGCTCCTTCGCAAAGAGGATATTCGCCAACTTGCTCTGGCCGTAGCGCGTCAGTGTCAGTGACGAGCTCATCGGGGTGCGCAGCTCATCGAAGGAGATTCCAGAGGACGGGGCGAAGATATGTCCGATACTGCTCAGACTAACAACACGCACGTCGGCCCCCGGGAGTTTCGCAGTCGTCACGAGGGTCGGCAACAGGAGTTTGCTGAGGAGGAAATGGCCCACGTGGTTGGTTCCGAATTGCATCTCGTAGCCATCGGCAGTGAGGCCAGCGGGCGTGGCCATGATGCCAGCATTAAGAAACAAGAGATCCAGGCGTGCTTCTCCGCCTCCCCTCTCCTTCTCAGCCTCGAGGAACGAGCGCGCGGCGGTCTTGACCGAGGCCAGATCCGCGAGGTCGCAGTGGATGTATCGGATCCGGGATGCAGACCCTGGGACTGCCGTCTCGATCTCTGCAATCGCTTTCTGGGCGGAGGCTTCGTTCCTGGCGGCTAGATATATGTGCGCCGGGTTGTGCTTGACGAGTTGTAGGACGGTCTGTTTACCTAGTCCGACATTCCCTATCGTCGTAGACACAGTATTAGAATGTTGCATATGTGAAAGAGAGACGGAGAAGGCTACCGCCAGTCACCAGCACCACCTTCCCCTCCAGCGACGGAATGTCAGTCTCGGGCGTGAACGAGACGCCACGACTGAGCAAGCCGAACAGCATCCTGGGCGAGAGAGAGCTCAAGAATCCTGATCCGGATCGTATATTGTGCCACTACAGAGTCAAGTTGTTAGGTAAAGAGCTGTGGAATCAAGACACCAAAAAACACAACCAGAATCCGAACGAATAGAGACAACAGCTCCATCCAGAGAAAGAGAAAGATGAAGCAGACAGAACAAAAGAGATAAGCGCCTACGGTAAGGTATGTCGGATCCAATTCAATTCCTATCTTCTCATTGTTTGGGAGACTTGGAGGACAAGGTAGAAATGACGATGGATAGATACAATGATGATTACTATTTACACCTCAGAACCGAGGTAAGGTAAGGCAAGGGCCATGATGGAAGATGATCCAGGCACAGGCGTAATTATCGACTGCGCTAAGCCCTAACGGATATATCGTTATATCCCCCCTGGATCCCGGAATCCCGGACATGGGACGCTAAGAATTTCGTGATCGGCGACGGCGGCAGTGCTTATCCGGTCGTGATGACGAATGTTTTTTTGTTTTCTTTTTTTCTTTTTTCTTGATTTTCTCCTGTCTCTCTTTTGCTTCGATGAGGTGATCGCATGTGATATTGGAAGAGTTCAAATAATGATAAAATTATATAGAACCAGTCTCCTCAATGGAATATACCCAAGATACCTTAGGTATAGGAATCGAATCATTAAAAGGGAGTATATGTAGTAGTGGTGGATATATACACGGCTCCTACTGATGTAGGTACGCTATGAACAAGTCCAGGCTTGAGTAATTATCCCAGCTCAGGAGTCCGGAGCCAGTCCGTGTCAGGATTCAATCGCTGAGCTCTTCTACCTCAGACCCATCCAGCCCCTTTATCAACTTTATCAACGCCAAACGTGGTCAATTAGCATTCTGCGGTTGGCCGTCTCTTGCGTGATTGATGGCCAAACTCGGGAGTTACCATTATGGTTCTGGAACTGCCGTAATATCGGTGGGAGAGTCAGAATTATACGTAGGGAGCCGTAGGTACGCCGCCAACAACCTTTTGCCAATGGTTGGTGGCATATGCGTACTCGTCATTGAACCAAATGATTCGTGATGGGCAATACCCGTTCTAATGAGGGCAGACGTGTTCGGCCATGCTGGATTGTATTTCTCAGAGTTTCCAATCCCATACTGTCCCACGCTACACGCCTCTGTAATCTTCGATTTTGATGGTCGATGCTGCTCGCTGCCATTGGAGCTTTGGGGCATGAAAATCGCTATAGGATGGTTTCTTCGCGCCCCAGGATTCGCTCGTAAACCCCACGAGGTAGTATCAAGACAACTCTTTGACTTGCGGTTGATCTGATGTTGTAATCGCATGTGTAGTTTAACAGTCAGCGCAATCTCGGATTGACCGGTGAGCGAGGGTCCTGGAATAATACTGCCGGTATCCATTTGTTGGCCATAAGTAATCGGATAGGCGTGGTTGCAATTCCTTGGAGTGGAATCTGGCAGTTTTCTTTGTATGATCGCAATATGATCTAGTAGAACTGCAGTTGGGAAAGGTCACATCCAATCCGTATTTCGGAATACAGCATCCCAATTTATGTCGGCAAGGTTGTCTGACATGATCAGACTTTCCAGGTCTCCAGTAGCAGATCCATTCATATGAGTTGCCAAACCAAGACCCTCCATGATTCCTTGTTCACCTACCGGCTGTGATTGCTGTTGTATGCGCGTTCCACCATTCGAGATCGGTGCCATAGCTGCATCTCCGCCAGATGGGACCGATCCGGCGGTCCCAGTCTCCTGGACACATGGATTATCATTCAATGCCCCCTTCAAGGCCTGAACATCTCGTTCTTTTCGACTTTGTGCCAGATGAATCAACATTGCCGCATTCTGAACAGCTTCTCTTGTGAGATGCGTATTGAACGCCCTCCTAATAGCTTGGAGAGTACCGAGTGCGGTTGAGACGCGAGAAAGTGATTCAGGCGTATCAAGGGAGAGAAGGATAAGAATGAAGTGGAAGGGAATTGAAGCTAGGGACCACCATGGAGTTATGACAGAATCATCTGTTGACTGTGAGGAAGGTGCTGATGGTGCCGGTGGTTTCGATAAATGACTTTCTATTGCCTTCAGAGCTGCTAAACCAATTGACAAGATATTTGAAACTATCTTGGGGTCAGTAGTTGAGTTTGTCGATGTAAGAAAGGGTCTAAGATGACGATAGGCGGCGAATGCAAGGTCTGCGCGAAAGAGAGATACCGGAACTTCAGCATCCCTTCCAGCTTCTAACGCATCGAGCATATTCCTCGTCTGAACGATCTCTTCCGCGTGAGTGCATGCTTGAGAGTTCTCAGGGATCAGATCAGCAAGTTGAAGTAGATCTCTCGTCGCACTTTTGACCTCAGTATCGATTCTAGCACAGGTAACCTTGTCAATGTTGATCCTGGGACGAGAGTACTCATATGAAAATATTGCATTGATCGCCCTCCCTACCCAGAAGACTTTTCGACGATATAGGCATTGTGCTGGATCGATGATGTTTGTGCTTTTGCACGATGGATAGATGATAGCGACTGAAGAAATCTCATGCTGAATCCCTGATGATTCAATCAGATGCATCAGGATATTACTGGCCATCCACGAGGCGTGAGGCCGTGACGTTGCCCGAAGGTAGATCGCCCGCAGGATCCATGCTGCAATTAGGTCGATCGTAGGAGGTTTTGTCAACGCGACACTCTCTAATCTATCTTTTGCAAGACTTGTGAGAGCTGCTTCAATGCCATTGTCTGTTTTTCGAGACACGAAATACCCCAATGCAACAACCCCACAAATCACTGCGTCGAAATTTAACGCATCCTCTGTTGGGTTCTCTTTCCATCGCAATGAAGCACGGCGTATGAAGTCTTGCTGATCCAGAAAATCAAATGATGGGTGCACCACCGTGAAGTACTCATTGGAATAGATGTGCACGTCATTCAATGAGACGAATTGAGTGATATCGAGAATATTTGGCTGGGGCTCTGATCTGATACCAAGGTTCCAGGCGAATGAGTGCAGCCGCGGTGCTTTCGTTGCACCGAAGTGTATTCCCATCAGCCTAGGGAATGCAATTGCTGAGCTGCCATCAAAATAGCGGCCCTTTTCAGGATCCAAGATGCTATAATCCATGAAATTGTCGCCTCTCTCAAGTCCGGTAGGGGTGATAGGCGTCAAGTTGGTCGTTCCCTTCGAAAGAGCATTACCAACTGGCTCCCCACCGGTAGCAGTGCGAGCGATTGGTTTCAAGGGACTCCGTGCCTTTTGCTGGTAGTATTGGCAGTCATGATTAAAGCGCGCACAGGAGGAGCATGGCCTTGCACCATCACACTTCTTTTTCATTTGTCGACAATGTATGCACGCCCTGATGGCGCGCTCTCTTTTGCGAGGGCGAGCATCATCCATGGTGGTATAAGCCCAAATGTAAGGAGATGTAGCTGATTCAAGACGGAGCCGCAGATTGTGCCCTCTCCATATGTACCGGAGGAATCTGATGTAGGTATGGTAAGGCAAGGTAGGTAGGTAAGGTAGGCAGTATATCTGTATGATTTCACGTGCCTTGCACGGCCCCACGTGTGGTTGAGGTGGTGATGGAAAAGGCAATCTTAAGCTTATCTAATCTTTTATATGTCCATTCGCCCCTTTACTATCTATACCTATAGGTTGTATTCCTTACAGTAACTTACTCTTACCTACCTACCTAGGTACATAGTTCAATATCTTTCTGCAGTACATCACCGTTGATATCAACGTCCTCATTATTCATGTAGCTCAATCCCGGCCGCCTTTGCTATCGCGCGAAGGCGTAAGCTATCCGAGTAATGGTCCTATCAACAGTTTCAAGCTCTGCCGAGATTGATCAAGGCCTACTAACACACCTGGAATTCCCTAACCACATCAATATACAAACTCGATTATGGCCTAGATTTCCGACCCGCGTATGTTCTCCTGCGACTTCCTGCTCTCGACAGTCAAATTAAAGAACAAATCGTCACGGAATTGGCGATGGGACTTGGCGACCGGTATATTCTATCCCCCCCCCAACCCAACAAAATCTCAGTTATGCGCCACAGTCAAATCTGTGTTGGACCATCCATGGACTAAACTATGAAGATCAGCGGAGGATATGGCTGGCCATTTTTCCATGGAACATGAGATAGATGCCTTGGAGGAGATGGGAAACCGCACAGGCAGGGCAAGATAGCAAGATACGGGCCTTGGAATACGTGCGAGAAAAATGCAGAAATACGGAATGCCATTGACCCCTCTGACCGCCTGGAACACACTCGTTCGTTATTGGACATACATAGATCACACGAAAGAAAGACCGTCTTCAAGGGAGGCGGTCAATCATTCAATTATCACTGAGACAGATTGAAGTTTCATGAATCAAAAGGAAATAACTATTTTCTTGCTATTTCCCAGGTTTCCCTTCATCTGATAGACATTGACGGCATCTTCAATCCTGGTCGTCTCGATATCCGACTCATTCGGAGCTTGAAGACTGCCATCCTCAAATCCAGGGGTTAGACCTCCTAATTCCTTTGCTGCCTCTGGCAGCGTTTGCAAAAGCGAGTTGCATCCAATTATCATTTTCTCTTCCCGGTACAGCTGCTTCATGTCGAATGTGAAATCCGTCGACCCTTCCTTTGGAGCCGAGATGTATACAAGGCGGCCCCGTAGAGCCAGAATCCGCAAGGCGGCACGCATGAGGGCAGGCGACCCAGTGGTATCAATCACAACATCTACGCCTTTCCCCTCTGTCAGGCTCTTGACGGTGCTCAATTCCGGGTCGGTGGTGAGGTTCACATCGACAGAACCTCGCCTCGCTGCTCTGAGCACTTGGCAAGCCTTATTCCTTGCCAATTGACAGGCTGCAGACCCAACAGCACCCGATGCGCCTAGAATCAGAACCCTATCCGTTGATTGGATCATAGCACGCCGAACCGTAAGGGCGGCGGTTGTGAATGGTACGCCGACAGCAGCGGCTTGCACAAAGCTCAGACTAGAAGGCTTCAAGTTGATCCCATCACATGAGATGACACAGTACTCCGCGTGAGTACCATCGGTTGTGAAGCTCAAGACCTTCCCACTCGTACCGTAAACCTCCTTTCCCAAAAACTCCTCAGGGCCCTCTACGACGACTCCCGCATAGTCGCGACCTGGGGTACGAGGAAACGTTGTATAAGGAAATCCGCCTTTGGCGTTGATGACGTCACTAGGATTGATTCCTGCTGCACGGATCTTGACGAGGACGGAGCCTGGTGGAGGACTTGGCTTGGGAAGAGTACTGAGAGAGAGAGAAGGTTTTGAACCGCTGGTAGAGGTCAAACGCAGAGCTTTCATGTGGCTTTCATCCATTGTGGATTGGGTTTCGAAAGTCATCTTGTCATGGATCGACTTCCCCGCGCGTCTTGGAGAGGAGTACGGATGTTGAGTTATCATAACATGACAGTCACGGGAAGTAGAGAAGTTCGAAATACTTGAGAAACCCGATTTTATACAAATTTGGATTTGGGATCAAGAATGATTTAGCTGATACATACATTTTGATACACTGGTGAACAGGGGATGCTGATGGGCGGTCCGCTCTTAACTCCGCTCCGCTCCGCTCCACTTCCCTTCCGCTGTCATACTTCCCGGTCCAACTTGAAATTTGTGGCTCGTTCACGTGACCATGGGGGCGCTATCTTAATAAGGAACCTTGCCTTGTTGCCTTAGATATTTCTACACGTCGAAATAAGGCAGACATGTATCTACACAGCTCGCCTTGACAAGCCGCAGTCACCTTCTCAGTCAATTGGGGGAAGCATTATGCCCCGTCCTAGCGGGCATGACGCTGCTTCTCAAAGGGACCTTGAAGCTCAATCCAGACATGTTCGAAAAAGGCGAAGAGCAACGAGAGCATGTGACTTTTGTCATCAAAGGGCCATTAAATGCCGGCCAGGTCCCGCGGCCGAGTCAACCTCAACTACCAACTCCAGAAGCCAAAGTTGTTCGACGTGTATAGAATATGGAGTACCATGTACACAGCTTAGACCAGAGCACCGGCGGGGTACAAAACCTAGTCGACCCCAGTTAAACCTCTCCCTCGCAAGCTGCGAGCCGACCCCTAGGCGGAGCATGGATGCGCATCTACATGGATCAAAGCTGATTATTAGAAGTCTTATCGATGTATATTTTGACACGATTTATCCAATGTGAGACTAAAAGAATACCGTCATTGTCTGACAACTTTCCTGATAATCTACAGTTATCCATTCTTCGACCAGCCGAATTTCTTGGAACAATGGCATCATGGCCTGATAGGGCGCGACCAGGCCTCTTATGCCAATTTGATGGCCTTGTGCGCACTCAGTGCTCAACACGTTCATGATAAAGCAGTTTTTACCATCTCACTAGCCCCAGCTGCTGATTCTCTCGATCCTGCCACATATCTCCACGAGGCTCTTCATGCCATACCAGCAGAACTTGATAGATGCAGAGATCTAGATTACCTAAGAGCTTTCCATCTTCTAGCACTATATGCCATCCAAGTTGGTAATACTGGCCTCTTGCACAAGAATATGGGCATGTGTCATGCTTTATTGGCACAAGATGGTCTGCAAGACGAAAAGCGCTGGCCCAGCGGCCTCAGCGATTCGGAGAGAGAGGTCAGAAGACGGTTATTCTGGTCTGCCTACCGGCTTGAAGTCCATACATCCCTTGTTCTGGGGCATATAATTCGAATCCAAGAGTCTCAATGTGCTGTTTTATATCCGACAGTTCCCGACAACGATGGCAGGGGCGATACAAATGAAGCAGACGAGTGGCTTACTGGATGGAACCTGATTACTGATCTCTACAGAATTCTTGAATATGCTGTCAATGCCTTTCGAGCTAAACGGACATCAATAGCGTATCAAAGAAGCCCAGCCTTTGCTACACTCTCCGCAGCTCAGGTTCTGGAGCAAGTCCACGCGCTGCAGACCGATTTGCCAGTCCGGTTTCGACAGGCCTCTTGTCAATCCCAGAATGTCAGAAACAATCGGTGCGGGTTCCAAACGGCCAATATTGTTGCTACAGTTCAGGTCTGTTACGCCTCATTTGCGCCGGATGTATTCTTACATTAGGAATAGCTCGTCAAAATGACTATCTTCTCTGCTGAAACGGCTACAATTCGCAAAGCTTGTGAAGTTGCACTTGAGCTCATTGAAAATGTATCCGCAATTCCACTGGAGTATTTCAGAGCAATCAGCTCACCAATGGTAAGAGTCAATCCAATGACTGAAGCCATGTTTGTTAACTAGGACCAGTTCCAAGAACTTTCTGGTATCGGCCATATCCTGAGTAGCGTAATCGGGAAGCAATTGTCCGAGGGAGATTACCAGCATCTCAGACTAGTCATGTAGGAAACCGCGAAGGGTCTTCTCTTTTATTAAAGCTAATGAATCCAGACTTAGTATGGCGGGCCTCCTCACAAGACTCAGCAGCTGTTATGCATCAGCTGGCGAAGCAGGAGCTCGACTGCGTCAACACGTCGACCGAATTGACCAACATATTACTGAGCAACAAGAAAAAGCGCAAACGCGGGAATATCGGGTGCAATCGGAACATAACGACGTGTCTAACAATCTGACAATGGAAGATGTGGTAACAGTCCCGTCAGATTTGTTCGACTACATGCTTTGGAATACCGGTCTTTCCACCTTAAATCCATCCGATTTCTTGTTTTAAGCAACTTGGGGTTTAAATGCAACAACCACTAAGAAGCTTACTGCAGTAGGAGGAGAGCAGAAGTTTCCTTCAGTGGATGATTTTAAATGATTTAAAGTGTATATATTCTTAGGAGTGTAGCAATGGCGTTCCTATTAGAGGGTCATGGTGGTATTGATTTTTTGCGGCATATAGACTTCCCTTCGAGTTCTTTGCTCACGGCATCCCACGGCATACCCTCCAATTCCGATAGTGGACGAATTATTAACTTTGAGAAGGCTTTTCATAGAAGAAAAAAAAATAAACCAATCGATACCCATCATAAGATTTGCGTCGCGTACTTGGTCGTGGAATAGTGGAGGTATGTCTGGGGTATAAGTCTGATTTTAACACACCACTTTATGCATTTTTCGTGTACACGTTACGTCCTTCGTAAACAACTAGATATTCTTGAATCAATCATGAATGTACGTACAGTCTGCTATCTAATGTATCTATTCCAAACATGTAGAAATTAAAGTACTCGACACAGCGGCCGTTAAACGGAATCTACACCTTCTCAGAAGCGAGCACACGTTCACGACCTTCCACTGAACTTGTGTCTCCCTCAAGAACACCGGTAGCCGTTTCATCAAAAGTACCGAAGTAATCCACGTCGTCAATTTCACGACTTCTCTGAATAGGCCAGAAAAAGTCTAGGGCCACATAGGTGGCCAGGGAGACGGCGCATCCGAGAGGCCACTGCGTCCAATGGAGTCAGTAATCACTCTATCTTAGGATCGTCTTGAACTCACAGCCAGATAGTACATCTTCGACCAGGCTCCTATCTCGATGCTCGGGTTTTTAACCCTCTGGACAAAGCCCGGTAATAGCAACCACACTCCCATGGCCCAGCTCACCGGTGCCCGCCAATTAATACCAAATGTATACCAATATACACTGGTCGAACTGAGGTCATACAAACTCGTCAATTTCAACCTCCTCAGCCTGATAATGTAATAATCCGCGTACATCACGCCGGACATCGGGCCCAAAAACACTGCATAGCCCCCCATAACCGTCAAAAACTTGTTGGCGCCATTCATCAGCTGCCACGGCTGCATGATAAATGCAAAGGCCGCAGTGAGCATCCCACCGCGAACGAGGTTGAAGTAACGTGGAGCTAGCGCGGAGAGATCTATGCCATTACAAAGAGCGTTGTTCGCCACGGCGATGCCGAACTGAGCGAAGATAAAGGAGAGGCTGGCAAAAGCCACAGCGGCGCGTGAGCCAGAGGAATTGTTGGAGTGTTTTTGGATAACGGCGAAGAGCTGGTAGGGTTCCCAAAGTCTGGCACAAATGTTAGCGAGATCGTGCAAAGTTGAGTATTGGCCCCTGACAGCGTTTTCTCCTCTGGGTAGAGCTGGGCTGCGCATGATGCACAGATAATACCGATGAGCGCTACAACAATGGTTCCAAGTGGGACCATTATTAGTTGAGCGACGAGCTGATCCTGTGGCTTTCGAGCGAAGCGTGTGTAATCTGATTGCGAGAAGATATGTGTGCAGATTGCGCCTATGTTAGATACGATTCCCAGCACGAGCATCCATGCCAGGTGAGTGCCCTCCGCCTGTTCAACTCCGGCGACGGAACTGACGCTTTTAAGCAGAGAACCGCCACCTTTGGCTTTGACCAGATAATATATGAGCAGGATGAAGACAGTCGGGATGACAGTTATAGCGGCGATACCGAAAGGAATCTTGTACTTTTCGGGCTTGATTCGGATCAGAGGAAGGCAGAGCAGTGCAAAGATTATGAACGCTGTAAAATCAGCCGTGGTCATGGTACCGTTCGCCAGCGGCCTGTTGAGATTGTTGAAGTTCGGCCATAACGCCGCAAGAAACGTCTTGACACACTGACCGCCCCACCATACTTGGGTGGAGTACCAAATGAAGCTCAAGACGATCCTGTTGATGAGGGGAAAGTAGCCTCCTATCATCCCCCAAGACGACTTCTGGAGAATAGAGAAGCCGATGTGCCATTTTGCCCCTGGCATCCCCGAGAGCACGCAGATGAGACCGACAAGCAGATTACCGACAATGACGGTCACCATGGCTTGCCAGACATTGAGACCGAGGGAAATCAAGGACGATCCGGTCGACCAGCCGCCGATGTTAAAGGAGCCGGTCACAACCCAGAGGCCGACGAAGGTCCAGGGACCATACGTGCGTCGATCAGGAGGTAGAGGTCTTGTATCGCGGTTCATGTATGCGGACGTTGGCGCATCATCCTCACGAGGGATCTCGATCCGCTTGAAAAAACGGCGGACCGCTGAATTGGACATCCTGTACCAATGCAAAAGCAGGAATAGGTTCAAAAAGATTTGCGTTCCTACAACGCCGACAGGAAGGGGGTTCGCAGAGCATACTTATAACCCTGCCACTCTTGAACCCGGAAACGCATCTCTTATCTTCGAACTGAGGGCAGCACATGGCTCACGATGTGGAAGCAGATGAAAGATACGGCTTTACTAAAAAGGATTGCACACGCTTGGTGGAAGCCTCTAAGGAACGTTCAATTGTTGGGGGGAAACTGGGGATGAGGTGAAGTTCATCACAAGCATCTGCGGCAATACCCATTTTTCTCCACGGTCCACCCGATGGCACCAGGCGCCTGTGAGATACCATTGGCCGCCTCGTTATCCGGGTCGCGCTAACTTACAGTATCAGTTTATATATAGCAGCTCAAGTTCAGCCGTTGTTCATCAGTTCATCAGTTCTCCCGTTAGCCTTATCAGAGGCATCGTCCACGCCGTACAGCAGGGTTAGGTTGGAATAATCGAGAGCTCAGCTTTACAGAAGGCATGTCGAGTTTGTACTTAGGACGCCAAACTCCGAAAAGAACCGCAAAGCGCGAAAGGCCAGGGCTGTAACGAGTTCCTCAAACTACATACCACTACGAGCCGTCAGCAAGGGAGTACAGGACAGCGGACTGATGCAGAACATCCAAGCACCGGAGACCCCACGTTGCTTGGCGATTCCTTAGCAGCATTAGAACATCTTTAAGTCTTCTAGAAGCTTTGGACAGTTGCAGCATTCTAACCACAGAGCTACCAAAAGCCGTTCTAGTCATTGGGGCAGGACTTGTAATGCACGTGATGAGCTCAACGTTCTAGAAGCTGCACAACGTAGCCTATCTGCTTCAACTAGAATATGAGCTGAACAGCATTGTTGTCCTATCTTGGTAGATGTTGAAACAAACAGTTATTTCTCTATATCCAGGTAGTGGTCAAATGCGATTCCAAAGACCCGATGCTGTACAAGCTAGGTTAGTCATCCTCATGCGATTTCTTTACTACGCACACGAAGAGTTACTATATAGACACCCAGATAATCGAACATGAGGCTAAACAGCCCCATAGTTCTAATCGCCATCCCTCGAGAATCTCAAGGCTGCGTGCCGGTCTTGGAAAATAGGATTGCCCTTTGCCATTGTTGACTCTCAGCAGCCGTTACAGAATGTAGGATTGCTGGATAAGGTACTGTACGGGGTCCTTTGTACCCTGACGATGAATACCTCCGATGTCGACTGTTAATTTCTTAGCGAAGAGTAGTGGGGGTTCGGTCTCCCCCCTCCGCAACATGCCTCTGTTGACACACGTCCAAGTTTACGCCTCAGCCCTGGCTCTATAGGCAGGATCTGGCTCCCTCCTTTTCCCCTTTCTCTTCCGTCCTCGTCTCAATACGTCCCACACCTCTTGTCGTTATGGATTTCAATGGCTCCTCGCCCTTCCCAGAAGGAGTCATCTCCTTCCTCGACACCGACCTCTACAAGCTGACTATGCAATGCGCCGTCTTGAAATACTTCCCGCAAGTCCCAGTGACATACTCATTCAAGAACAGAACACCTGAGAAGAAGCTCTCCAGAGCTGCATTCAAGTGGCTCCAACTCCAAATCAACAGTGTGTGATCTCCATCGCATCGCCGGTGACGTAAGCTAAAGATCTTTACAGAGCTTGGGAACATCGCGCTCTCGAACGAAGAGTTACGATTCCTGCAAAATACATGCACGTACCTTGACAAACCTTACCTCGATTTCCTCAAGGATTTCCGCCTCAACCCTCGGGAGCAGATCGTGGCATCCTTTCTGCCGACTAGCGACACTGGCAGCGATGAAGACCTAGGAGAAATCGATATTGAAATCAAAGGATTATGGGTCGAGACTATTCTCTACGAGATCCCGCTGCTCGCTCTGACAAGTGAGGCATACTTTCGTTTCATGGACACCGATTGGACATACGATGGCCAAGAGGAGAAGGCATACGACAAGGGCATGAGGCTGCTCAAAGCAGGCTGTGTTGTTTCGGAGTTTGGAACCAGGAGAAGAAGAGATTACCATACCCAGGCGTTGGTTATCCGTGGCTTGATCAAAGCTAAGAAAGAGGGAGAGAAGACAGGATTACCTGGCACTATATCTGGAACGAGTAATGTTCACCTGGCGATGAGATTTGGCATTCCACCAGTCGGAACAGTGGCACATGAATGGTTCATGGGAGTTGCCGCTATTACAGGTGACTATAGTACCGCCACTTACAAGGCGTTGAGCTACTGGGTGGGCTGTTTTGGAGAAGGAGTCCTTGGCATTGCCCTTACAGATACTTTCGGAACGCCAGCTTTTCTAAAGGCGTTTGCACAACCTGTCCCAGATCTTACGACCATTACACCGGGAGCGCAACCTTCAACGGAGCCTCGAGGCGAGGAAAAGCCGCGGAAAACATTTGCTGAGATCTTCACGGGCATTAGGCAGGATTCTGGAGATCCGGCCAATTTTGTGAAAATGATGCGCGAGTTCTACGACGAGCAAAATATTAAGGAGCAAAAGACAATCGTATTCTCGGACTCACTTAATATCGATCTCTGTCTTGAATACAAGGAGGTTTCAGAAAAGGCTGGCTTCCGGCCTACCTTCGGTGTTGGTACTTTCTTCACAAATGACTTTGTTCACAAGAGCACGGGGAAGAAGTCCGTGCCACTGAATATCGTCATCAAACTGAGCTCAGCGAACGGTAATCCGGCGATCAAGATCAGTGATAATATTGGCAAGAACACGGGCGATAAGGCGACGGTTGAGAAGGTGAAGAAGTCGCTGGGTTATGTGGAGAGGGAATGGGAGTTAGGAGACGAGTCTTCAAGATGGGGGAAGGAAGGGGAGCCGGAAAAGAAATGATATCTGCTGCGGAGGTCAAGGGACAAGGGAGAAGGGCCAGGGAATGCATGAGCGATGCTTTGATGCGGGGCGGGTACTGAACCTCATAGATATTAGACGTCTAGACTGATCGTGAAACGTCCATTGGTCAATTATCTGAGGTAAAACGCTTGCTTTTCACGTTCCTCTAGGGAGAGATAACTCAGAGTCTCAGTATGTCAACTATTCCCGAGGTGTTAAGCATTTCACTTTCTTACCCCACAAATGAGCCTCGTGCTGCGAGGGGTCTCGCACGTGATGCGGTCCTAGTCGCATCCACCCCTGCAAGAGATTTATCCACCGCGACTGCATACATAAACTTTTTTTTTGCCTGACACCAACAATATCTTCCAACATCAACGTCAACATCAACATCACACAATGGCAAAACGAAAGCGCACTACGAACGGCGACCCAGCAGCCGCAACTGCTGCGACCAAGAAGGTTAAATCAACTGACCCACCGGCCCCTAAAACCACCACCACGATCCAAATAGTCGCGGGATCCTACGACCGAGTCCTTCACGGCGTTACGGTAACAGTACGCCCTGACGAAGATGCCCAATTCGCAGACACCTTCCTCTTCAATGCCCACACATCCGCTATTCGGAGTCTTGCGCTCTCCCCGCCTTCGGCCCCTGTCCCAAAGCAATCCCAGAAGATCATCCTCGCAACTGGCAGCACTGACGAACGCATAAACCTCTATCACCTCTCTGCACACGCACCTTCGAGGATCACCGTGCCCGTTATTCCCTCCCTGACGTCCAGAGCCGTCGTCGAAAATCCCCAAAATCGCGAATTGGGAAGCCTGTTACATCATTCATCCAGCATCACTGCTCTGTATTTTCCCAACAGGAGCAAGCTGCTAAGTTCAGCGGAGGACAGCACAATTGCTATTACACGGACCAGGGATTGGAGTTTATTGTCTTCCATAAAGGTGCCGATTCCCAAACCGGTAGGCAGGCCGAGTGGAGATACAGCGCCTTTGGGAGGGGCACCGAGCGGGGTGAACGATTTTGCGGTACATCCCAGTACAAAGCTCATGATTTCAGTAAGCAAGGGGGAGAAATGCATGAGATTGTGGAACTTGGTTACAGGAAAGAAGGCGGGTGTGTTGAACTTTGAGAGGACGATGTTGGGGGAAGTAGGAGAGGGCAGGTTTAGTAGTGGCGAGGGAAGGAAAGTTGCCTGGGGAAGTACGGATGCAGGGGAAGAATTCTGTGTGGGATTCGAGAGGGGAATATTGGTATTTGGCATGGATAGCAAACCCAAGTGCAAGGTTGTGCCGGAGCCGAAGATGAAGATACACCAGCTTTGTTATGTACAGGTGGACGAGAAGGAAGATATTCAAGTCTTGGCGGTGTCGACAGAGGACGGCAGGATATTGTTCTATTCTACGAGACCTGCGGACCTCACGACAGCAAAGGCGGCTGAAGGGAAGGATGCACCCCTACCTTCTGCGAAATTGATTGCGCAGCTTGGAGGAAAAGATGCTGGGCTTTCTGGAAGGGTCAAGGACTTTACTGTTTTGAGTGTGGGCGAAGGGACCTCGAAAGATCTATTCATTGTTGCAGGAAGCAGTGACGGTGCTCTCAGAGTCTGGAAGCTGTCTGCATCAGATTTAGCCCGTCATAGCGACAAGGTCAAGCAGGTTGGAGTATTGCTCGGCACGTACGAGACGAACAATCGAATCACATGCCTGAAGGCATTTATCATGCTCCCGAAAATGGACGAAGCAGAAGAGGAGGCTGGGGAATTGGAAGACTTCGAGGGCTTTGATGAAGAGGAAGGGGACTCGGAGAGCAGTAGTTCGGATAGCGACTAAAATGATACCCATCAGCTGGCATTTTTAACTGAGATCCACATGATGTTCCACATTGTCAGAGGATTTATTGGTATCAACTCGTAAAGTCATACTGTATTGATCCAACCTATTCACGAACCAGTGTATACCTTATATTTATGAGTAGAGTACTTATGACAAGAGACCCGTCAATAAACCCCGTGATGTGTTTGTTTAGTAGCTACACCCACTGTTTTGATGCGGCTACCCTCGAGTCTCGGCCCTCGTCCGATACTGCCAGGGTAGCTAAGAACTGCTGCCCGCCTACTTACTTGAAGGCAAATACTCAATCCTGGTTCGCGACTCCAACTCAGCGAATCCAATTCGCGTCCCCTTCACATCTTTGCGCTCTCCCTTACCTTTGTGTACCTCTGAGGAAAGCAGCCCCGAAGATGTCTACAGAGGAATCCTCACCCAAACCCGAACCCACGCCCATCTCTGCTCCCATCTCCTCGATCCCTCAAAAACGCGCTCTAGAAGATGACCACCAGCCCACGGTATCTTCACCTCTAAACCCCGATTTCAAAGCCTCTAAGGATGACGTTCCCCTCGCGCGCGAACGTGCATCAAGAGCCAAGAAGGAATCGTTAAAGAAACGAGAATCGAAAGGGGCCGACAGCACCAGAGCGACGCCCGATCCAAAAGCAAGCACGCAGAAGCACAAGAAAAATGGCACTGTTCTTGCTCCTATAAGATACAAGCTCCCACCTCCTAAGATCACCGACTTTGAAGCTCCTCGTGGGCCAGTCTTCACCCTCTCCCACACCAAAACAACCGGACCTTTTGAAACCCAGTTCTACGAGACCACTGACCAGTAAGACCATGGTCCCCTCCCCAAGAACTACAGATCTAACATCTTCAAGTGTGTATAACAAAAAGAACTACCACTACACGCACTGCATCGCAGATCCAGCATTTCCATCCTCCTTGTACTACCGACAATCAGAAACTGAACCCTTTGGGGCGCGCCTCAACTTCGAAGACACTGCTACGCATATGTTCTTGGATAAGGCAGCTCACAGTGTCACAACAGAAAAGGGTTTCAGGATGGCAAAGGCAAATGTTGGAGTACGGGAAGGCCGATGGTATTGGGAATGCAGGATCTTGAGTGGGATACCGCGAGACGGAATGCATGGCACAGACCAGAGTCCCAGAGGTCATGTACGGGTAGGATGGGCGAGACGAGAAGCTACATTAGATGCGCCTGTTGGCTTTGATGCGTACAGCTATGGAATCCGGGATGTGGCAGGACAGAAGGTTCATATGTCGCGGCCAAAGGATTTCTTCCCAATAGGAGAGGATGTTAGAGAGGGCGATGTTATTGGATTGGAAATCAACCTCCCATCGCAATCATTACATCGAAAGATTGTGGAGGGCCACTATAATCCGGCAGTCGATCTCGAGGACGATGGAAATGCTCCCACCGACGCCCCGGATATAATTCGAGACCGGGTTCCTATCCGATTCAAGGCCCACCTGTACTTCGAACAGATAGAATACCATGCCTCAAAGGAGCTGGAGGAACTCATGAACCCTTCGCCAGTCATCTCTTCAAACGGCGGTCTTGCGGGTGGAGGGCAAAAACCAAGTCCTACGCACACATGTCCAGCTCTTAGAACACTACCCCATTCAAGCATCAAAGTCTATAAGAATGGGAGAGAGATCGGAACCGCATTTAAGGACCTGCTAGCCTTCCTACCACCTGCCTCAAAGCCCCTCGCCCAGGTTGGAGCCAGAGAGGGGCTGGACGACGGGATGCTAGGCTACTATCCCGCCGTCTCGGTGTTCAGAGGTGGCGCTGCGGAGGTCAATTTCGGACCGTCGTGGTGGTACGCACCGCCCGACTGGCGCAGTAATGATGATGATGATGTCGACATGGCCGGGAGTGACCAGCCCCGGACTTCGAAACTCAACAGGCTGCGCGCGGTGGCAGAGAGATACGACGAGCAGATTGTGGAGGACATTGTGTACGACATTATTGACGAGGTTGATTTCTGGATGCAGGATGGCGGCGTGGTTGGAGGTGCTACGAATGGCATCCGACCTTCTGGAGGCGTTGCAATGCAAGACGAGAGTCTTGCTGGTGGTGGCATTAGGGAGATCTTGCAGGACGATGAGTGAAAATAGGTACCGACTCTTCCATACCTCTACGGACGTCTCGAGACGCTAGTAGCTCCCAGATCAATGCTCCTCGCCTTACTTTCCTCATGGCTGTTCTTGGTTTTTATTATGCAGCTCTGGCAGGCTCAAATGTTGAACTCCATTCGCCGCTACGCACGCAGGCCGCAATGCAAAAATCACGCATCTCTAAGCTCTTATACAGGTAGATCCATCGCGCATCCGTCATTATCGACTGCTCATGCCGTAGTCCCCCAGCACCGTACCGCTGCAGCAGTAGGATCAACTCAAGAGGAGGTCCCAGAGGGCCTCTTTGTCTACATAGCTATGGTGGATAACATTCACCAGCCAGACATCGCTCATAACCTCCTCGATCAGCTCCTTGCTTTTCCGGGCCTGCTCCGCATCTTCACCCCCGCCTCGCCCGCCCCGGTTGCTGTACACCCGAGCCCACTCGGCCCAGATGCCAAACGCCTCCTCCGCCCACGCTTGGAACGACACCTTCTCGATGATCGTTGGCGTGATGATCTCTTTCCCTGGGAAGGCCCCCCACGTCACAGCATGGGTTGAGCCTCCGTTCATACCATCGACCCCGTCACTCGTATCGCTCGAAATGAAATCTCCTTTTGCGTTTGACGCGTACCAGCCAACCTGTCCGGCGATCGCAGGTGAGGTGAGTTTGGCGTGCAATTCATTCCAATCTTTCGAGGGGAGGAAGAGCTCCACGAACGCTTTTTGAAACACGAACCCGTTTTTCGGACCCCAGCCGAAGATCTGATCCGTGGACGGTACGCCATTTACCGCAGGCTGCGACGCTACAGTCCACCACCCTTTCCTGTTAAGCTTTAACAGCTGGTCCTTAATCGTGCTCGTTTCTTCGTTGAAACCTTCTTCCGACCATGGAATCGCGCTCAGCTTGCCTTCGAGGTGTTGAAGGAATAGATTCGTGATATCCTGGACAGAGGAGGGGTATGACCACAGTTTTATAGCTTGGTTGAACGACATGTGAAGACTGACGCCGTAACCATCGATCTCTCCGTATGCGGGAGAACGTGCATCTCCCCACCGACCGTTGGGGAAGTCGTCCCAAGTTGCTTCACGGCCAAGAGCACCCTCGCCTTCAGATATAGCGAGCGTGTTCGAGCGGCTGTTGATTGGTTCCGCAGGAACGGAGGCCTCGAGCGCAGTGGTTTCGAAATCTGGATTTGAGGCATGAGAGGCAGTAATGATGACACGATTGTGAGGATCAGAACCGGCTGAAGATAGGCGTCGGGATGATGATTCGTTTTCCGAGGCGCCATTGATGGACAAGTTTTGTAGTTGTAAAGTGGTGGGGAGGGGTTCCAGAACTGCGGAGTCGGTTTCTGAGGGAAGGGGGGGAATCAAGTTTGTGCGTTCTAGGATGAAGGCGACCGCCTTTTCGAGGTTAAGGGTGTAGAAGTGGAAACCGCGTGGTTGTTTGGAGGTGTTGGTTGGAGATTTCTTCAAGTGCTCAACCATCTCGGAAACGATATCCACACCCACCTTTTTTACCATCTCATCGTTTCCCTTCACCTCATCCAGACGCGACATAATATCTGAAGGTAAAGCCGCATGGCTCAGCTTCGTAGTCCGTTTGATCATCTGATAGCTTTGAATGGGCATCATTCCTGGGATAATCGGTATTGTTTTGAAAGCCCCACTTTCGTGCTCCCTCAGCCGCTTCTCAAACTTGTCATAAGCGTCAACATCGAAAAATAACTGCGTGACGATGAAATCTGCCCCCGCCTGTACCTTATCCACAAGGTAAGGAAGGTCGTGCTCCAGGCTTTGGCCTTGTGGGTGCGATTCGTCTGCATGGCCTTCTGGGTACGCAGCGACGCCTATGCAGAAATAATCCCCGTATTGCTTTCTTATGTACCGCACCAGATCAATTGCCCACTCGAATTCAAGGTCATCTTTCTTCGCTTCGGCGTCCCCATTAACAGTGTACTCCTCGGTGCGGGGCGGATCGCCTCGCAAGGCCAAAATATTTCGAACCCCCAGACTCCTCGCATCCTCCAATGCACGATCCACTAACTCCTTGCTTATGTTCGTGCACGTCAAGTGCAGGCACGTCGTCAGCCCAAGTTCACGTTGACATAGCTCGGCCAATTCGAGGGATTTCGTGGCGGTAGAGCCGCCGGCACCCCAGGTCACGGTTATGAAGAGAGGGCGCAAGGCGCGGGACATTCGGTCGAGTCGTGCGCGCAGGTTGGAGCTACCCATTGCAGTTTTGGGAGGAAAGAACTCGAGAGAGAAAAAAGTAGAGTCTGGCGGCAATGCCGCTATCTTATCTGTGATCTTCTCCATGACTGAGTGTAGCTGCAGGAACAGGATTGGGTGTTGCGGAGCTGTTCTGCAAGAGGGTTGAGGTTGGAAGAAAGACGAGGCTGCCAGGGAAGATGTGGTGGGTGGTCGACGGCGGGGTTCACTGTTCATGGTTCACGTTTTTTCGGCGGCTAAACCTCGGATATGCACCGCGGCAGATACTTTAGGAGACCAGGGGGGTGGCATTATTGATGCTTATGCCGCACGCGTGCCGAGGTTCACATACCTACTCGAGCTTCAACAGTGAGCTGCACCAGAACCACACGTCGCAACAGCACCTTCACTCCCACCACTGCGGAAGAAAAGGAGGGAATTCCCAAGATGGCAGATCATATATCGGACGCGCCCTCCCCAGCGACCAAAGCATATAACTACCCCTTTGCCGCCGCCCCTGATATCATCCGCGCGCATCAGAAAGACGCCTACTTCGAAGGCATTCTCCTAAACCACCTCTCCGCCTTCCTGCGGCGCTTATACGGTGCTCGGTTTATTCACACCTATACCAGTGAAGCGCGGACCTTCTCAGAACTTCTATATCTGGGCCTCACGACGTTCATTGGGAATCGGACCCTGGGAGAAGAGTACTGCGACATTATACAGATCGAGGACGACACGCTCCAGCTGCCAGCGATCGGGAGAAGGGCTGGTTATATCATCACGGCTATTCTGCTGCCGTATGCGCTGAACAAGATACTGCCATCATTCAGGGCGCGAATACGAACGAAACTGGAAAGCAATCTTCGGCGTTTGACGAGGAGTAAACAGCATAACTCTTGGAAATATAGGTTCCAGAGCTATCTCCTGGAGCACCTCTCTACCATAACCTCACCATCGCCCATCCACGCCCTCACCCTTACAATCTTCTACTTCACGGGCTCCTACTATCAGCTCTCGAAACGGATCTTTGGGCTCCGGTATATTTTCACCAAGAGGGTTGAACAGAGTGAGGCGCGTGTTGGTTATGAGGTCTTAGGTGTACTTCTGGTGCTGCAAATGAGTGTGCAAGGGTGGCTGCATCTACGTTCCACGCTGGCGAATCGGAACGAGGTCATGGGAGGGGCGGCGGTATTAGGTGGCGGCGTCGAGGTCTCTCTTGACCCCAATTCCTACAGTTCCAATCAAGAACTCCTTCTCGAAACGCCTGTCGCGCGCTCGAATGAGGAGGTCAGCAAAAGGACGCATACCGAGGTTTTGGCGGGCCCCAGATTCGACTTGAGAGATAACGAGGAGACGATAGGGTACATCAAAGGGCAGAATAGGAAATGCACGCTGTGTCTCGAGGGATTGAAGGATCCGAGTGTGACGCAGTGCGGGCATATCTTTTGTTGGGAGTGTATAGGTGATTGGGTCAGGGAGAAGCCAGAGTGCCCGCTGTGCAGGAGAGAGGCGATGGTCCAGCATATTTTACCTTTGAGGGTTTGATGAGATGAGAATCTTGGCTGGGAAAAAGATGGATAGTTGGATAGCATAAGGTCTATCACATGTTATCATGTGAATGGAGGGATAGCTTTATATTTAGAAGCTGCTCCCTTGGCAATGGTTTGTGTGATACCATACGATATCTATATACAGAGGTACGGGAATTCAGTACGCATTTGGACTTGCATGACAAGTCCAAGTCCAAACGTCAGAAGCTGAACATAGAGCAATTGTACGTTCCCAAGGGGAGGGATGAGGGTGCAGATTCATTGAACGTAATTGTGATCCTAATATATCCGTATGCGACCCTCATGACCCCTTCCTTCCTTTCTTCTCCCCAAACTCTGCAATAACCATATATGTATACGACCTATTTCCACTATCCCATGCAGAAAGTAGAAATTGAAAAGAAGGAGAAAAAATCAAAACAAGAAGTAGAAGAGCTCCTAATCATGACCGGAATCGCACCCAAAGAACGTGCTATCCAAATACTAAGCTATAGCCTTATAAATCACCTGTGCGAAGTCTATAAAAACAGACATGGTCCCATCTAGCTATCCATTCTAAGTGCGAAATTCAGGAACCAGGGGACGCGGTTCAAAAGGGAGGAGTTTGATGGAGTTATGGGCCAGCTTACTGTATTTACTTCTTTCCTTTTTCTTCTCCTTTCTGGGTTGATTTTATTACCCCCCCCCCCTCTCTTTTTTCCCCCCTCCTTCTCTCTCTTCCATAAACAAAAACGAGTTACAAGAAAGGAGATAGATTAGAGCGACGAGTGCCTAAGAGGTAGAAACTAACATCATTCATTCCCTCAAAAGGCGTCTCTAGGAACCAATGGATGCGTATCCCGAAGCTAAGATCTTCTTGATGACGAAGGAGGAAGAGGAATGGCTCGCGAGTATTAAGAATTTTAGAGGACGCTCTGGGCTCCGTATTCTACTGAGACGCAAGTGTCGCCTATAGAATCAGCAACACCTATGCGTGATTATGTATAGATTGTTGATTTTGCACTATTGGGGTTTATGAAGTCTGGGGCTCATAATGAGATGGTGATAGAGACAGTGAGGGAAAGGGGGGAAAAGTGTCGGTTTGAAGGTTAGAGAAGGATGGCATAAGTTATGTGAATTTCTGGGAAAGGAGAGACCAGGGGAGTGCAGTGATGAGGCTCCATGAAGATTTACTGGTAGGACAGACATGTAATTACCGTTTTGATGCAGAGAGTGGATGAATTATAATTGCAAGGAATCTGGAAATAAAGAAGATTGATGGGACCATCTAACAGGATATTGGTCTATAGATCAACACTCAGAGAGTAGCGTAAGCACTTGCATAGCTAACACTCGAGTCACCCACCTCCGTGACCTCGCTACTTCTCTCGTACCGCACAAACTTAAACCTTCCCTTGTTGTCTTCGCCACTCTTCCCTTCTTTCTCCAGAACTTCGATAGCAGCCATCACAACCCCAATAGGATGTCTCCCGCAAACCGTATTTCCAGTCTCTCTCAGGTTCTCCAGGAATGCGTCGTGCTTGCCCGTCTCAATAGCATCCATCGCCATCCGATCCAATCGTCCTATACTTTCATAAATAGGGGGATTCGTTGGGGCTTTGTCTTTCCTCCTTAGAGAAATCCCGCTGGGGTTTGAAGATGCGGCCGAGGAGGGTGAAGCTGGGAGGTAGTACGTATATTGGAATCTAGAGCCCCAGTGACAGAAATCGGATGAGACCACGAAGACACTGGAAGGGTCGGAAAGGTAAGGGGCGAGGATGGCACCGTATTCCTTCTCTTTCGCCGGACTCGTATTCCCAACCAATATCGGTATCAATCCTGGATATTCACTCGGCGAAGAGAAAGAGAGGGAGAGCATTTTGTAGATATAGGGGAGGTGCATCTCCAGAGAATGTTCTGTCTCATCAGCGTCCTCACTCATGACGTCAAACTTCCCCGTCTTCTGCAGCTCTTCCACGACGCCCTTGTCAATAACTAGATCACCGAGAGGAGTAGCGTATTTCGCATGCGCGCTCAGGGCGCAGCCTGGAAGGTATAAAGCGTGTGAGGGGCCAAGGAGGAAGATTCGTTTTGCCTTCGAGAGGTCGAGGGATTTATAGGCCCATGCTGCGGCGGGCCCAGAGTAGGAATAACCTGCATGCCTGAGAAGCCTTAGTGAAGAGATACATAGAAAATAGATTGCCACCCTTACGGTGCAATAATCACTCGTGCGTCTGGTACTGGCAGCTGTTTCCCATCGATGGATGAGGGGACCTGGGAAAGCCACTGATCGAGCTCACTAGAAAGCGTGGACGAGCGTGAGGAGTACCACGATCCAGCATGGCTAGCAACTCTGGTTGTCATCTTGAAGCTTGTGAGAATGGGAAGTTGTATGAGAAGGAGGAGGATGTGATGTGCGGCTGAGAGGCGGCTGAGACTCACTGACGTTGCTTTGGAGGAGGAGTGCGGGGCGGTCGTCAGATAAGATAGCGGAAACCCCCCATGTTAGCGCGTCCACTAGCGCCAAACCAGCCTTTTCACACCAACAATTTTTGTTGTCAGATATAGATGAAATTAGAATAAATGAAGAGCCCTATATCGGGGCATCATTTTGAGCTATTTAGAATATCTGTGCGAGGCGGTGGTGGTGAGATGTGAGGGGGTCGAAAGTTTTGTTGCACATCGCACTTTTGGACGACGTTTTTCTGATTCTGAAAATTCCGAGCGGATGTGAGGCTGCAGCCTTACCACATGATTACAGTCCTGATCAGGCTGACGCTCGGCCTTGCGATTCCGCCGGCAATGCCGCGCTGAACCGCTCAACCTCGGTTCCCCGCGTTACCCCAGGTTATCTGTAGACGCTTCGGCGTTCTTACGAGGTATATCAACACCTCACGTCCACCAATCTTTCACCTGGTTCCTTTCTTTCATAGCTATTGTAACAATTCTTTTGCCACAGCTACGTATATAATACCCCCTCGACCTACATATAACATAACATACAATCGCCATCATGGTCGCCAAGCGCAATGAACCATGCTACGTCCTCGGCGTGGGCATGACCAAATTCATCAAGCCCCGAGGAAAGGTCGACTACACGGAGCTTGGCTTTGAAGCGGGCGTCAAGGCAATGTTGGATGCACAAATCAACTATGACGATGTCGACCAAGGCGTGGCCTGTTACTGCTACGGCGACAGCACTTCTGGCCAACGAGTTTTCTACCAATTCGGCATGACCCAGATCCCCATCTACAATGTGAACAACAACTGCTCGACCGGCAGCACGGGGCTTTATATGGCGCGGACCATGATTAGCCATGGTGCAGCGGATTGTATTCTCGTGGTTGGGTTCGAGAAGATGAATCCCGGCAGTCTGCAGAGCTTTTGGAACGACAGGGCGAATCCGATAGGCACGAGTACAGAAATGATGATCCAGACAAGGGGCATCACGACCGCGCCTAATGCAGCTCAATTATTTGGGAATGCTGGACGGGAGTATATGGAGAAGTGCGTGGTGCTATTAGCCTTGCCACCCTGATTGTATTGCTGCCAGCGTGAACCAAGATGCTGACCCTCCTCCCATAGGTACGGCGCAACCGCCGAAGACTTCGCTGAAATAGCCCGCATCAACCACGAACACTCCCAGAGAAACCCCTACTCTCAGTTCAAGGACGTCTATACCCTTGACCAAATTCTGAAATCGCCTATGATCCACGCGCCTCTCACCAAGTTGCAATGCTGCCCGACTTCCGATGGCGCAGCCGCAGCCGTGCTAGTTTCCCAAGCCTTCTTAGACGCCCGCCCACACCTGAAGGAACAGGCAATCTTGATAGCCGGACAATGCCTGGCGACCGACTCCCCGAGCCTATTTTCTAAATCTTCCATTGAACTCGTGGGTGCCGAGATGACGAGATACGCCGCGGCGACCGCCATGAAGGAAGCGGGCGTCACCCCTGCCGACGTCAAGGTATGTGAGCTACACGATTGCTTCTCAGCCAACGAGATGGTCTGTATCGACGCCCTTGGTCTCAGCAAGACCGGTGAGGCACACAAGATGGTCCGCAACGGCGACATCACCTACGGCGGCAAGATGGTTATCAACCCCTCGGGCGGTCTGATCTCTAAGGGACACCCCCTCGGCGCGAGCGGCATCGCTCAGTGCGCCGAGCTCTGCTGGCATCTTCGTGGCTGGGCCAACAACCGCCTGGTGAAAGATACGCGGGTGGCGCTGCAGCATAACCTAGGATTGGGAGGCGCCGTCGTCATCACCGTATACAAGCGCGCGGACGGGAAGTCGAATTCGCCCGTGGACGACGCGACCGTCGGGAGGATTACAGGGCTTGGCTATAACCCGGCGGTGCAGGCGAAGGGTTTCACGGAGAAGCAGGCTGCGAGCGTGAAGAGTAGGACGAAGACATCTGCGTGGGCCCTCGGGGACACGGAGAAGAAGGTCGAGGCTAGATTTTGAGCCAACCACCTCTTCTTCTCCTTGGTTGGAAAAGTTCAAGCTGTTTTGTTGCATCTTCTTTCTTCCAGGGTAGCTATTTATCAGTACACTACTAGTTTTGATCATCTGTATCAATGCCCGGCCTTCCGTTCCCATCCCTTCCAAACATCCATACGCCCTCGCTATCTCCAAAAGACTCCAGCTGTATTAACTGTCAATAGATCTATGCCTGTTCATTGTCTGGGATTTCTTTCTCCCTCTCGCTCCCATCTCATTCATCCCCTTCCGGAAGTCCCTTAGTGCTGGGCGCCAATACCGAATTCGGTATTATCCATTCATCCTCTCAAGCCCCTGGGCCCTCTTTCGTAGGAATACCCAACTATTGAGTTGCCTACGAGTCAAGAGAAAGACCCTATCACATTCCAGCATAGGACCAGCCTAGATTCCTCGGCAGACATCTCCGGCGCAACTCAGCATCGCACGTCCATCTTGCAGCTTTCTTCGAGGTCCTCGAAGGCTGATCATATTGGACATCAAACAGGCTAGGAACTGGTCTCAGGCTTGTCTCCGCATCTTTTGCCGCCAATGATTTTTTTTTTTCGGATATGCTCAATAGCTGGCTGGGTATATGTTAAAGGCAGCTAAGATGTAATCGGGTACAGTGCAAAGGAACCACGTATTTCTCAAACTCCCATGTCTGGCGAGACCTTCCTGCTATTCCATGTCCACAACGCCAATTGCGACCAGTATCCCGAATACCAGGCCTGGAAATACCAACGCCGAAAATCAACCAAGTTTAGATCACTTGCTACTCCCGTCTACCAGGTGGTACAGGACTCGGCCTTCCATTCCCCTGTTCATCGGCCTTTCGCTTCGTGCCACCATTCATGGCCCCGGGATTGTTGGCCAACCTCTTTCTCTCCATCTCCTTCTTATCTCTCGCTTGCTCCTCGGCGGCTCTCCTCTTCCACTCATCACGGATTCCCTTCGCTGCGGCGATGAGGTCTTTCTCTGTAACTCGATCCGTGATACTCTCGATGACGCTCTCCACTGTACTTGTATGATTCGCAGTGGTCTTATCGTCTCGGAACCGCATATATCGCCACCGTTTCCGTGAATCCATATAACACTCCACTATCCTGTCATCAAGCGGCTGCTGCAACGATTTTAGGCTCTCCCATTCCTCAGGCTCTAGATACATGGTACCGTACCAGGGATCTTCTCGACCGTCCCCGGCATATACCAGCAAGTTGCAAATAGGCATAGCATCATAGTCGAGGTAAGGCTCCGTGATGCCCTCAGCGATGTCAATTTCGTCTGGTTGGACGAGAGGAAATTGGAGGGAGAGGCGGAAATCGATGCTATTTTCTGTTTCTGGCTTCCACTTCAAGATGTGTTGGTCGGTGCCGTGCTTATATTCTGTGCTTCGGCATGTGAAAATCAGACCATCATTTCCGTGGGGTAGTGAAGGCAGGATTTGCCGGAACATCATCTCAACGGCGTAGCTGAATTGCATTTGTTTGAGCTCAACTATGAAGTGCATGAATGGTATTTCTTCAGGATAGTCCTGTAGGAGCTGCTTGTATGGGTCAAAGATCCGTTCTTTAAAGTAGGCAATCCGCTTGTCGAGGGAGCGGTTCATCAGGCTGTTGCCGTCTAGCACCATGCAGTCGAAAACCAGGTATTTGGGTTGCATTTGTCCATTCGGAAGTTTGTCCATCACGAGCTCGCCATCGATAAGAGTGTTGACATGAAAGCCCTCCACGTTTCGTGGTACAGGGAAATGTAATCCGCCCTTGGGAATGAACCAGTAGTCATTTTTGCGGTCGATGAGGTATTGTATTTCTTCGTCATGGTCGTCCTTGGTGAGATAGAGGAGGTATCGCATGCCATCAGACTTTTCGCAGACATAGTAACTGGGAAGGTCAGTACTGCTGGAAAGCCAATTACTATGTGACTTACTCTTGCTTTGTCAACTCTTCTAGATGTCTCCTGGCGAAACTAACGGGTTGCGCGCCTGGAAAGCTCAAATTCTTTCTGTCAAGGAGATACGCAACCTCCTGTCGCATTGTGTATAACAGATCTCCTTCTGCCTTTATCCCAGGCGCCTCGATAGACTCTAGTGGGCCACTCATGTTGGCGGAAGGCGCTGCGAAATATACTGTCGCAGGCGGAGGCGCAAGGCTGAAAAAAAAGTTGTTCGACAGAGGCTGCTAGAGGTCGGAAACCCACCGCGCAAATTCGGAGGGATATGGCGAGTACAATAGCAGTGGATCATGCAGGTAGATATCAACTCGAGGTCTGGTTATCTCGTTCGTGAACAAAGAATGAATGGTCTTTGGACTGCGTTTGTTGAGGATCAGTCCTAGGAATTGGGATTGATGTGGATGATGAGTTTGGATGAGATAGATACGCGGGCAGCGATGTAGTTAACCTACAGGATAGATACTGCAGTCGGCGTGGCGCATTATCCCGTCGAGGTGAACGTCCAGTCCAACATCAAAGAGAATGGTTGTAAGGCGTGAGTCGTGAATTGTAAATCGTGACGTCCTTACTCGCGACGGGTCACGTGCCATACAGCCTGGCGATTACTGTACAAAAGATACAGTACCTTAGATACTGGTAGGAGTACCATAGTGATGTCGTTACAGGTTACAACACCGTATAGTCCATGTTGTTCTTGGCTGGACTGCTTCAAATTGTCTATTCTAGAGTCTAGAGTTGTACATAGCTCGTCTATATAAATATGCACATATATCTATCTACCTCGAACCCTGAGTTCTCTCCTTACTCCCGAGTTGGCCCCCTGGCTAGAAAGAACATTCTATGTATGCAAACGCTTCTCATATGCACCAGATATTCTCGCATGACGCTACACTCATAGCTTCGCCTTGACTTTGGCGTCCTTCACATCCTCTGCCAAAATATTCTTCAACTTCCTCCGTAAGATCTTCCCACTGGCAGTCTTTGGAATCTCATTGATCCATCTGATACCACCTCTCAACCTCTTGTGCCTCGCCACCCTTTCTTCCAACCACTTCACGATGGCTTGTGCATTCTCCTCGTTCTTCTCCATACCCTCCTTCAACACCACAAAAGCCAACGGGACCTCGCTCGCGATGCTCTCATCATAGCTGCCTATCACGGCCACATCATGCACTGAATCGTGGCCCATCAACAAGCCCTCCAATTCTGCGGGGGCAACCTGAAAGCCTTTGAATTTGATGAGTTCTTTGACGCGGTCCGTGATATACATGTTGCCGTGCTCGTCCTCGTACCCAAGATCGCCGGTTTTGAAGAAGCCATCGGGAGTCTTGCTGGCAAGCGTCGCGGCAATATTGTTATGATACCCCTTGAAAACGTTGGGGCCTGCTATCCAAACTTCACCTTCTTGGCCCGTCGGCACTTCATTGCCATCGGGATCCACAAACTTAACGATTTGGTTGGGTAGAGGGGGGCCGTTGGAACCCATGCCTACGTCCCATTTTCTCTGTATTGTATTAGTGGCCAGACTACTACAAAAAAGGGAAGAAGTGACGCACTTGGACATGAGTTACAGGACTCGTCTCACTAAGCCCATAAGCTTGCTTGACTTCGATTCCAAGTCGATCCTTAACCGCGTAGATGAGGTCTTTTGTAAGAGGGGCTGCACCAGAAGTTATCATCCTCAGAGACGACAGGTCGTAGTTGGATACGATGGGATTTTTGGCGAGGTGAACGAGAATCGGCGGTGCAACGTATGTATAAGTTATCTTGTAGTTCTGGATGATGGAGCAGAAGTTTTGGAGGTTGAATGAGGACATAACAACTGTTGTCAATCCGCTATATGCAGGAAAATGCACAAGACATTGGAGTCCTATGAAATGAAGATTAGTCCGTGCTTTGTAGATTTACTCATGGCAATATTAGGTAGGGGTTGGGTAGAAGAAGTCTCTTACCATAAATATGATAGTATGGTAATACGGACAGAATCTTGTCCCGGTTCCACTTGAGAAGTTCTCCTTCTGCGCTGTTCACCATAAACATATCAGACACAACATTAAGATGCGTCAGCATGACCCCCTTCGGCAAGCCAGTGGTTCCAGATGAGTATACTAGGAAACTCAGATCTTCATCTGGGACCAACTTTGCCCTCGTTCCCCGTGGAATCTCGTCTAGTAACTGCGTGAAGTGTTTGAACCCAGGATCTCTCTCCTCTCCAATCAAAACAATCCGATCCCTGCTAATACCCGACTCAGCTGCAGCCTTGAGCGCAACGGGAAGCAAGCTTCTCTGCGTAAACAGCGCCTTTGAACCGCTATCTTTCAGATGATGCACCAGCTCCCTCACTGTATATGCTGGATTCGCCGGACTCACAATCCCACCCGCCCAATGACAACCCCACGTCACGGCCGGGGTATCGATGCAATTCTGGGAGAAGAGCGCCAGGACATCGCCCTTTTGCCAGGAAAAGTGACGACGCAGGCCGGAGCCGAGCTGTTCGGTGGTCCTCCTGAGCGAGGCATAGGTGTAATTGCGGCCGGTGACGGGACATTGATAGAGGACTGGGATGAAATGTCAGTTAGCTTTAACATAGAGAGATATTCAAGATTGGGTTTGAGGGCTTGCCTTGAGAATCTGGGAATGGTTTATCCTTCCTCTCGAACAGTGCGGTCCAGAGGTCGGTATGGGGGATGTCGATGCGGGGAATTGGGCGCGGCATGTTTGCCGGCGTAAACAAGAGTTCGAAAGTTTTAGGTTTTTGTCGTTGTTATTGGGCTTCGTAAGAGTAAAACATCACAGTCGAATATTATGAAGATCTAAGGAAGGGATTAGAGCAACAATGATGATAAGAAGGGGGAGCGCGAGGTAGCCGGAAACCAAATCCCCCTCCCCATATTTCCGGAACTCGGGAATACGGAGTAGTATGGGGGGTTGGCGGGCCGCGGGGTAAGCCGAAAGCCTACTACGGCAGCCGTTGTCGGACATAAGAACTGTGAAATGTTGGATTCTTACCTACGAGCTCAATCTTGAAGCGTCTCAATTTATTCCTCCTGCGCAATCGCATCCTATAGCTACCGTATCGAAGAGAACTGGCTCACAATGAGGACTTATAGCTCTAACCCGCACCTATAGGCAATGAAAAAACAAGTCAATTCTCAGAGACGCCCGCCACCAGAATGCTAGCAAAATCTTACGTAGGAGACTCCATGTATGCCTATGCAAATCAACCAAGGGGCTTTGGCTTCTTCTTTTTCTTCTTCTCGGCGCCCTTTTGGAACTCCCTCCAGCTGCCAATCCTCTGCTCCCTCGTATTTTCCCAGTCCTGCTCATGCTCCCGCTTCCTCTTCCTCGCCTCTAACTCTTCCTCTGCCTTCTTCTGCTCCCGGCCCTCCTCCTGCATCTGCGCCTTTAGCTGTCGTCGTCTCCTATGCTCATTGTCAATCAGCACCATCTTGGTCTTTTCTCGCCAATCCCGCGCGAATTTCTCCGTCTTCAGCTCCGGGCTATCAACCGTCCACTTGTTCTCGCGAATCAGCAGCATACGCGCATCTGCGATCGCCTCGTCGAGGCGCTCGCGATGTTTCTCGTCCATGAGCTCCGTTTGCGCCTTTTTGAGCCGGTCGAAGGCTTCTGGTGCCCGTTCATTTCTCGTTTTATCCGGATGGATTAACAGCGACTTTACGCGGTAGCATTTCTTGATGTCGGATTCGGGCACACCGGGCTGGAGGTCGAGTACCGCATAGCTGTAACGGAAAAGTAGTCGTCAGTGCTATGGCGAGCGCTCAACTTTGGGGAGCATACTTACGCATCTAGACGGAAAGCTTTCAAGATGCGATCGATTTCTGCATCCTGCAAGGGTGGCAATATGTCAGTAACATGACTTGCAGGAGAAGTGTAGTGTGCCAAGTACCTTAACGAACTCTTTCTCCTCGGATTCCAGAGCTTCAAATGCATCGATCTCATCATCAGCTTTCTCGACTTTGGTAGTCATGGCTCACCGTATGATGCTACCAGAAGTGTCGAGCTTCCGATCAGTTGGGTGGTTGAAAGTTGGGAGTTGAAGGCTCGCAGATTGAACAGAGCTTGAATTGTCGCGACTGCTTTGATGTAATAACTGTGACGGCCTTGTTGCCTTAGGCATCACATCGCCAGCGCTCAATCAAATATCGAGCTAAAGGAGACAACCCCCTTACAGAGTACCTATATAGGTATGTACATCTTGATGTATTCAAATTTCTTTTTATTTCCCTACATTTATTTATACATCACGCCGATTTACTAATCTCACCCTTGACCCATTTCTCCAATCCACCTCTGGCAATAATTTCTTGAACATTAGGCGGCAGTTCGCCAACCTTCTGACTCCACGTCTTTCCTCCTTCTCCTTCGGTGACGATGACCTTGCTCCGCTTCACATCCCAAACGAGCTTCCATCCAGTTCTTCTGGTAAGCACCTTCTCCTCGGCAGGGCTCGCCTGCTTTGATGGAGGTGGCGAGTCAAGACTATCCTTGTTTTCGTTCGGTTCGTTCACATGGCTATTGGATTCTACCTTCTTCGCTGAGAATGTCTCACGGAGTCTCTCGATGAGACGCGGGACTTCCACCCCCATGAGGGCGTTGTTTATCGAATTCCGCGAGAAGATGTTGCCAAAAGACCCGGCGACGACAAGAGGGATTTTCTTGGCCAAGATTGCTGTGGCGGCTTGTTCTCTGGAGCTCCCACAACCAAAGTTGAATCCAGAGACTAGGATATCGCCTTCGCGAGCAAGAGAACCGAAAGCAGGATCGTAGTTCTCCATACACACCTTGGCCATGACCTCCGGTGTGATGTCATCTTGATAAGTGTATTTCCCGGGGTAGATACCGTCGGTGTTGATGTTGTCTGCATCGCAGAAGATGATTTCGCCTTCTATCTTCTCAGGGAAGCCGGGGAGGATGGCAGTCAGTGATTCTTCATCCTCTGCCGCTTCTGTTGCCTCTTGCGATCCACCCAGGATGGATTTCTCGGCCCCTTCAATGATAGAGTCGGCTTGGGAAATGATCTTATCCAACGCCTCCTCGATACTGATAGCGCGATCCTCTTCCGGAATACCATTCCCCTCACCAAGGACCACCTTCTCCACCCCGATTGGCTTCTCATACCAACCCGGCCCGGCAATTGTTCCCTTCAGGGCGGATGCTGCTACCACTTCCGGAGATGCAAGGTAGGCCTTCGCATCTGGGCTTCCCATTCTGCCCTTGAAATTTCTATTGCTTGCACTTATTCCCACTTCACCGGGCTCTAACAGCCCAGTCCCAAGGCCGATACATGGCCCACAGCCTGCCGGCAACGGCTGTGCTCCGGCATCCAACAAAGCTTGCCAGTCACCCGCTTCTTCCGCGGCTTGCTGTTCTGGGAGAGATGCGGCAGCAATGTAGAATTTCACGCCAGGGGCAATCTTGGCGGGGGTTCCAGAGGCGGAGGCGTCCTTGAAGACCTTCGCAGCTGCAGCAAGATCAGAGGCCCGGGAGTTGGTACATGAGACAAGGTAGGCTTTGTCCAGTTTTATATTTTGCGCTTCCAGAGTGTTGAGGGGAGTAGCGACCTTTACGGAGTTTGGACCCGAGACGTATGGCGATAGAGTAGACAGGTTGAGGTAAAGAGATTTCGCATACTTGGCTCCTTTGTCTGCCACCATCGCATTTTGCAACAGCTCGTCAATTCGTGCATGTGTGAATCTTGTGTCCTTGCCTTGGTCAAACAGCGCAGCTGTCGTAGCCTTGGCTCTTAACCATGCCTTCAACATATCATCAATAGGGAACAGTCCTGTCAAGGCGCCCCATTCTGTAGTCATGTTCGCAATCGCCAATCGATCATCCACTGGTATGGACCGCATCGTTTGCTCACTCCCCGTGAACTCAATGGCATGGTTCAGCACCTCGTCGTTGTTAAACAGCCCACACAGCGCCACAATAACATCTTTTCCCGTAACTCCCTTCGGCAACACACCAGTAAATGTAACTTTCGCAATAGGGGGAATCTGCCACCATGTCTTTCCGGTCGCCCAAATGGAAGCTGCGTCCGTCCGAACCATCGCCGTTCCCAAACAGCCGATCCCTCCATACATGTTGGTATGCGAGTCGCTCGCAACGGTCATCGTCCCAGGCCAGGCGTATCCCTCTTCTACCATAATCTGATGTCCAATGCCCCTTCCCGCGGGGTAGAAATCCACTCCTTGCTTCTTGGCGAACTCCTCAATCTGGCGATACTTCTTCAGGTTCGACTCGGACTTATTTTGTACATCGTGGTCCAGGGTCATTACGATCTGTTTCGGGTCATGGATTTTGGTGGCTCCAATCGACATAAACTTGAGCGCCACAGGCCAGGAGTTGTCGTGGGTCATGCAATGGTGCGGGGAAAGGGTGACATAGTCTCCAGATTGGACTTTCTTTGAGGGTGGAAGGCCAATGGAGTATTTTTGGACGATTTTTTCAGTGAGAGTTTGCGGTATTCCGCTTGTAGATCCCTTAAGTGCAGATAAAGTAGAAGAGGGGTTTTGGGATTCGAGTTGAGAGTGGAAGACATCTTGCATTCGTTGCGCCGTGGAGGTAAAGGCTCGGAGAGGAGAACGGAAAGCTCTGAGGGGGAGAAGGTTCGTAGATGGTTTGGCCCGGAGGCCATAACCAATGCGTTGCTGTTAGGCTAATAAGTAGGGGCATTCACACAGAGGAGGTATAATCCTTACAGTTATCATTTTGGTAGCATTGATGCAATTGCGATGATGATTCATATGAAGTTCTGCATACTTTGTACCCCAGGAATTTTGTTTTCTTATATCAGCTGCGATTGGCTCTCCTCATCCAATCAGGCTTCGCGCATTTTTCATAGGCCGATGCCGCACGTTTGGGGTATCTATATAAATTATGTGGGTCTATGTATCACGACATATGAACAATTACTTGATTAGTTCGTCAATCGCTCAACGAGTATGGGTACTTTCTGGGCACATTATACAGTCCATTACTGTATTACCATATATATACAACTGCCTATGTCATGCCATTCTTCAAGATGCCGAACCCGCCTTGCCACTAACAGCCTTAATTGCCGCCCCTAAAATCTGGAAGCCCTCCTCAATCTCCTCTTCTGTAACTGTCAAACTAGGCACAAAACGCAGCGTATTTGTACCCGCAGTAATAACCAAGAGCCCCCTTTCTCTCGCAGCATTCACAATCGGTCCCGGATCTTGGCTTAACTGCAAGCCCAGAATCAACCCTTTGCCTCTAATCTCCTTGATTAAGTCCGGATACTGGGACTGTAACTCCTTAAAATGCTTCATGAAGATCTCTGATTTAGCAATGACGGAGGATTGGAGTGCTGGATCTGAGAGTCGCGAGACAATATAATGTGCCAGTCTGCTTCCTAATGGGTTCCCGCCAAAGGTAGTCCCATGATCACCAACGGCTATCTTCTCGGACACAGAATCAGAGACGATAGTAGCGCCTATTGGGAAGCCGTTTCCTAGTGCTTTAGCCGTGGTTATGATATCTGGGTGAGCGGATTTTGGGAGCGAGGAATGGGCCCAGAAGGTCCCGGTGCGAGAAAGCCCGCATTGGATTTCGTCGTAGATAAGAACGGCGCCAACTTCTCTGCATCGTGCTGCGAGGGCGACGAGGAATTCTTCTGTGGCAACGATGATGCCGCCTTCACCTTGAATTGGTTCTATGATGACTCCGCACGTCTTCTCCGTCACCAAGTCGTTGATCCCAGCCACATCGTTGTATGTCCCATACTTGAACCCGGGAAGCATAGGCGCAAAAGGCTTTTGATACTTCGGGTTGGGCGTCGCGGATAAGCTTCCCATTGTTCTGCCATGGAAACTATTGTTGAAAGACACCACCTCATATTTCTCGCCGGAAGGGTCCAGGACCTTCCCCGACTTCCGAGCGAATTTTATAGCAGCTTCGTTGGCTTCGGAGCCGGAATTGCAGACGAAGACTGCGGACGCATTGTGCATACCCCCCGCTTCAACAGTCTTCTTCACGAGTAGTTCGGAAAGGGCGCCGGTCCAAGGATTATAGTATAGGTTCGAAGCATGCATTAATGTCTTCGCCTACTTCCACGTGTATATTAGAAATTGCTGTCACTCCGTTGAAAATAAATTCGGCGTACTTGCTGGGAAATCAGCTTGCTGACTTCTGGATCACAGTGTCCAAGGGAATTGACCGCAATCCCCGCGGTGAAATCAAGATATCTTCGGTTCTCGATGTCCCAGAGATAGGAGCCCTCACCCTTGACGAACATCGGGGGAGGGCGGGCGTAGGTCTTCACCATGTACGGTGCATGTTCGTTCACGAGGGAGGAGGTCGCAGAGTCTGAGGCTGGATCTGGGTTTGGTAATCGAGCATCCCTCTGTACAGTCCGGCTTGGTCAATTGCGTCCAAAACTTAGCTGAGGAAGGGAGAAATAGAGACGTACATAGATCTCGCTTTTGATTTCCTCAGGAAGATTCGTCGTCGTCGAGGAAGAGGCATTTCTCCTGAGTATAGAACTCGACACAGAGATATTGCCGGACTGTAAAGCAGCCACTCCGCGCTTTGCTGATATTCGAAGAGCCATTTTTGAGAACACAATGGATGTGAAGGGCGACGGCGAAAATGCCAATTGTGACTCAAGCACGCAGGGTCAATCTTAGCGTTAATCGATAAATAGTTCTTTTTATCGGCCGACATATCGGACAAAGTTCGACTGAATCGACTGATTTTCCCCGCCAAAACATTCCCCAATCCCCTTTTAACCCTCCTCTGCCTGGTCCTCCAAATAGATCAACACTTACGACGGGACGCTCATTCTTGTAACTTGTTCAACCATGACTGTATGTGGTCGCAGTTTATAGAGTCTTTTTTTCTTTCGTTTTCACTCCCCTCAGTGCTCAATTCCTGACTCATCGCGCAGGCCTATTTCCACATCGAGAATAAGAACGTTGGCAACAAGGAGGAGAGCGAGGACTGGAGAAGTGAGCTATCCATATCTCTAATTGACTACAGGACTATATAACTAACCGCTCTATTCTACAGTTCGAGGCTATAACCCTCTGACCCCTCCGGATCTTCTGCAGCACGAAATTCCCCAGACCGCAAAATCCAAAGCGACTGTTCTCCAAGGGCGCGATGAAGCCGTCGCAATCGTCACAGGCACAGATGAAAACAGACGCCTCCTCGTCGTCATCGGCCCCTGCTCGATCCACGACCCCGCCGCCGCTCTTGAGTATTGCAACAAGCTCCTTACGCTCAAGCACAAGTACAAGGACGACCTCTTGATTGTTATGCGCTCCTACCTCGAGAAGCCCCGCACAACGGTTGGCTGGAAAGGACTGATCAATGATCCTGATATCGACAACAGCTTCAAGATCAACAAGGGACTACGGACCAGCAGACAGCTGTTCGCGGATCTGACGGAGAGGGGAATGCCACTTGCTAGCGAGATGCTGGACACGATTTCGCCACAGTTCTTGGCTGATTTACTGAGTGTGGGCGCAGTTGGTGCCCGTACTACAGAGTCACAATTGCATCGAGAGTTGGCCAGTGGCTTAAGTTTCCCCGTGGGATTCAAGAATGGCACGGATGGATCGCTGAGCGTCGCCATTGATGCCATTGGAGCGGTGAGACATCCCCACCACTTCTTATCGGTCACGAAACCAGGGGTGGTAGCCATTGTGGGCACGGTGGGCAATGAGGACTGCTTCGTTATCCTGAGAGGTGGTACCAAGGGAACAAACTACGATGCCGAGAGTATCAAGGAGGCAAAGGCTGCGTTGCAAAAGAGTGGTGTCCGCGAGCGCCTGATGGTGGATTGCAGTCACGGGAACTCCCAGAAGAACCACAAGAACCAACCGAAGGTTGCAGCAGTCCTGGCCGAGCAAATCGCCAACGGAGAGGATGCGATCATGGGGGTCATGATTGAGAGCAATATCAACGAGGGTGAGCGCATCTACGTGCACCACGCTTTCACACTGCTAACTATTCACAGGAAACCAAAAGGTACCAAAGGAGGGCAAGGCCGGTCTCAAGTACGGCGTCAGTATCACAGATGCCTGTATCGGCTGGGAGGACACCGAAGCCGTCCTGGAGACACTGGCCAAGGCCGTTGCCCAGCGCCGCGAGCTACTAGGCAAGAAAAGCAGCAACAGCGCCTAAAAAAGTCTATTATTCCGCGCAGGGAGTTTGGGTGGGGGGGAGAAGTTTTCTTGGATACACACACGAATCTGGCACTTTGGGGGGGCATGAAGAAAAGTTCTTTTCGATTTTTCTATAAAAACCATATACAGGTCTAATAATAACAATTAGTCTGCAAGGGGACGGACGACATGGTTCTCTGAATCTACCTACCTAGTCGTCAATAATTTCCCCCCTCCCCCTTACTTCCTGTGCTACTGTTCTGGACCCTGAATGCCTCAGGCATGATATCGCGGGGTAACATATCTCTACCGAATCGGTCTTCGAGATCGCGGGGCGCTGAACCGACTTCTATTTCCACCACTATTCCTTACCTTTTTTGTATTTGATGAGGAATAGCCCGGGCAGCATTTCATATCTGATGCTTTACTTGTAGTATTAAGCAAGTTATGCTCATCGATCTCTCCCGAACTGCGCAATATCGAAGATAGAGTATGACATATACAGTACGGAGGGGTAAAGTTTCTGACGTGTTAGCCTTACCTGCTTACCGCCTTTCACCGTCGTTCCTACGTAGGTAAGTAGGTTAGGACAGGAATTTGATCACAGTTCACGGTCCCGTAAGGGATATCTTATCATGCTGTTCAGGAGTAAGACGGAATCACGAGGAGACCGAATTACAGAGTTGAATATATGTCGTTCTATTCTTCGATTGTTTGGTCATGTTCACATACGTAAATGGCGAAGGTAGGCCGGATCCTGCGCTCTATATGCATGAGCATGCCATGCCATGCCGTGCACTTGCCCATATCCCAAATATCGCGGTTTCCCCCACCCTACGTGTGCCCCTGCCGCCCAGCTGGCCAGCCGGCCACGAGCACAACTGAAGATCGAAAACATAAAAACAAGCGCGAACTGAATCAAGCGCAAAATGATATACCAATCAACCACCCATGCATAGCTAAAAGCAAAAAAACACTACCCCGCCCTTAATCCATGACTGCTCCTGCCTCAGACCTTGGTTGTAGCAGCATCTTTTCTCTCCTCCTTCGCTCGGTCGGCCTTCTCACCCTCCGAGTACTTCTTCCACAGACTCGCAATGTCTTCGCCCTCGCCCTGCTTTCTCTCGCCCCTCTCCGTAATTAGGTTCTTCAGCCACTTGTTCTCCGTCTCCAACTGATTAATCCTCCCCTCCAACGCCTGTACCTTGTCGCTCATTTCCTTAGCGGATCTCTCGAGGGCTTGCTCGCGCTGCTTCTTCTTGATACGGAAGCGAGCGGAAGCAGCGGTATTGCGGCGGCGCTTGTCCTCCTCGGCCGCGAGGCGGGAGGCCTCTTCATAGTTATCTTGCGCCGAGGACGAGGCCTTGCGTTTGAGGGTTGGCTCCGTGGGAGTCGGGTTGGGGGTGGAGGGAGAAGCCACCGAGGGTGGTGCAGGATAGAGATTGGTCTGGATCAGACCTGGCAGATGGTCGGCGGCATAAGGTTGGTGAGGTTGGGGCTGGAAGTTGAAGTCGGGAAAGGCGAAATCTTCTGTGGGGGCCATGGCATGTCAGCATTGTCTGTCACCGGGGCTCTGCCTTTCTGTTTTCTCTCTCTTCTCCCACGTCTCCGGGGGAGTTCTCATGCACTCGACGAGAAGAGCCAAGGGAACTCTCGGGATGCGCGACTCTCGTGGGGGTGGGTGGTTGATGGCCGGTGAGTGCTGGCGGGAGGGGCACGTGACATGTCGCCATCCGGGCGTGGGAGGCAAGCGAGGATGCGCTGCAAAGGGGGAAAGCGCAGGGCACGTGCAGCAGCGCTGAACCACTTGGAGAGCGTCTTCTCGAGGCGAAAGCCGTGCGCTCTGCGCTGCGTCTGCACGTCGCCAAACTTTGCAGCGGGGTTGGCCATGTCGAGATCTCCTGCGCGGGATGATTGACATTTGCCATAGCCAGACCACCACCACGCCCCAAGCACAGCGACAACGACAACGGCCATGACAATGACGACAATAGAGAAGGATGGGGGGTCATGGATAACAACGGGACCGTAGCTCTAAACAATGCCCACACGCACCTTGTGAAAAGTCCAACGGCTTGATATCCAGATTGTCCTGCACTGGGTTCCTCCCCTGTCCATCGACTCCAAAACCGCCCAGTTGTAGATCTGTATCTTGTCCAGCGTCGAAATCGAAGAATTGCGTGTTGGTGAACATGGCCAACTCATCGTCGAGGTTGAAGTTGTCGGCGTTGGAGCTCTGCAGCTCCTGTGGCGTCGGGATCGCGTTCAGGTTCGCGACATACTCGGACACATTTGGTCCGCGGCGTTCGTTGTAGGCCATCCTTCCGGTCGAGCGACTATGGGGGCCGGTCGTGGCACTGAGGTTCGTTCGATGAGGTCGGTTCGTGGCTCTGTCGATGGGGGGTTGGTGGGGAGTGGTTCGAGTCCCCTAGGGCGGGAGAGCAGTCTTTGTGTATGACCGGTCGAGGGTTTGCCTCCAAGGACGGACGAGTGACGAGAAGGAGAGTCACTCCGCAGCAAGAGAAGACACTGCCGTCAAATCAATCATCAATTCCTCAGAAGACCGAGCTGTCGTTAGGCGTTGAGGAGGGAAGAGAGAGGGAGAAGAGACGAAGGCGAAGGGAAGAGTGGGTTGTGTCAGCGAATTCTTCCCACTCGCCCCACCTCGGAGCGCTGACTAACACGCCAGGCGATCCGCGGAGGTCAAGGGTGAATATAACCGTCAGGCGTAGGTAATTGATAGAATAATATGATAATATCAATGATAAATGATATGTATATATTAATACCGTAACGATGTAATCCAGCGAAGACGAGTTCAATTCAATCAATTCCAGGGTTTGGGCTTTCCTACAGGTAAATCCATCTCCCTCTCCCTCTCTCTCCCCCTCTGTGCGCGCGCTCTTGTCCGTCCCGCGCTGAGCCCTCCCTGCCCCGTTCCAGATCGGATCAATCGCCCGTCTAACAGCCGAGAACCGCCATGGCCCCGGTGCTGCCTCAGGACCTCAGGACCCTTCTTCCCCTCACCGGCGAGGAGATCTGGAGGAGCAAAGGCCGCTTCAATCGACAAGGACAAGAGGGAGACCTGAGAGGTTCTGCATCGCGATGCTCGGGAATCCTCCCTGTTCCCTCACAGGTCCCGAGAGAGAGATATATCCATCTATGCAGGTACCGGTAATACATACAACAAAGCAGGGGATCAATCAATCAATCATGGCTTCTCGTTCTCGTCGGGCAGGCAGTCAACGACGTTGTCCTTCACATCAACCCTTTCACACCAATGTATAGTCGTACGCCTCTCTCCCTCCAGTCTTGCTCTTTTCTCTCCTATTGTATCTATACCTGTATCTATATATATATTGATGTATATAATGATTTCCCCATCTTCTTCGATGCCCGCTTCGTCCAAGACGGGGCAGCAAAGAGAACATTTCCCGGATCGACCCAAGATCGCTCGGCAACAACCGAGCGACTCAGCCCTGTTCAACACTGCCAGGATAGCAACTCCAACAGTTCTCCAAGGACAGCACGTCTCAATAATACCATTCCCAATGTCAATCTTTTAACAACCCACGACTGTCTCAGCATATCGTTCGTTAATTTGCATCTGCCAGGACTACCAAGACTACCGCCCTCGCGAGATTGAACATTCCAACCCCTATTTCAGGGCCCTCCTAATTCCCCCTGCCTCGACTGCTGATTTCGTCCCTGCTTACAATCCACAATGACACTCACTACTACCACCGTCTCCTCCACCAAAGGTCTCTTTGGGTCTGATCTCATCTCACCGCAAGTTGCTGCCTCCCTCCCAGAAGGCTACACCATCCGTGCCCTTGAAAAAGGCGACTACGGAAGGGGCTTCCTTGACTGTTTGCGTGTCCTTACAACCGTCGGCGATATCACAGAAGAGCAATGGAGCGACCGGTATGATTGGATGAATACACAAGGCAAAGGGGGTTATTTCCTCTTGGTGATTACCAATGAGGTTGGGAGGGTCGTCGGGACCGGGGCGTTGATCGTGGAGCGGAAGTTGTGCGTTCTTTCGTTTCAAAAGTCGATAATACCAGAGCTGACCATTGGAACAGTATTCACAACCTTGGCTCGGTAGGACACATCGAAGACATAGCTGTAGCGAAGGATCAGCAAGGGAAGAAGTTGGGACTCAAAATCATCCAAGCGCTGGATTTCATCGCGGAGAAAACTGGCTGCTACAAAAGTATCTTGGACTGCTCGGAGGCGAACGAGGGCTTTTACGTGAAATGCGGCTTCAAAAGGGCCGGCTTAGAGATGGCACATTATTACGAGGCCCAGAAGTGATTGGGCCCAGTTGGAACCAAGACAGTATATATTTCAGGGGAAGGCACAGCCTCGCAGCCTCAGCCTGCCCAGTGTCGGAGATGGATATAGACTTTTCAACTAGACGGACAACCGGTTTGGGAACGAACAAATGAACAGTGGCTCCTTCATGACGGGAATTTGGGCAAGGGTCGCTCTGGAGAGATGGCGCGGAGTAATGGAACAGACATCCATGGAATTTATATAGATTTGAATCCTTAAGCACACACAAATTCTATTGAGAGAAGAAGGGGCTAGTAAACAACAGTAATTCAGGGGCCTTTGAGCGACAGTTGCCGGAACGCTGGACTAACAAAACTCTCGAGACAAGATACCTTACCTACCTTAATCTCAGTAGCCTCGTCGTTATTATGTAGTCCGGATTTTAAGACAAGAACACTCAAATAAGGAGGTAAAGTACCCGACGTACCCGACGTACCTGCCAAGATACCCGATCCGGATCATCGTGGCTTACCTACTTTGCCGGAAGCTCCAAACCAACAATTCCAAAACAACGCCAACCTCGCAATGATTCTCAGACAAAGCTGGCGCCTGCCAGTGCTCCTTCTTTCGGTATTCCTTGTACATCAAACATATGCTTCAATTGGAGATCGGCTCCCTGAATTTCACAGATGCGTTGAGGTACTAACATCGCTTGGCTACTTCAAACACCCGCTGATCAGATTTAGGTGTGCAAACATGAGAACTGCCCAAGCACGGCCATTCGTATGTTCTCCTTCTCCCTTTACCTACCTTGCTAACCCTCCCAGCCTTCTTGCGCCGCCTGCTTCTCTGGGATTGCCCAGCTGAATGTGACTATACCTGCCAGCACATAATCACCGAACAACGCGTCGCTGCCTCCGAGCCGGTCGTCCAATTTCACGGAAAATGGCCTTTCTACCGCTTCCTGGGCATGCAAGAGCCCTTCTCCGTCCTATTCTCTCTTTTCAACTTCCTTGCGCACTATAACGGCCGCTTGAAGGTCCTCTCCAACATTCCAGAATCGTACCCGATGCGCCGATACTACATCCTCCTCTCATACTTTGGAATGGGCAGTTGGGTTTTTAGTATGATCTTCCATACGCGAGATTTCAAGATTACTGAAGAGCTGGACTATTTTGCTGCTGGCGCAAGCGTTCTTTACGGCCTGTACTATACACCGATCCGAATCTTCCGGCTCGACTTGGGAGGGGAAAAGACGCAATCCATAGTCCGCCTGTGGACACTTCTCTGCATATTGCTATACACCGCACACGTAACCTACTTGAAGTGGTATTCATGGGATTACACGTACAACATGGCCGCCAACGTGGTGGTAGGCGTCATCCAGAACATAATGTGGAGTTGGTTCAGTTGGAATAAATACAAGGAGTCAGGTCGCTCTTGGACCATGTGGCCGGGACTCGTAGTTGCATGGGTTATACTGGCCATGAGTTTGGAACTGCTGGACTTCCCTCCATGGTTGGGTTGCTTGGATGCCCATAGCTTGTGGCATCTGGGTACTGTGGCTCCCACCGTCGTTTGGTACAAGTAAGCTCTATTCTACCACACTGAACTTGGGTTCTTGCTGATCATTTCTACTAGTTTCTTGCTTAAGGATGCGCAAGATGACATGGCTAAGCAAAGACTAAAGGCCTGAGACATTGAAATTGAAATGGGAGAGGTACACATAACTATTTGTTAATCCTTTGCACCTTAGCATTATCCTATGAATTCAGCCTAGGCTGCTCTCTCCAATCCTGATCTTCTGTCCAGGGATTAGATATCTCGAGCCCGTCAGGCTACCAGTGAAGCGCAGCATTGTATCGCCAAGCTCCCCTGAATATCAAGAACATAAATTGCCGACTTACAATGGAGCTTTGTTTTGAATTCAGGCCCTCTATGTTACAGTCAATCTGCGCTCTATGATTCCTCATTAGCTGAGACAGCTGCTGCGGCCCTGGGGGCTCGCCAATGGCCCTGTACTGGCTTCCCTCAGCTTTCTTCTCAAGAAAATCCACTTCCAGATACCCAGCCTTCTCCTTGCATCCATTCGTATTGTAGCACCTCTCTTGGTTTTCACTGTCCCAATGGGCTCTAAACCTCAAGGCCTATTTGTCCGAGAGCAAGCATCATCTGTAACTTTTAATGGATTAGGTTATAATTGTCGTTCGAAGCCAGTAAGCCTGGCTATTACACGAGAGGATCCGGGTCCCTTATGCCGTTACTGATTTCGACTTGCAGTTAATTTTCTTCCCTCTTGCTGAACCGATTAAATAAGCCTCATCATAATCAGACAGTGTAGTGAATTAGTTAAAGGAGATTCCGCCTAGATTCATATCAGTTTGTGTAGAATGCACATTTTTATTAATCGATGATGGAAAGTGAGTACCTATGGATAGCGATAAGGTGAACCTCTGTGGGGTGCTTTGTGGGGCTTCCCCGCGAGGAAATCCTACCTAGGCGGTGGCATTCAAGTTCGCGAAGTATCAACCATCCATTCGCAACACCACCTCCACTTCCTGTACATCCTACACCCACAAACAGCGCCCGCAATCTCCATACAGATATGGAGTCGCCTTCTTTGCGACAAGAAGATCTAAAAGCTTTGGATCAGACGCGTCAACGTCTTGCCCAGCTTTCGCGTACCATTGCATCTCTAAAAGGAAACATTCTACAAGAAAATCCTCTACCACCATGGTTCGTGGCCCCCTGCTGCTCTTCCTCACACGCACATCTGGATGCCACAGCCCTGACTCTATCCTCCCCGGACTTGTAAGCTGCGTGCTGATTTGGTTACCACTGCAGGGAGTCCATTCAGACATCCGCTGCGATCCTAAGCAACAACATGAATAGCATTGTTGAGCACTTGTCGAGGAACTCAGACATATTTAATCGGATGGTGGTCTACCCGACGACGAACTACCCCGGCTACACGCAAGAGCCGTTATTGAATCAACTGTTACAAAAGAAGTTGGACCTCTCGGTTCAGTCTTGGGTTGATGAAGCACGCGCCATACAAGATGGAGTTACGGAGAACAAGGAAGAAGATATGGAGGAACTCTGGACATGGGCTAAAGATTGGATTGGGCAGCGTGTGGCGACGTATATTCTGGAGGAGGCTGGCGATAATTACACGGTGGAGGAGAGGGAACAAGGCATTGAGAATGTCAATAGGGGTCTGAGGAGGAAGCTCGAGGAGGAGGAGAGCGAGGACGAAGATGAGGATGAGGAGATGGAGGGTGTTGGTGTCGAGGTTACAACGGTGGGCACGACGAGTAGCGGGGAGGTCAAATACGGGATGGAAGAGCTCAAGAAGAATCCGGACGCGAAGGTTAGGAGTGTGGACGAGATCTTAAGGTTTGCAACGAGTAGATCTCTTGTTGACCAAACAGCTAGAAATAGGTAATGGATCGCATCACATCTGGGCCAACGCTTCCTCGACTTTGCTCCGTGTCTTGACCTGAGATTCCCCAGTACGGCTGATGATAGGTATATTGCCGGCAGAACATTCAATCCTGCCATATTTGGAAGGCGGTAGATGAAAGATGGGGGAGATATCTTGGGACCTGACCTGACCCAATTCGAGCATTCCAAGTCGAATTCCCTGAATTCTTGCTGCTCTACATGAATTCCCCCTTTCCATCGTCCTTTTCCGCTCCTGGCGAGGGACATCTAGTTGCGCGACTCCAACCACAGGCTGTCTCCGCTCTCTCAAAGATCTCATTCCAGTACCCGCTCAAGCTCATCTCGCCCTCCCCTTCCGCTCATCAGAAGAGTGTTCTCGTCTTCCTACTCACATACGGAGGAGGACTCGTTGGCGGTGACCAAGTCCATCTCGTAATTGATGTCAAGCCCGGTGCCAAGCTCAGCATCGTCACTCAAGGGCACACGAAGATCTTCAAGTCCGCTTCACGTAATGTTATCACACGACAAAAGCTGAGTGTGAGCGTGGAAGCTGGAGCTGCGGTTTGCCTGCTGCCGGATCCGGTTCAGCCTTTTGAGGGGAGCGTGTACGAGCAGACTCAGATCTTCACCCTTGCGAAAGATGCCTCTCTTTGCCTCTTGGACTGGGTGTCTGCGGGGAGGACTGCGAGAGGTGAAGATTGGGATCTGGGCGTATGGAGTGGCCGGAATGATGTGTGGGCAGCAGCGGAATCTGGTCAGAAGCCGAGACTTCTCTTGAGGGACAAGGTCTTGCTCGAAGGGGATCGTGCTGGTGCGGAGGAGAAGGCGCTCAAGAAAAAGATGCAAGGACTGGGGATATTCGGCACTCTTATATTGAAGGGGCAGCTCGTCGACAGTTTGGCAGCCTTCTTCCTTGCAGAGTTTGCGGCACTGCCCCGAATTGGGGCCCAAGACTTCAGATCTCAAGAAAGACAGGCCAGGGATAGCGGGGCTACTCTTACAGAGCGTGAACTATGGAGACGGAGACGCCTCGAGCAGGAAAAGGCAGACGGTATACTGTGGTCAGCTGCAAAAGTCCGTGGCTGCACCGTTGTAAAATTTGGAGCCCGCACTGTTGAAGGCGGGCGCACATGGATTGGAAGCATGATCAAGGAGGAAACGTCTATTGAACGACACTTTGGAGAGGATTCCTTGATGTGTATCCGTTGATGGAAACTCATTCAGGGCAAGGCTCTGACGTGGATCGTGGATGCCTACGAAAGCTATCTTTTTATCCTCTTTTCAACACTCCGGAAACGATTTAATGGCCGCTTCCAGTAGATGTTCGAAGCAATTCGAGATGATCCTTTGAATCCTTTGAATCCGATGGGTACGGCGCAACGCACTTTGTTTGATATTCCTTTGTTTCGCATTTGGCCAGTTCTCTGGACCAAATCTTAGAAAGTAGTGCTTTAGGGTCTGAACTTGAGGTTGCAAACAAGGATCTCTGCATTTACGAGAGTCTCGAAGTTTGCATTCAACTATTAAAGTTGGAGTTCGAGACACAACATTCCAGACAGCATTCCATTCCATCATCACCAAAATCTTGAAAGGGCTGCCTAGGCCCGACGAACCCCGAAGAGAATTCATACGCAAAGTCTTCATCCCCAGAAATCAACTTCAACACTGAATTCTCACCTGCATCTACCTACTATCACGATGGCACCGATCCAACCGCGCTATATCCCTAAGGATACTGAATCACAATCATCGGCTGCATCCTCTATCCGCGTCCTGCGCGTATCAGATAATGGATCATTTATCGCATCTCCAATCCCGGAGATAATGATTAAAGATCCGAAGAAGAATACGATTACAACCCCTCTTGCACCTGTACTAATCCCCACAGCTGCAGTTTCCATCTCTCGTATCCTGAACCATCCAAACATCATCTCGCTCGTTGATATTACCCAGTCCATATCTACCTCGGGTCAATATATGGCAGGCGAATACGGTGACTTGACAATCTGGGAAGACATGGATGCGGGATGCCTCTCATACCTCCTACCGTCCCCTAACGCTCTGCCCGACTTCACCGACTCTGAACTCTGGCACGGGCTTGCCGCTCAGAATTTCCAGCGCTTCTCGCTCCCCGAATCTCTTTGCTGGCACGTTCTCTCGTCTATTTCACATGCGCTCTTATGGTTGCATCACGGAGTCAAGGAAACGGAAGGCATAACGGGAGAATTCATGAAGCATGATGATGACGTACAACCTATCCTAATCAGGGACATCTCCCCCGGTCAAATCTGGTTCAAGCATCCTAGAGCAGATGAGACGTATGGGGAGTGTAAGCTTGGCGGTTTTCAATGGGCAAAAGTCACTGGTGTTGTAGGAGGCAGGATCGCTATTGCAAGCCCAGTGGAAAATGCACCCAGAGAGAAGCAGTTTTATTGGGCTCCAGTATGTATTTGTTTCCTGCATTTGATCATCCGAATGTGTACTAATAGCGAGAGAAGGAAATCTACAATGCTACTTGTTCTTGGTCTCGCCCTAGCGAAATCTGGTCCCTTGGAGCCGTGATCTATACCATGATGACAGGGATTCCACCGCCTCGTTACTATGACTACAGGTGGCAAATCAGTCGCATGAACGATAAAGGCTTTTCCCAGGGGATAAGAGAAATCGTGGCTCAAATGCTAGATCCGAGCATGGCAATGAGACCCGACGCGCTGCAACTGGTCGACGAGGTCGAAAAAGGATGGAGGGTGTGGAGAGCTAGTACAGCAGAGGGGCAAGCGTATATTGATGTCAAAGACAAGCTTGTCCGCAAAGAGTACGAGAGTATGAAGGGCATAGAGGTACGGGGACGGGGATTCCTTCCTAGCTTGTAGTAGAAAGATAGAGAAAATGAAAGGGGGAGGTGGTTGTCTTCTTAGCTACGTCCATTTCTGCGATGTTTATCTCCTTTGATTCCTTAGTTCACCCTATCAAATAGCAGCCCTTATTAGCATTCACATTATCCATCCACGAGCAGTCCCATCCAGAATCCGAATGCAGATAGCCTGACGCCCGGTGTGACTAGAGACACTCCTGACCTGCCGATCCAATACCTGCCTAACCTCATCTGGAGGTCGGGAAATCCTCGGCACTCTCAGGCAACAAACCCCGGGCGGGGCGGAGCGGGGTGGAGCGCGATGAGCCAATAGCAACCGGATGTAACAGAGCTCGCAGCTCCGCCGTAAAAAGCTAGCTAATGATCTTAGACGTCGCTTTCAGACTACATCAAAGATACATTTTGGCCCATCGATCAATACTTACCAGGCATTGCTTCCTGAGCGGGAGCGTGAGAGAGGCTTCGCTTTGGAATATGCGCGGAGTGAATAGGTAGTGCTCAATAATAGCCAGCCTTACAGAGGAGTTTGGAGGATGTCTGTAATTCTTTGTACAGGTAAAGCTTACACCCACCCACCTCGCCCTCAACCACCCGTCTTGAAGAGCTCCCTGCCTCCCCTCTCTTCAAGATGGCGTGTTATTACAGACAGAGGGCTGATTCTATGACTGTTCTTGTAACAGCTGGTTACGATCATACAATTCGGTTTGCCGCCACCTCTGCTGCACCGCTCTGGACGTGTCACTGACCCCGCAATCAGTTTCTGGGAAGCTCTCTCCGGCATCTGCTCGCGCACTATCCAGCACCCTGATTCACAGGTCAACCGCCTCTGCATCTCTCCGGACAAGAGATTCCTCGCCGCCGCGGGCCACCACACCGTGAAACTCTACGACATCAAGTCGACGAACCCTAATCCGCTGCTTAGCTTCGAAGGCCACACGGGCAATATCACGGGAGTCGCATTCCATTGCGAGGGCAAATGGATGGTCACTAGCTCGGAGGATGGGACGGTCAAGATCTGGGAGACGAGAAGTGGCACTGTTCAGAGGAGCTATTCACACGGCTGTCCGGTCAATGATGTGGTGATCCACCCAAACCAAGGCGAGATCATCAGCTGTGATCGTGGAGGCAGCGTCCGCATTTGGGATCTAGCTGAGAACAACTGCTCCCACCAGCTCATCCCCGAGGAGGATGTCTCAGTCTCGAGCGTTACTGTTGCCAGTGATGGGTCTACTCTTTGCGCGGGAACTAACTCGGTGCGTTCGATCTACTACGGGCAGAAGATCTTTGCTAATATAATCCACAGGGCAGCGTCTACGTCTGGCACCTCGTTCAATACCGCGAGAAGACACAACTGATGCCCATAACCCACTTCAAAGCACACGCTCAATACATAACCCGGGTGCTGCTGTCTCCCGACGTCAAGCACCTCGCAACATGCAGCGCGGACCATACCGCTAAGATCTGGGAGGTCAAGGACCTTGACGCCATGATCCCCATCCCTGGCCAAGCCACCCCTGAGGTGCGGTCCTTCAAGCTCGAGAGCACTCTGACCGGCCATCAACGGTGGGTTTGGGACTGTGCCTTCTCAGCGGATTCGGCGTATCTGGTTACAGCCTGCAGTGATCATTATGCGCGCCTTTGGGAGCTGCACAGCGAGCAGATCATCAGGCAGTATAATGGACATCATCGGGGTGAGTATTTCCTTCAGGAGAGATAATGAGGGGCTTATATACTGACAGCTAAAACAAACAGGTCTCGTGTGCGTTGCGCTTAATGATTATTCTGAGGCTCGTTAGGGATTCATGGTGGGGGAATACATGGATGGCGTTGTAAGCTGGCATAAAGGATTCGCGTTATGGAGAGGCCGGTCTGCGACGGCATGCTCATATGGGCCTATCTGGCGTTGAGATCATACCCGGCGCGATCGATATTCCTGGATGCAGTCAGCTACCTACCTACAGTAGTAGTCATAATAAAGGATTTGTTTTCATTTGGCTTTTTACTCGGTGATGCCCGGTCTGTGCCTGGTGTGATAGAATATATGAATACGGTCTGTTGGTCTCCGCGGGAATAGGGGACTGAAGCGGGATCTGATTTATTCCTCGGTGTCTCCACTGGTCCGCGGGTCTTATATACCTATACGTTCTTGTTCGGACATTCGAGGTATCAGACAAATATATATTTACAGTATGATAACGGCCTCTGAAACTGGAGGTAGGCACGCATTTTACCTCACTATCAGTTACATGGAAGCATGGGGTAAGTAAGAATGGAAACACAATATCAAATGACCGGGAGGTTCGGCAACAAAGAGGCTCATCGGCAAAGGGTAGACTTTAGGTTACCGTAAAGCCGATATAGACGAAGCTACCTATATTTATCCGTCCGCCCCTCACACCCCGCTCCTTTATCCAGGAACGCTGGAACACTGGAACAGTGACATAACAACAGACCAGAATCAACATATCGATTCCCCCCACGACAACAATCGATCCAGGTCACCACATTGACCAGCAGCAGCCTCCTTACGCCCCTCCGCAGACTGCTGCTATGTCTTCAGCAAGCCCCAGACCCCGTCTGGAGCATCAGAACACAGCCGATATCATCGAGCACAACTATTTCAACGAGAACCAACGCCCCGCTGCGTTGGAAAAGCACACCGCTCTAGCCAGGGACTTCATCAATCTCCATGCTGCGGCTGGCCGGCGCGTGGTCCTGGTCACCTCTGGCGGCACAACCGTCCCGCTCGAGCGGCAGACGGTTAGGTTCATAGACAACTTCAGTGCCGGCACACGAGGGGCGACATCAGCAGAGTATTTCCTCGAGAAGGGATACGCGGTGATATTCCTGCACCGGCAATTCAGCCTGCTGCCGTACTCGCGCCATTACAGCCACGCCACCGACTGCTTCCTGGACTTTCTACACGAGGGACCCAACGGCAGCGTCGTGGCCAACGAGGAATACCGCGAGAAGATGCTCAAGGTGCTGCGCCAGTACACCTCCGCAAAGCGCGAGCGCCTGCTCCTAACCCTCCCCTTCACCACCATCAATGACTACCTGTTCGTCCTGCGCGCCGTCTCGCAGCTGATGAGGCCCCTGGGCCCGTCCGGCCTGCTCTACCTCGCCGCCGCCGTGTCCGACTTCTTCGTCCCGCCCGAGCGCATGGTCGAGCACAAGATCCAGTCCACGAACGCGGTCGATACGCCGACCGAGAGGGACGCAGAAGCCGCGGCCGAGAACGAGAAGGGGAGCGAGGAGGAGGCCTTCGACAACTTCGACTCCTCGCCATCGGTCCCGCGCAGCAAGCGCCTGATCATCGACCTCGATCCGGTGCCTAAGTTCCTCAAGAACCTAGTCGATGGCTGGGCGCCTGAGGGCATGATCGTCTCTTTCAAGCTGGAGACCGACCCGGCGATCCTCGTGCACAAGGCCCGCTACTCGCTGGAGCGCTACCAGCACCACCTCGTCATCGGGAACCTACTCTCGACGCGCAAGTGGGAGGTCGTGTTCGTAGCGCCAGGCCAGAAGGATCGCTGGATCCGCGTCCCTCAGCACCGGAGGAAAAAGACGGCCAGCACTGTGGGGACCAGCGTTCCTGTCGTAGGACCGAGCGAGGACGAGAAGCCGCTGGATCCTAAGGATCTCCCGGAAGGCGAGCCGGAGATCGAGATCGAGAGCCTGATCATCCCGGCCGTCGAGGAGTTGCACACGAGTCATATCAAGAACTTCGTGAAGAGACAGTCACCGTGAAACGGCTACTGTCCAATTTCATGAGTAAGTCTACGCATTAGGGGTGGGGCGAAGATCATCGTCATAATGCTGCCGGCGGTTCCTCTGATCACCATGGAGCCGCTTCAGAATAGAAGACTCTTCCTTGGAGGCTACTCAGAGGATGGGTAATTCAGGGTATTGAAGCCCTGCGGGGAGGGTTCAAGGACTCGAGGAATTGGGCACAGCTCGTAGCGTATACACACGCCTTTGATGACCTTTTGAGAGCCTATCAACGGGGTTACTACACACGACCGACTACACGCACAACTTCCGGCTTGGAACTATAGTAAAAGTAATGCCACAAGTTGCTGGAAAGGTATCTCTAGTTCAAGTCAATATCCACGAATGCCCAGTCCAAATCCATACCCAATCCAGTCCCAGATCTACTTGCTTTAACTGTCATAGATCTGTGAAGAGACCACTATCTTCGCATGCTAAAGCGCTCCATAAAACACAGATGCCAAACCCCGCATTTCGCCTACTATCAAAGAAAGTTCATATCTCGTTCCAGTATACAGATTTCCTTGTCGAGATCTCATCTCTGCCCTCCAGTACTTATCCACATCCAGTGTCTTTAATTACTGTCGGTAAGGAGCTCTCGGCGCACCCATAAGGCCCCCCTGGCTAGGGCCATATTCCTGTGGACTTCCTCTCCCATTCAAGTTATTAACATACGGCGCCGGACTTGCCAACCTGGCTGGCCCTTCTCTCTCCCTAGAACCATTCGGCGTTCCCCTTCCCCCATTCACGGGGCTACTACTCATCCCCATTGCGCCCATTTGTGGGTTCAGTGGCGGGCCGTTGGAGGCGGACGGAAGAGCGCGGAAACTGGGATCTGTCATATTACGAAATTGTTGACCTTGTCCGGAGGCATAGGACGGCACGGCAGCTGGTGTGGATCGTTGGTTCGAATTATAAGGTGCAGCGGAAGCGGATCTCTGATCCATGTTGTAGGGTGCGGCGGAAGTGGACCTTTGGTTTGGATTGTATGGTGCAGCGGATATCGATCGTTGTTCCGGGCCATAAGCCACATAATTACTATTGCCGTTTGATGGAAATTGTGGAGCGGGGGGACCAGAAAGTCCCGGAGCTGGGGAGGAACGACCATACTCCACGCCAGGCCCAGGAGCAGGAGATGAGCGACCATCGGGTGAGTAAGGATCGAACGGTGTTCGCCGACCCATACTTGCGGCGCCAGGTATGCTGGGGTTTCCACCAGGCATGGGTCTGTTATAGGGATCTATGGGATCTTGCCTTATTGCCGACGGGCTTCTCTGGCTGCCAATATCAGTGTAAGAGACTGGCGATTGTGTATAGCCTCTGTCGCCCATGGCGGATGGCATTCGTGGTGGGCCGACAGGAGGGCCACGATTCCACGGGCTGTTTTGAGAGTTGTTTGTCATGGTGCGTTGGGGTGCAGCTGGGAACCCGCTTGTGTCGAGGGGAGGGAGGGATGGGGCTGGAGAGGCAGGACGGCCATAACCCATATCAGAGGCATTGCCGAGGAGCGAAGCATTCGAAGCGTAACTCCTATTGGAGTTTCCAGTGGCGTTTCTTGAAGGCAATGGTCGTTTCTGATCCAGCCGATCCAATTCGAAAGCAGGCAATGCAGAGCTTGGGGTGCCAGGTCTAGATGAATACAATGGCAACGTCGCCATGGTATCATTGCGACTGAGCATCGGCATATTTGGAAGCTTATCATCCTTTGCATCAAAGAGCATAGGAATCGTCGCCTGTCTTCCAATGGGAACATCGCCGTTCTTAATGGCCTTCTGGTCTGCTTTCCTCCGTTTCCTCTCTTCCTCTTCCAAAGCCTTGTTGACCTTCGCGGAAACGATCTTGGCCAACCGACTATTAATTTTCCGTTCACAGTAGCCGGACAACCCACCGTCGGCATTGGGGATGTAGTGCCAGAGGAAGAAAACATAAAACAACACCCCGAGAATGAGGGAAAGGGCGCCAAAAATCCAAACGATGAGAGTAAAGACCATACCACTAAGAATGACGGCTTGTTGGTGGTCCTGGCTTGCAAGGACTTCAATCTTCTGGAAGAAATCTAAGAATCCTTGACCGACATTGGTCGCGGTTGTTGGATCGAGGTTTGCCTTGAAGACGGAGTAAAGCGTGATGGCGTTGATGGCCTTTTGTGGGCCTTGGCAAAAGATGATTCGAATCCAGGCTGCAGTGGTTAGAAGTGTGCCAGATTCAGTGGGTTGAGAGCTTACACTGAAAAGCGAAGTAGGTGAACAACGCGACATACTCCGCGCCCTTCTTACTCTTCGTCAACTCAGCAAAGACCAAGAACCTTTTCCATCCTCTTCCTTTCTTTCCCTGTTTGATACACTCCAGTCTCACTGCCAAAGGGTCCAAGTAGCTCTCCGCGACAGCACCTCGTCTCATGACGTGCCATGCGCGGAGGTGTTCGAAGGCCAAATTGACCCAGGATGCAATGATACATGCCGAGAAAAGCCATTTGGAGATCTTAAAGGGGATGATGGGTTTGACCTCTCCGGACCAACGATTGAATGCGAGGAGATTGACGGCAGTGAAAACATCGACAGCGTAGACGGCGGTCGAGATGAGGAGCGAGACCCAGAGGTATCCGTATGCGAAAGGGGTGAAGCAGGATGTAGATTTAAAGTCGTTGAGACTCTGCAATGGGGTTAATCAGGGTGGACCATGGCATTCAGATCGGGAGCACCTACGATGAAATCCCATTTCTGATCGGCTCGAATATCGGCCTTTTTGACTCGGCCTGAGCAACTCATTATGTATTTGGGACAGTATTACTTTCTCTAGATGGTCCTGCCAATGCACAGCTCCTGGCTGAAGGCGAGGGTATGGCGCCTAGATTGACCCTGACGGGGAGGGAATGTTGGAATGAAGGAGTGTAGTTCGTGGATTGCCAGTCGGGCGTGGTCCGTCGGGAATCGAGTTTAAAGATCGAGACAATCGCAAACACGAGTCGTTCTCCGCCTGCGAAGTAAACGACCGTGTGCGGATTGACTGCTGGACGTCGAATTGACTTGACGTTCGATAGGTAGACGGATGGGTGGTTTGTGATGTAGAGGGACGAGGGGAGGGAGGAGGGGAATGCGAAGGAGAGGAGTGAAGCAGCAGCAGGGGGGATGTGCTTCTTGCGAGACTGCGATCGACTTCGTATTGCTGACGGCCTCTCGAGCGGCGGGACAGTAACGACTAACGAGTGTCTCTATTGTTCTTGACGGCAAGAGAGCCAGACAACAATGCCGTGGTCGTAGTAACTGAGGGCAGATCACAATAGTGAATGATCCCCGAGCGGTGGGTTTGATAATTGATTGATCCGCAGATCGTGTCGCATCAGAGAGCGATAGGGAGTGGGACGTCGAAACAAGCGCCTAATCTCCTGGATGAGACGCAACAAGTTCAGAGTTCAAAAAGATGCAAATGAGTGACGATGGGATTCACCCCAGAGTGATGGACGCTGCAGAGAATGAGAGAGGGAGAGAGAGACGGCGAACAAGAACATGAAGTCTTGAGGGAGACAATGGAGATGATGGAGAAGGGAGAGAGGGATGATGGGTCTCGAGATTGATGCCTTAGCATTCAGGCGCCGCATGACTCGGCTGTCCCTGAGCCTTGCCCCTTCTGGGGATAGTGCCGCACCGTTGCACGCTAACTCCTTTTATTATGGAGTACTCCAGACGGACCGTACCTAGTGCGCAGCCGAAGATAACTACGGCGGGGCATACTACCCACTTGGCATCGCGTATCAAACGATTTAAAACTCCCCGAGTCCCCGTTCATCCCATCATCCCAACCTCCTCCTATCATCATATGATACTTCGTTCGTATGGCTACCAGATGGATCCGTATAAAGGAGGAGAGACAGCACAGCGCCAGCGCAATCGATCAATCAATCAATCAAGTTCCAAAGGATTGTGAAGCCTGTCACTCGTATCGCCCTGGCGCTCTCGCTTCTCCCCAATCAAACACGAGTCCCCTTCCACCATGAAACTGCGCCGGAGCCACCAGAACCAGGGCTTGGTCACGTGAACTGGGACGCAGAAAACATGCCAGAACAAGAAGAGTCATCAAGAGGAGAGAGTGTGCAATATAAGGAAAAGGTAATGTGGGTAGGTCGGTATCAAGCGATGCAAACACTCCTTTTCTAGTTCCCATTTCACCATGTCCGTGTCAATCACGTGTCCCACCCCGACCCGTTGCCCCCCAACCCTCACAACAGTTCCCCCTGAGCTGCTTCTCCGAATCATCTCTTTCCTCCCAAACTCCAGCTCTTTTCTCCTCCTCACACAGACCTCGTCCGGTCTCCGTCATTTCTTCACCTTGCATGCCTCTCAGATCTGCAACAATTTCATCCTCTCCCACTTCTCCTTCGAAGCCTCCCTCCTCCGCTCCGAGATCAGAGATGGCTGGCTAGTGCCCACACACCGCGCCATCCTACTCGAAGAAGGCCTCCTCCTCGAGCGGAAGAGAAGAGCGTGCCGGGTCTGTGGGCAGGGAGTATCAAGGTCCAGTGTACAAACCCTTATCCCCGAACCAGACATTCTCTTAGATCAAAAAGCCTGCCCCCATTATCCATCATTTCTGCCCCCGGACTGCGGTGATAGAGATCACGCGGAGTTGCGATTCGGGCTCTCGACGCCCGGACCGCAGTACATGAGATTCTTGGAGGAGTATGGCAGGGAACTCAGAATCCGTGGCGAGCTGGCTGGCCTCCTCACCGCATCTCCAATCTCCGACATATCCTCTCTATCTGACGAGGGAAACAGCGAGGAAAGTAATAGAGAGACCGAGTTTGAGTGGCAGATCTCTACATACGCAGTTCGTCCGTACCTTAGGAGGTTGGATGCGCTGAGAGGTAGCGATAGATCTTGTGGCATTTCGTGTGATGTTGCTTCTTCGGCATCAACCATCACTCCACAAACGTCCAAACTCAGTCTAGGCCGAAAGGTAATTGCAAAGACTTTCCTGGGGAAGATTTTAGGGTTGGAGACGGACGTGAAGCAGGAACGAAAGAGGGTGTTTGGCGAGCTTTCCCAGGGGTCTCGGGAGAGAATCATGAGTGAAATAAGGAGGAAAGATGGCTTCTGGAGAGACGACACGAGCGCCGCGCTACTTTGGTATTTTGGTATTGATGGTGTGGGAGGATTGGGCCCTCCTTCTCCAACTTCAATATCTCTAGCCCCTCCAGCTCCAAAAGAAGAAAAGGTAACATATCCCTCTTCGAGTCATTTTTCGATCATATATTGAGGCTAATGCCACGAATAGGAGCGGAAAACCAAAGATATGGTGAGAAGCATAAAGGAGAGGGCGAAGAAGGTAGAGCAGAGGGTGCGTTCGACACTTGTTGCATCTTCCGGTCGAATGATCAATTCTTTTGTCCATGGGGGTTGCTTTGGGAAGAAGGGGTATGAAAAACTTTGAGATTCTTACTTTTCCTCTCATCGGTATATTGACATTTCATCGTGTATGAATACAAGGAGCGTCAACGCGAGAGCTCTAAATCAGAGTCTGAATGTGTGTGGTTTTGGATTCCCGCAAAGAAGCTGCTGAATAACAGGAGGATCTGTAAAGAATTGGAGGCACCGTGCGTCAGGTTTGCGGAGTTGCTGTGGATTATGAGACACTTCATACCTGCATTACCCACAGAGCTGGTATGGGAGGAGAACTCATAGAGTTATCAATACTGTTCCCATGCACGCCGCGCCTTCGTCCCCCACCCTCCGGGTTCCTTTCCCCCTCTTCTCACAAAAATCACCACGAGACGCGGTGACGTGGAACAGTCTATGTAATTCCAACGGGCGTATGCAGATGTTTCATTCGGTCATATATAGGTAATCAAGTCGTCTATCTTCCCAACAGTACGCCTCAAACAAGAGATGAATTGCTCTCCTTACGCAACATCGAGATCAATCGTGAATAGAACATCTTTCGATGTCTCAATCGTAACCCAGTCTTCCCTCACATGGTTGCTAGTGCTGACCTGACCTCCAAACTCCGTCAACCAGTCCGTGACGTCCCATTCTAGCCCATGCGTAGTGATGATTGAAGGCTCTTTCAGCGGGATAATGCCAATATGTTTTCCCAAGCCCAGGTTCGACGAGCCATCACGGACCTGGATCCGATGGGTCCCAGCCTTCAAGACAAAGGTTATGGCTTCGCTGGACAAGAGGAACATCTTGCCTGCCGTATACCCCGGTTCTTTCTGGAAGGTGAAGAGATGATGCAGCGTGGACAGGCCTTGGTCGACCCGCCCTCCCAATCCCCCGAGACACACAATGTCCCGAATCTTGGGGCCTCCTTTGACTTTCCGAAGAGCCGCTTGCCGCGCCTCAGATCTCGACGGGGTAAAGGTAGCATCTTTGGGAACTTCAAAGGTCTTGATATACCGCACGGCTTTTGTGAAATCCGTAGAATACTGATCGCCATAACTGATGAGCTCGCTACCGTGCTCAAGCCAATACTCTCGAATCTCTGGACGGAGTGAATCCAAGTCCCCAATGACGGTATCGAGACTCAGAGCCCCGGCCAGGTCCTGAGGTGCGGCCAGGTCGTGGACGCGGTTAGCTCCTCCATCGGCTCCAACATGGTAAACGGCATTCCTCCAGACTTTGGAGTAGAACGCGGCTCGGAGCTCTAGGGGCTGGTTGAGGACAATGAGGCCAAACCCTTTATATTCTCCAGCATCGTCTGAGAAGATAGCAGAGGGATACCAGGTGACCGTCTCAGCCGCTTCTGCCATTGAATTTTTACAGACAAGACCACACCGGGGAAATATCGACGTGGGAATCCGATACTGAGGAACTCTCCTCAGTTAGAGAGGGGATTGAGAGAATGTGATACCCAGTTGCGAAATAAATAAAATATAGAAACATGTACAGCAGCCCGAAGTCCTGTCTCCAATATCCATAAGTCGCAGAACCAGGGTCCAGGGGATCAGTGGGTCGACCGGCTTATATAAGCGGAATATGAAGACGACCCCCGAAGCTCATGCCGTTGAGCCTCAATATCTGAATTGAACCCCACACCCTTTGACCATCGGCCTTTGACTGTCCGACCTTGAGTCTTGTTCTTCTACTTATAACAGTTCTTCTACTTATAACAGTACTTCTACTCATAACAGTACTTGTACTCATAATAGTGTTTCTAGTTACAACCGTGCTTCTACTGGTGACAGTAATTATTTTCATCAGTGTCTTCGGGCCATTCCTCCTAGTGATTAATAAAAGGACAGAGTCTAAGTAGAATACGATAATCTAGCATCGGACACTTAAATGAGCAAGTGGGAGGTAGTTTTTTTAATGAATCGCAATTGCTTTTGTAACATCAACGCAGTATGTGTGGTATCTTTAAGAACAGGTGTCCAGGTACCGCAACGCCGTTCCCATCCCTAGCAAATCCTCATGACCCTATCCCCTCCCAGTATGCAACCGTATGACTCCCCTGCCCTCCCAAATCAAATATTGGCACGCTTGATGGGCTCGACCGTCTCGAGAGCTCCATCCTTCATAGCAGCCTCCTCCAAACGAGCGCGCTCGCCGATCTTGCGAAGGTGTGCAAGGAGGTAGTTGCTCTCCAGTCCACTGCCACGGCTTTCGCTCTGGACAAGGTACTGCAAGTCGGCCATGTTGATGTGAGAAGCTTGGTGCTCACCGATCTCTTCCTTGGCGTCCTCGCCCTCGGTATCACGGATAATCGTGCTGCAACCCTCCTTGGGACAGACCCAGCTTCCATTCGGTCCAGTCGCCTCCGTGCTAGGAAGCATGACGGAAGTGAGTTCAAGATTCAGCTTTGACTGGGCGTGGGTGCCTTCTTCATGATCAGATACGAAGAGGCTGTCCATTGCTCCCCACATGGCTTCATCTTCATCGTCGCTCACATCACCCATCTCCGGCTCTAAGAGCTTTCTCTTCTTTGCACGACCACCATTGCCAAGAACAGCATTTGGAAGCTTGCCCGACGGAGCAGAACTAGCGTCAGTCATTTCATTTCCAGTATTGGAGCTGACCCCAGTTGGGCGCAGTCCCGGATTCTTTCCGCTGCGCTGAACGGAGGTCTTAGCCGCTAGGGACTGGGATTTGAGAGGTTCAGGTGTTGTCAATGAAGAGGATGTATTGCTTGGACCATCAAGACCAGAATTGGTTCTCTTCTTGCTGACAGGTCTCTTCCTGTCGATGACTTTATTGCGCGGCTTAAGGACCATTTGACGTGCCAGTCGACACTGTTCCGCAGGGACCTTCTTCACGTCGGGATCCTCTTTCGACTGGTGATCCTTTGCCGAATTGTCCTTGTCGTTGGGCTCCTCTGGGGAAGGGTCAGGCAGGTCAGACAGCGCAGCTTGCTTTACGAGCTGCTTGTATAATTTGATGCCCTTCCATTCACCTATCGGCAGCAAATCGACTATTTCCTTAGCGTAGCAACGGACAATCGCTTTCGCTTCGGATTGTTCAAGTTGAAGATCGTGATAGAGTGCGGTCCAAACCGAAGCCATCGACAACTTATCGGCGGCTTTCTTTGCCTTAAGATCAAGGATGAGACGATGGATTGTTTCGATGGTTGAAGGAGCTCCAGCGGTGATTTTCTGACGGCGCTCGTAATCCTTAATCTTTCCAGAGTCTGTAGCACCGGCCACCGGAGGGGTAGAATTGTTTCTTGTGCGGGTGCCAGACGTGTTCGGGATTTCTGGCTTAGACGGAGGTAGGATAATTCCAGAGTTCTGAAGCGTTGTACGATGGATGTCCTGTGGAGGGTCAACAAAACGAGCTTTTCTAGATCTCCTAAAACTTACTGGACACTCATTTGCGAGCCATTTGAAGAACGAGGTGCCGATCCAGTTAACATTGTCATCGAGCTTTAACATCTGCGGGAGGAGAAAACCGGCATGCGCCTTGATTTTGGCAGGTGTGTTCTCCTTCAACAGGTGGCCACCCTCAAGATCTGCGTACTGCAAAGCATCAACATCAGCCAGGTATCGGACCTCGACAGAATGGCCTACCTTCGCAAAGACCTCGTCAACGGGGCCCTTCTGGAACTTTTTTCCCGATTGCTCATGTATCTCGGTGACAAGGTAGTAAACATAGAGGCCTTCCATCATCTTGGCGTATGTGGGCTCGTACTGAGAAGATGGCCTAACCTCAAACCATCGGCGCTGGCCCATAGCCCAGATGGTACTCGGTCCCCAGCCCACGGAGTAGGACTGAGTGATAAACGTGATCCACTTGCCATTGTACTCGGACTTCTTCACTGCGATACTGTGAGCGCAAGACTGACATACCCGGTGCTGGGTTGACTTACAGTGATGGATCTCGGGTTCGTCCTTCGGAATGACCAGCCGTCCACGGACCAAGAGCTTGCCCTTGATTGTAACTTCGAGCAAACTCTCCAAGGTCTTGCCGTCCATGCTGTAGACGGTCACGTCTTCCAAGAGGTAGACCGGGAAGGTCTCCTCATTGGCGTCCTTGGCAACCGCCTTCAGGACTTCATTCTCGTCGCGGTAGTCTCGGGTCTCCAGGCCGTCGCCATCGCCAGAGGAGATGGTGGACGTGGTCGACGGGCGGCGGCGTCGAGGCATTGTAGCGAAGGGTCGGGTATCGAGGTGGATGTTTGTTTGTTGATGGGTGAAGATCGGAACAACGTCGGGTTTACTTCGGGTTAACTGCGGATGTGGAAGAGTGGAGGGGAAATTTTGGGACAGATATATGAAATCCGGCACACAGTGAATTGCGAGTCCAAATCAGCGGCTACGCGTCCGCAGAACAAAGAGAAGATCGCAACCGCGACGGCCGGCCTTTTTTTTCAGGTGTCGATCCCGATAGCCGATAGCCGATAAGCCCTGACGATAAACGATAAGCGATAACAGTCGGCGAATTTCTCCCCGACCGCCGAGCTCCCTTACCGACGAGGCTACACGGCTACTCACACAGGACGGACCTAGGGCCTGCCGACTGATTACCGGCTCGTGCTGCATATTTTCCGTCCACCACCACGGCCTTGAATTCTCTTCTCCACACCAGACGCCCGGCGAATGTCGGCCAAGCACTTTTGGAGAATGACGAAAGGCAAGATCATGGAGGGCGTCTTTGGTAATTATCCCCTGCGCAGTTATTTTCTTTTCCATGTTCGCTCAACTGACAGCGCTACAGCCATCAACAAGCCGTCCATGATCTCCTCAGCACAAGTGTTGCGCGATTGCCAGCGCGCTTTCAACCCTTCCGAGCTCTTTGCTCCCTGGATCGCGGCTGAGACCTCTCTGCGCAATCGAGAATCGCACAATCAGCGCAAAAGACGCAGGGATAAAAATTTGCAGGTCAAGATTGGGCACGGTGGGACATTGGACCCCCTGGCGACTGGAGTCTTGATTACAGGCGTTGGGAAGGGAACGAAAGACTTGCAGCAGTTTCTACTGTGCACCAAGACATACGAAGCGGTGGTACTATTTGGTGCGAGCACGGATACCTATGATCGCCTTGGGAAGGTCCTTAGCACAGCGCCGTACGAACATATCACAAAAGAATCAGTGGAGAAAGCTTTGGAGCAGTTTAGAGGGAAGTTCATGCAGTTGCCGCCGTTATTCTCTGCCTTGAAGATGAATGGAAAGCCATTGTACGAGTACGCGCGAGAGGGGAAACCAATCCCCAGGGAGGTCCAGAGGAGAGAGGTAGAGGTCTTGAACTTGGAACTGGTAGAGTGGATGGAAGGAGGAACACATTCCCACAAGGCACCATTGGAACGCGCAGGACATGCGGAGATTAATGTCGCACGGCAGCTATGGAAGCAGGAGGGTGCGCTGCCAGCTAGCACAGATGCGGATGAGGATAGCAAGGAAGGTCCCGAAAGCAAGAAGCGGAGGCTAAGTGACAGTCAAGACAATCTGGTTACGGATCGCCCGAGTCCAAAGCACAGGAAGTTGCTCTCGTCAGAAGAACCCATCATGTCTGGGGGGCTCGCGGCTTCAGATTCAGCTTCTACACCTCAAGCAGCAGGGGAAGAAGCTTCGGCACCTGTTGTAAAGGGCCCTCCAGCAGCGAAACTTCGAATGACAGTGACATCTGGGTTCTACGTCCGCTCTCTCTGCCACGACCTTGGTGCAGCGGTTGGATCCGCCGCTCTGATGGCCGAGTTGGAGAGGACACGGCAAGGGGAGTTTGAACTTGGGAAAAATGTCCTTGAATATAGCGATCTTGAGCAAGGGGAGAAGGTGTGGGGGCCGAAGGTCGAGGCCATGCTTGATTACTGGTACTACAAGGGAAAGACCCCTCGTGACAATCCCGCCAAGGACGTCGAGGATGAGGTCAAGATGAAGACGGAGGCCGAGGCCGAGGACGAGGTCAGGGTGAAGACGGAGGCCAACTGCTAGTAGTGGCAGCCCCGAGGGAAAGGATCTTTCGACAAATGGCACGACTGTTGCAGCAGTCTGAAGTAGGAGAAGACGCCGGTGGCTAATGGGCCTGCGATCGCGGTCGTGGATACGTTCAACTCCATAGTTCTGCGGGGCAAACTCCACATAAGCCTCATAAGGGTCGGGTGGTTTATTACAAATCTACAAGTATCTGGGAGGAAACACTGGCGAGGGTCGGCGTTGCAAGTATAATAGACAGAACAAAAGGGAATCCCAACTTTTCTTTGTCTTTTGCCCATTCCCTCTCACTCCCTCGACAGCAAGACAATAGGCAATGTGCAAGACTCTTAGATGATGTTGCTTGACCTGGGTGCATAGAGTACTAAGGTAGTGTAATCGATAATGATAGATGATAGATGATCGACAGATGATAAAAAACGCGGTGGTTTTATACGGGCTACTGCAGTATTTTATCGTAATTATCCACGCTAGTCCAAGGGTCGACGCTCACCGCCCGCCAAAATCTGCAAAACCTGCAAAATCGCAAAATCCGCGTGTGCGGGATTATTATGTTTGTTTTCTTGGAGACGCCCATACTGCCCATTCCTTTCGACCTCGAGTAGTAACGCCCTGGACAGTTCTGTTTTGCAGGCATCGTGCCACTGCGCGAATTTAGAGTCGGGAAGAGCTCTTGGCGTTGGGCCTCAAGATCCTCTCTCCTTGACACCGCCTCTTTGCAAATGCTATGCTGCCTCGATAGCAGCCCCCCCGACACCGGTCGATGATTCACGTCACGAACAACACCATCGACTTCTCTCTACATTCACTCCGGTTCCTCTCGATGGCGTCCTGAGTTTGCAAGAAGTGCTTTGTGTGCCTCCTTGCTTCTCCATCTCCAGTCAGCTTCGTTCCCTTCTTGCGCACCCCGCCAATCCAACATTTTCCCAATCCTTAAGCTCCCCGCAAGCTGGGCCTGTTGGATACCACCTGCAGAGCAACGCCTGATCCATCTTGGGAGTCAAATACCTTCTTGTCGGCGTTCCAGGTAGCTTGGTTGAACAGTAATTCTACTGCTCCGTCTCTCAAAGAGGCCCCTCGATTCGCCTGTTCTCCTTGGGAAGCTTCTCACTCTTAACGCCCTCCTCTTCTACCCCTCCTACGAATCATGGCAGCACCTTTGGTCGCAGAATTCCACCCCGAGACTACTTCCCCCGTAGCAGTTAGTGGAAAGGAAGCTCTAATGGACGCCGTAGAAGACGTTCTCTTTGGCTCTGTGAGTCACCCTTCATTCTCCAGAGACTCCTTGCTAACAACTCTCAGATCGCCGGCGTGGCGGGCAAGTATATTGAATACCCCTTCGACACGGTCAAAGTTCGCCTACAATCACAACCAGACCACCTTCCTCTCCGTTACACTGGGCCCCTAGATTGCTTCAAGCAGTCGTTACGTGCAGATGGGTTCCTCGGCCTATACCGTGGTGTAAGCGCACCGCTTGTCGGCGCCGCGCTCGAGACATCCTCTCTTTTCTTCTGGGAACGCGTCGGCCGCGAATCTCTATTCAAAGCCGGGCTCTACCAACGGGACAAGCCATTACCTCTCTCAGCACTCTGGCTGACAGGTGCTATAAGTGGGGCCTTTACCAGCTTGGTTTTAACGCCAATTGAACTGGTTAAGTGCAAGATCCAGGTCCCTGTTACAGGTTCCGGAGAGCAAGCCAAGAGAACACAAACGCCGCTGGCGGTGGTTAAAGAGGTGTTCAAACACCAAGGCATACGCGGATTTTGGAACGGGCAGCTCGGGACATTGATTCGCGAGACCGGCGGCTGCGCTGCTTGGTTCGGGAGTAAAGAAACCGTCACCCTGGCCTTCCGACACTTGAACTCCAAATATCCCTCCCTCTCACCCTCCTCTACTCCCGAACCACCCCTGCCGACATCAAACCCAGTAGCTCTGGGAAATGCATTAGTACCCCTGCCGCTGTGGCAACAAGCGCTAGCTGGCGCCTCCGCCGGCATGTCCTACAACTTTCTATTCTTTCCCGCCGACACGATCAAGTCGAGGATCCAAACCAGCAGCATCCACTCGCCATCTTCCAAAGGTCAGTTTTGGGCCGAAGGAGTCACTATATATAGAAAGTACGGTATTAAGGGGCTGTACCGTGGATGCGGGATAACAGTGATGAGGAGCGCGCCCAGCAGTGCATTTATTTTCATTATCTTCGACGCTTTGAAAGGAACATTTAGCTTCTCTTGATAGACGACGGGAGTAAGGACATCATAGACAGGCAGGCCATAGCCAAGGGGTTGTATATCGCGGACAGCATTTCAGGATAGCATGATGCAGTTTGGAAGGTCTGGTAGTAAACTCACTACCTATTGAGCATTTGACTTCTCCCGGAGCGAGATATATAGATGGGTGGGAAGGTCTTCTTATTCTATTACTCAGTCAGTTATGGGATGGTGGGATTTGGCGTTGGGTCGCAGTGCATTGCATTACATTGCATTGGATTGCATGTACCTCGAGTAGCCTGTAAGCAGGCGGGTGCAGAAAAAGCAAAGATAGACAAAAGCTATAGAAGGTGTGTAGATACCTACCTTATGTAGGTAGCAATGAGAAACTCATTGTGGTGCCTGGAATACGTCTGTCGTTTTTTGGTATATCAGAGAATATATTCGGGTTTGAGTGGTAAACTAGAACAACACCCCGCCCCCCCCCCCCCAGCGGAAAAAGAAACCCCAAAAAGCAGCCTTCTCAACCCCATCTTGGTAACCTCAAATGTTCAAGGAATAGGTAGGTAAGTGTTGAACTTCATGCCATAATATACGGGATTATTAAGTAGATTAATTATATGACATCGTGAGAAGAGAAATTCACGGAACGCGAGAGCCCCTGATCTGTCATACCTCAAGATAGACAAATCCAAATGGTAGGTGTCGCTGATTGAATGCTTAGATGGCCATTGAACTTATTCCTTAGATTTGGATTTTGACTATTGAGAGATCGAATACTCAAGATGTCTCTTGGCTGAAAATGAGGAAAAGTTGATAAAAATAGGAATTGCTCTCTGTATTCATCATATCTACGCCCCCCATTCGAGCCCGGTAAGACGCCATAAACTCCAAACGCAACGTCTCATTTCATCATTCATGATCTGCACCACGTCCCACGCATCTCAAACAGCCCAATAAACATCAATCTTCAATGCCTGGATGTGGTTGGACCAGCCAGGAAATCTCGCCTTGGCCCAAACCGTCACCACGTCTCCTACCTTTAGATCCCTGACCCACTGTCCCGTGGCAGAGGCGCGGCCTCTTCCTTTGGTCTCTAATTGGTCGGCCTCGGGGGATTCAGGATCTATATTGTCGAAGTATGACCATGTGACTACATGTTCCTTCGCCGTTCGCTCAGCCATCACGTTCTTCTGCAAGGCCATTTCGGCGGGCAAGAGGGGATGGTCAAATTGGTATGAGGTTTCTGAGGGTGTTGCGCTGTCTTGTCGAGCAACTGTACGAGGAAGAATAGTCCGGAGAGTGCAGACAATCGGGCTAGAGTTACCATCTGGGCTATCACTGCCAAGACGAAACTGAGGGAGGAGCTTCCCCTCCTCTGGTAGAGCGGCTAATTGAGATTTAGTAGATGGTTCGGAGGACTGTGAAGCTCTTGACAATATGTAATTTGAGTACTCACATTCCTGATAGGCAGTTAGCTTTTCCAGGCCAACGTCAAACCACGTGTAGGATCCATGGTATGGATTGTTCACGTCACGGCGGCCACCTCCCCAGCCTTGGTCATGGGATTTGATTGTAAATACAATCTTTCGGCATGGATGGTCGCCTCTAGATTTGGATTTTAATGTCATGTGATCGAGGACTTCTTGAGTTATACTCTCCGAGGCTATAGGTGAATCGGGAGATGGATGAGGTTCCATAGTTTCATAGTTCTCTTGGTCTTCGGGTAGTATTTGGTAACCACCGTTGGAGGGATCAGAGCTCGGGAGGAAGCCGATGGGATAGGATCTCAACTAGAAGGCGTTAATTAGGACAATTGTGACAAAAATCGGATCTTGTGATCTTGTGTATAGGTATTTGCGCTCTCTCGAAAACCGAAGATATAAAAGAGCGTTGGGGATGAAGCAGTATGACTAGCTCTAGCTATCCCAAGCCTCTGGGCCCAACTGGGTAATTCAAGACAATGAGGTAGGACTCGGAGGATTAAACACGCCAAGCCATCAGAGGTACTGTGAATTACTGTAGACTGAAGAGATCCACCATACATACCACCAGTATATTCTCTTGATTTTGAGCGCGGGCAATCGTTGGAGTAGTTATGGCAGTGGAGGTGTGAGGCCAATATTCCGCGAAATCGATAACTGTATCGATAAGTTCGAGTGGAAAAGAGGATATGCTGCCAAGAAACTCTTTAACGGAGAGCACATCTTCGACAGATGGCTTGTAGCGATCTGAATTATACATAGGCGGTCTCCAGGAGCCGGTTCTGAATAGGGTTGAGAGGGGGCGGAAGATGTAACGGTGAGCGATACTCATCCCGTGTCTATGTGGATGGCTGAATTATAAAGAAGACTGCCAGGTAGAGGAAAGAGGGTTTCATAGAGGAGGGGTGAAGAAATATACTGTATCTTGCACGGATATATGTCTAGGCACCCAGCTACCTTACCTTCAGGTACCAAGGTATCATTGCATGGAGCTCAAACTGTTTATGACGTAAGTCACGTGCAGAACGGGTTGATCCTAGGTAAGGTAGGTATCTTATGTACAGTATAGATGATTGACTAGATATGGACTGGCTACGAATCGACTTCAGAATAGACTCGAAATATAATACAGAGGAGGTGTATGTATATAGGTGATCACGAAACTTAAGGTAAGAAGAAAACTGCGGCCTCAGATACCAGGCGCTAGATTCGCCTCCCTGCGCGGCCGAAAGGCTGAAGGCAAGCTAGGCAAGGTAATGTGACCACCCCGCAGGTAAGTCACGTTTTTCAACGCAATTATTTTGTTCCGTTGCCCATCTTTGAGACCCTGAGATCTTCTGAGATCTTCTGAGAGTCCATACCTACCTGCTTTCACGCCTTGGTCGGGAAGAGGAAGAGGGTTGATTTCACCACTCTCACCACTCTCACCACTTTCACCATGAACTCAACGAAGAGCATGGTCGCAGCTGCGCGGGTGGCTGCTAGACCGAAGAAACTACAATCCTCCTGGGTACGGCAATTTGCAGCATCCCACAGGCCTGTCGCAACTTCACGAGCAAACAGACCACACAATGTTGTCGCCAGGGCATTCCACGCCCACGATGGGAAGAAGTCCGCGGCTGCTGGTGGTGCTGCTGCAGAAGCTTCCAATCCACCAATGGCGTTTCCCTGTCTCGACGCCCTTGAATCGAAATCCGCAACCCTCGAAGCGCGATCGCTTTCCAGCGGCCCCGAACCATCTTATACCAGTGGCGTGACGCTCAAGTACCGCTGCCATGACCCATTATTACTTGATTGGGGCGGAGTGTTGCCAGAGTTCGACATCGCATACGAAACTTGGGGAGAAATAAATGCTGATAAATCCAATGTCATCCTTCTCCACACCGGCCTCTCTGCCTCCTCACACGCCCATTCCACAGAGAAGAATCCGAAACCTGGATGGTGGGAGAAGTTTATTGGCCCAGGAGGATGCCTTGATACAGACAAATATCATATCATTTGCACAAATGTTATTGGAGGTTGTTATGGTTCAACTGGACCAAGCAGTATTGACCCCGCGGATGGAAAAAGATATGCTACGAGGTTCCCGATCCTGACAATGGAGGATATGGTCCGCGCACAATTTCGGCTTCTCGATGGTCTGGGAATCAAAAAGCTGTATGCCAGTGTAGGTTCAAGTATGGGTGGAATGCAATCTTTAGCAGCAGGCTTGCTCTTCCCGGAACGGGTCGGTCGAATTGTCAGTATTTCTGGCTGTGCACGGAGCCATCCATACAGCATTGCGATGCGCCACACACAACGGCAGGTCCTTATGATGGACCCGAAGTGGAACCGCGGTTTCTATTATGATAGTGTCCCTCCCCACGCTGGGATGAAACTAGCACGGGAAATTGCAACGGTTACATACCGCTCAGGGCCGGAGTGGGAGCAACGATTTGGTCGCCGACGAGCAGATTCTAGCAAGCAACCTGCACTGTGCCCTGATTTCCTCATTGAAACATATTTGGATCATGCGGGGGAGAAGTTCTGTTTGGAGTACGATGCCAATAGTCTGCTCTACGTTAGTAAAGCAATGGACCTGTTCGATCTTGGTGCCGCAAACCAAGCTGCGAGTAGTGCCCGCCGAGCTGCTCACCTTAAACGATTCAAATCCGCATCCCGTGACGAGGTAGAAGCAGCGTCATGCAGCCTCACGCTTCCTGACTCGCCCTATGTGGAGCAACCAGAAGCCACTGTTCCCACAGATTTTAGTGCTCCTGTCACCTCACCTTCCGGACCACCTCAAGATTTAGTAGATGGGTTAAAGGGTCTGGCCAATCATCCTATGCTGGTGATGGGTGTTGCAACTGATATTCTGTTTCCGGCATGGCAGCAGAGGGAGATTGCAGAGACGTTAAGGAAAGCAGGGAATAATAGCGTCACGCATGTGGAGCTTGGGGAGGATATCAGCCTTTTTGGGCATGATAGCTTTTTGTTGGATTTGGAGCATATTGGAGGGAACCTGAAGCGGTTCTTGGGTTGAGATCAGTAAGAAAGGGTGCTTGGTGACCCGTGAGGTTAGGGTATGATGGAAGATTAATCTAGGGGATCTGGGGAGATTTAGAGAGGAGTCACCCTATGAAATCAAGACATAAGTTACCGGTTGTTGGAGGAAAACGATGTATGAGAACGAGTGTACGATCGGAGGATAAGGTGCATTGGAAGGCGTTCTTTGATTCGGCATCTGTTATGGCGTTAGCACGCATATCGATTTGAGCAGATATCTTATATACAGGTGTAGATAAATCTCCTTCCTATTGTTCGGAAGACTTTTCAAAAAGCATCTCTTCTTCTACCAATATCTAACGCCCTTCTCATCATTGAGCCGCTCTGCGTTTTAGTAGCATAGGTACTATATACTGTAACTAACAGGCCACTGGACCTAGTATGTCCTGAAATCAGCACATCAACATTTTATGGCAGCATAATTGAGAGGAACAACAAGACGTTGCTACAACAAATTTCTGGACGAAGCCTCATAGATTCTCAGGGGTTCTAGCGAGGTAGGGAGTTGGTTATGGCTGACAGAGGAATAATAGCATTTTGTTCTAGAGGGAAACAGAGAGCCAGGTATTAGCAATAGTGACTGATATCTAGGTACCTTATGTTGGGACGGTTTGGATTTGAAGTCCTGGATTTGACTTGCTTTCGGGGACCTGGTTGCTCGTGAAAACACTCACTTATGAAATCGCCCATGAAATACCCCAAGAAATCGCTCATGAAATACCCCAAGAAATGTCCAATGCCAAATTGCGATGTGCAACAAAGTTCGAGGTCGTCTCGCTTATTCATCTTATCTTATCGTTCCTGCGTAAGCGATTACGCTAATAAATCGAGATGGCATTTGTCGATTATGTAAGCAATTTTCATGAAATAACCTCGAACATGTGGGACGTGAAACACTGACCTTTTACCAACTGCATTTGAATATAACTGGCTACACTTCTGCAATCGTCATATATGATGCACCGATGGCGAAGATGTTTCGCCTCCCTCCGGCTCTTGGTCATGCCGCCATAGCGTCCTTCTTTCCAGCGTCGAGATGCAATTCATATCGATGTACCCGCTTCTTAACAACAGCAGCAAGAATGGCTTCTTGTACAGGCCGCAGCTATGCGGATGCCCTGGCGCTTCTCGAAAATCTCCAATCGAACCGCTCTGTTGTGACTTCCATTTCTACCTCGCCATTCGATATGAATCAAGCCGCGATACCAGAAATGTTGGATTGGACACGCAAGGCGGGATACGAAGTCGGAGATTTCGCGAAGCATGGTCTGAGGTGCATACACATAGCTGGAACGAAGGGGAAAGGAAGCGTGTGCGCCATGGTTGAGAAACTGCTTCTGCAGTATCGTGGGGAGGATACTTGCGGCGGGCTGGCAGTCGGCGCGCGGAAATCCCTGGGCAAGATTGGGATGTACACCTCCCCACACCTCATAACTGTCCGAGAACGTATACACATTGATGGGTCTCCGATCTCTGAAAGTCTCTTCGCGCGTTATTTCTTTGAGCTCTGGGATCGTTTCTCCAATAGCGTCCCGGACTCCGACCCAATGTCGTTAGATACGAAGCCGAGCTATTTCCGCTACCTGACGATACTTGCTCTGCACGCGTTCCTGCAAGAAGGTGTAGAGACCGCAATTATGGAGTGTGGAATTGGAGGCGAATATGATAGCACTAATATCCTCCCCCCGGAAGCTGTTACCGTGTGTGCCATTGCGCGCCTAGGAATTGACCATATTGGGATGCTAGGGGAGACAATCGAGGAAATAGCTTGGCATAAAGCTGGAATTATAAAGACAGGCACGCCCGTTTTTACAATTGAGCAGGTCCCAGCCGCTCATGCCGTTCTAAAGAAACGGGCCGCTGAGAAAGGCGTCGAATTACAGGTTGTCAAGCAGCCCAAGGCGGTAGATAATAGTAGGCTAGGGATAGACCTCTCTATGGAAGGGGATTTCCAGCAGACAAACGCTGCATTGAGTACTGCTGTCGCAGCATCCCATTTGATGACTATGGGAATTACAGAGGGGATTCCCAATCCTCAGGCTTTACCAATTCCCCCAGAGAACCTACCAGAGCAGTTCAAGTATGGTTTGAAGACGGCCAAATTGCCAGGAAGATGCGAAGTTCGCAGAGATGGCAACATTGAATGGCTCATCGACGGTGCTCACACAGTGGACAGCATAGAAGCCGTTGCTCAATGGTTTACCAGCAAAGTCGACGAAGCATGGAAGGAGGAGAAACCCCCTACGGCCACAATGCTCATCTTCAACCAGCAAGACCGCGATGCGGAGACGCTGCTCCGGACCCTCATCACTTCAATCGCACGAGCTGCATCGTCGAAGAATGGACCTCGATCCCACCGTTCTTTTCCAACGGCCGAGGATGGCGCCCAATCTGCTTCGAAGATTTTTACCTACGCCGCATTTTGTTTGAACACGCCTTTTAAGGATGACGTAGGGAAGGACGTCGATCTGAGTCTCCAGGAACGTCTAGCAGAGGTTTATAGAATGCAGGGCGGCAACTCCTCGCATATGTGCTATGGGAACGTGGAGGAAGCCGTGGAGTTTGCGCGGAAGGTGTCAGTGGGGGAGGAGAGGGTATTGGTTCTCGTCACCGGGAGTCTGTATTTAGTAGGTGGATTGATGAAGGTTTTGGAGAGGCAGGCCGGTAGTGATGGTGATAGTCGAAGGATAGATAGATAGATAGATAAATGCAAAATAAGTAGATCCAGGGCCCTCCATGTCTCTAGGTATACTCGATGGTCTGTTGATTAATATTACCGAGTGAGTAGGGGGAAGGAGACAAGGAGAGTTGTCTTGCCGCTCCTCTCCTCTTGTCTCTCTTGTCTCTCTTCTCCTCTTCTCCTCCTCTTTCCCTGTCTCTCTCCTCTCCTCTCCTCTCCTCTCCTCTCCTCTCGTCTCTCCGCCTCTCCCTCCACTCCTCTCTCCTCTCCGCCTCTCCTCCTCCCCGCCCCGCCACCGCCACGGCCCCTGCGAGACTCGACCCGCCAAGCGTCAGACATGGCAAAAGCCCTTGTCGCAAAAAGCGTCGAAAAACTTGGGTGATTCGCGCCATGTCGTGCATGGGGGATGAGGACACTAGTCGCAGCCAGAGAGGTGGCCCAAGACGGCGCAGCCACTCACGATTCCCAGCGAGACCTCTGATATCGCTCTAGCGTGGCGACAACCCTGGATCGCCTCGCGCGTTGCGAGCGACAGAGCTGGACAGAGCTGAACCACTCCGACGACCTTCACAGCAGATCCCGTCTGCATCCAGTGCCACTGTCCCAGGTTCCTACGTGCCTGAGCCGCCCACCGGCCATACAAAACGGCGCCCCCGACGGCCCTGGACCACCGCCATGCCCTGCTGATCGCCAAGTACCGATTCCCATACAGCAGCTAATCATGTATGCACCTCCTTATGGCTTTGGCCCGACACCAAGCCATGCTTCACCCTTCAATCCCAATGTTGGCATGCCTCCCCAGCCTGGCCCCCATAGCACCCCGCACCAGCAGCCGCTGCAACAGCAACAGCAACAGCAGCATCAGCAACAGCATCAGCATCCACAGCAACAGCATCAGCAACAGCAACAGCAGCAGCAGCAGCAGCGGGCCCAGCAGCCTCAGCATATGATGATGTACAATCCTCAAGCCTTTGGTGCCTCGTCGTACGACCCGAGGAATGCGGGCGCGGTGCCCATGATGCAGCAGAATGGCGGTTTGGCGCATCTGCCCGGCGGAGGTAGGTTGCTCCCATCTCGTGTCGTCTTCCAGGCAATCTATGCTGCCTCTTTTACATCCATCCTCTGCGGACTACACAAGCTTTCCGCACGCCGGCCTGTGAAGTCTTCGCGCGTATCATCTATCAGAAGGATCCTAGCGGCGTCCTGCAAGTCCAGTATCTTGCTTCTGCCGCGCCAAGCTACACCATGTCACTCGCTGCCTACTACTGTATGAACATGATCAGCCATAACTGACATCTATCAAACCCAGTGGCCCAATACCAGACACCGTACACAACCTCTCCGTACGGGGCCTCCGTCCCTTCCTTAGCCACGAGTCTCCCTCCGAATTTCTTGCCCTCAACCTCAGCCGCAAACGCGCCCTCGAGAGCCTTCCCCATGAACGCCCCAAATCTCAACATGAATCCGCAAGCTATGAATCAACGAATTCAACCGCCTACCCCCAACCGCGCTTCTTACGGGAATCTCCAGCACTCCACCCCTCCTAATGCTTCGACCGCAAGCTCGCAATTTGCTACGCCTCAAAATCAAACGACAAATCAACAATTACAACAGCAAATTCAGTCAACAGCAGGGGCGGGAGTAACGACGCCGCAAACTCCAAATTTCTCTCATCCAGGACAGACGGGGCTAGGGGTTGGACAAGTCGCAACGCCGCTAAGTCCTGGGAGTGAAGCGAGGGAAAAAGAGAGAGTTACGCTGTTGTTGGAGATCAATCGAGAGTTGTTGATGACGGTGATTGATTGGCAGAATGCGCAGCAGGCAGAGAAGGAGGAATCAGCTTCAATAGCAAACACCACCACTTCCACAGATCAAGATAAAGCGGAAAAGGATAAGGGCGAGAAGAATAAGCTTAGCACCGGGAGGGAGTATGTTGAGTATGTCTTCCCATATTTGTGTGCTTGGACAAGAAGAATTAACGCGTATTGTGATGATAGGTGCATGCGACGCTTACAATCTAACCTCGCATATCTCGCCGCCATCGCCGACCGCTCCCACAAGCCATCGAACCAAATACCCGCTCATCCAACAATTATGACTGCTCCTGTTTTGAACCTGAAACCGAATCCGTCCCCCGATGTCGGCAATGCACCCAAGCCCGAGTCACCCAGTAACTCAGAAACGAAGAAGGTCGATGGGGAAGAACAGAAACAAAACAAGGAGGAATCAAAGGGGCTCACAGGACAGAGTAAAGAAGAAAGAATGGAAACCTTAAAAGACCAGTACAGGCGCTTGCAGGCACTCTTTCCCGGCGTGGACCCTAAAAAGGACCACACCATCCAGAGGGTCAACGAGGCGTCCAGACAGCAGATGCAGGCTAAGGCCCAAGCTCATGCTCAGGCTCAAGCCCAGGCTCAGACCCAGGCTGCTGCTGGCACGCAAGTTGGGCAAGGACAGATGGGGCAGAAGACGCCACAGACGCCGGGCGTGGCCACAGAACAACAAGAAGGACAAGCGCAGAACCCGTAGATTCTACACGGGTCTGGAGAAAGGGACTGTGAACGGGGCGAGGGAGCGAAGAGGAGGATCTAATGGGTGTAAAATGAAACGAATCGGAATCAGGAGTAAAATGTGTTTAGAAAAGTATCATATGACGGGCCTGGATTTATACCTTCGGATATGGGCTATGCTGCTGCTGGGGGACAGGGTTATACTTGGATATTGATGCATAGGTGTTGGTCCGAAAAAGAGGCTGTTGGAGTGTTGGGCCAAGTTATGAGATTACTTGGGAGGCTTCCTGGCCTAGCAAGTATCTTGGATGTTAAAATAAGTATATGACATCCAAGAGGCCTTGCCTTGAGAGCAGTGGCTGACTTGGCTCATATATAAGAAGTATCTGGATAAGGTGTACTTACCTAGGTAGGCCTAAGGTAGAGAAGCGTTTGGAGTATATATACACCTTCTATTATACTCTACGTTAAAAAGCATCGTCTCAGGGGTTTTGGCGTTGAGATTTTCTTACTCGGAATAAAGATGTTGGCTATTGCAAAACAGTAGGAGAGCCATCATTGATTGATACCGTAGCTTCCCTAGGTATATATATCCATTATAAAACTGTGTCATATAACAAAGGATGTATATCATTCTGTGGTTTAATCAGAATTACATAAGGCTCTACAATTAGAAGTAGATCTCGGCAGAGTCAGGAACAACGCGCGAACCCAAAAAAAAGAGCTGAACGCCGACGACAACAGAACTTTTCCCGACCACAACATGGATCCCCAGCAATAACATCCAGCGCCCTCTCCAGACCTCGAAGCAAAAGCCCGCACCGTCCCCAACCCCCCCTCCACCGACAAGATGGCCACTCCCGTCCGGCTCCTCGTCTGCTCGATTGGGAACCCCGGGGTATACATCAACACGCTGCACTCAGCCGGACACACGGTAGTCTCCTCCCTAGCCACGACGCTGGCTTACCCGCCCTTCCAGAAGATGCGCGCCTACGGCAACGGGCTCGTATCCGCGGGGATAGACCACACGCTCTGGCAGTCATCGTCAGCAATGAACGTATCAGGCGTTGGGGTCGCCGCGGCATGGCGGCAGTTCCTGAAGGACGCGCGGGGCGAGGAGGCCAAGCTCGTCGTGGTGCACGACGAGATGGAGCTTAAGCTGGGGGAGGTCAAGGTCAAGAGGGGGGACCTGAGCCCCAAGGGCCATAATGGGTTGAAGTCTATCAAGGAGGTGTTGAAGGGGGTGGAGTATACGAGGATTGGGGTGGGTATTGGGAGGCCCGAGAGTAGAGATCCGAACGTGGTGGCCGCGTACGTGCTTAGGAAGATGAGCGCGGTGGAAAAGGCAAAGATCGAGGCTTGTACGGAGAGAGTGGCGATGGAGCTGAAGAAGCTGGCGGGGAGTTAAAAAGTCGGAATGGAGGCTTCTACGGATATACCAAGTTCCTACAGCTCTACTGGGGAAAGCGAAAAGACCGAGAACGATTCAAGCCATGAGGAGAGCATGATGGGATCTCTTGGCCCCAAGCACATTATATGATCTGTACAGGTAGTGACACGGTGGTGGATCCTGTCGAAACGCAGCCGCCCTCTTCAATCACTTGGGCTGTCAAATCTGACCGACCTAACCTTCACTTGATCTCGGGAGTCAGAGATGGATGATGAAGACGTTGCTCCAGAGCGCTGTATCAAGGCATCTACTGAAAGACTATTTGTGAGGTGGTTTGGATATGCTTTGGCTTATTGGAGCTTCGAACAGATAGACACTACACGCCGGGATCAACAGCTGGGCGTACTCTGGATGGTACTAGACAATACAGTTACTATACACCAACCTCACCAGAGAACTCAGGCTCGTCAGCTGCAAAAGTCATGACCACTGGCATCAGCTCGTAAGCAATCTAGTTCTAACTGCAAGACTCAGCGGGACCCTATATCAGAATCTATTGTCCCCCCTTCCTTGGATAACTTGTGCCAACGCGGCCTTTCTTGTGAGGCAGCCCGATAAATAAAGTCGGCAGATGCTCGAAATGACATATATGACTTGGAACGTACGTTTCTCTGGCTCGCTCTTCGGATTAGGACCCCGAGCTCCCGTCACCAGTCAAACGTCACCGATCGTAGTGAATGATTACGGGTGAATTCTCCCCCACCTGTGAGGTACTCCGATAAGAAATATCTCGAGTGTCTGGTTGCTTGCCAATAAACATAGCTCAACGTCCTGGTAGAGTATATGGAACCGTCAGATTTGTTTGGAATCTCTTTTAACCCTTCTCTCGCAGTCTAGCCAAAGCATCTGCAACTCCATCGCTCAATTCGTTATCTTTCCTTGCCTGCGTCGTTCTCTTTTCCCTAGCTAACCTCTCCTCCTCTTCCGCGGCCGCGATTAAAGCTTCCTCGTCATCGTCATCAGGATCCCACATTTCGAACTGCTTTGGGGCTGCTGCAGATTGCTCTGATTCTCCTATCGTCTCCTTTGTAGCACTCTTCTCGCCCAAGGAGCTCATCTCTCTCAGAGGGACCCTACTCAACGGCACAGCACGATCCAAGACACCTTCAGACTGCTGTCTATCATCGCCTGCAATACCTTTTGCCGTTGCTCCTCTCTTGGCTGCCCTCCGAGCTCGAAAAGGTTCGTCAACAACGCTACACCACTTTTGAACTTTCTTCTCTCCCCATCCGCTAACAATAGCAACTTCCTCCGGCTTCGCATTGACTGCCGCCCTGATGCTTCCAAATGCACTCACAAGTGATACTGCATCCGTCTTATTGATGCTCCTCGGAACTGTCACAAACTCCACCATCTTCTCTGCGTAACCTTTGCTTTCCACCCCTCTAATAGCGCTCGCGTTCGCATGTTCATAGCTCTTGTACAGCTCTAGGTATCTTGCAGCTTCGGGAGCACTCCAACATAGAATAACAGTGACATTGTTGACCAGACTCGTCTTCGATAACTCCTTCAAACTATCTTCGTGGTTCCCGATATCTACCATCACCAGCAGAATCCGAAGATTGTACTTCCCAGCCAAGAGCTTAATACGGTTGTAGATATATTCGGGATGTAACCGATGATACTTGAGCGAGAGGAAGAGGGCGCATGTTGTAAGTCCGAGAATGTAATCAGCTAGGATGTCGGAGTATTCCCATGCGAATGAGCGCAAGTGCGTGAGGATTGGATTGCCTTTCTGACGGGGCGAGACGAGAATTGAAGAGCCAGATGAGCGCGAGGCAATAGGTTGAGGAGTTGGCTGTACAACTTTGGGGCCAGTCGAGGTAGACGTATTAGGTGGTGCGCGGTCGAGACGCTGTGGCGTAGGTTGTTGGATCCGTTGCGGAGTTGGTTGTTGGACACGAGCTGGAGGCGTAGCTGAGGCTTCTGAAGCTGCAAGAGCTGCTAGAAAGTCAGCATCAGCGCCAAACTCGTCTTCATCATCCATTGTGAATATGTGTGAGGGTTATCTGAGTTCACAATGAGGCTACTCGAAAGGCTGGCTCGAGGCTGGTCGGGGAAGACGTTCCAAAGGCGGTCAATTCCGGCAGAATTATTTAGCGCGGGGCATTTTCAAACCTCAACAAGGGTTTTGATTGACTCACTTCGACAATTCGACCACGGAGCCCAGAGCCAACATCTTTGTTCCCTTTCCTTGCCATTCGTATTTGGACACGATGCCGAAGGTGTATTTGCTAGACTACGTTGCTGGAAACGTGCGGAGTCTGGTCAACGCAATTGAGAAAGTTGGATATACTGTCGAATGGATCAGAACTCCAGAAGATGTTGCGAAAGCAGATGTGAGAACGCACAATAGACAGCTAAGGAGTTCGAATTCTTGCAGCTGACAACTATACGCAGAAACTCATCCTTCCCGGCGTTGGGCACTTCGGCCACTGCATGACTCAAATTTCTTCCGCGAACTACCTTCCTGCGATACGGAAACATATTGAATCAGGCAAACCGTTTATGGGAATCTGCGTTGGGCTCCAGGCACTCTTTGAAGGGTCTGCAGAAGACCCAACAGTTCCCGGACTTGGTATCATCAAGGGCCGCCTCGAGCGATTTGATGACAGCTCAAAATCTGTCCCGCATATTGGTTGGAACAGTGCAAACACATCAGACAAGCAGGTGTATGGCTTACGACCAAGCTCTAAATACTACTATGTCCATTCATACAAAGTGCCATATCGGCCAGGTGAACTTGAGAGTCAAGGGTGGACAGTTGCGACCGCGAGATATGGCGAGGAGGAGTTTATCGGTGCCGTAGCGAAGGGGAATATTTTGGTTACACAATTTCACCCGGAAAAGAGTGGTGTTGCAGGCTTGCGCGTTATAAAAGCATTCTTGGAAGGAGACTCCAAGATAGACACTATTGTCAATGGGGAGGTAAAAGCAGCAAAGGAAGGATTGACGAAGAGGGTGATTGCGTGCCTGGACGTACGGACGAATGACCAAGGCGATCTCGTAGTTACGAAAGGCGATCAATATGATGTGCGAGAGAAGACATCCGGTGGAAACGTTCGAAACCTTGGCAAGCCCGTTGAAATGGCGCGAAAATACTATGAGCAAGGAGCGGACGAGGTCACATTCCTTAATATAACAAGTTTCCGAGATTGCCCATTGGCCGATTTGCCAATGCTGGAGATTTTACGGCGCACGTCAGAATCCGTTTTTGTTCCTCTTACGATCGGAGGCGGAATCAGAGATACCACCGACACTGATGGAACAAAAGTCTCGGCACTGGAGATTGCTACTATGTATTTCAAGAGCGGAGCCGATAAAGTGTCGATAGGTTCAGATGCTGTTCTTGCAGCAGAAGAATATTACCAAGGGGGCAAGAAGCTGTTCGGGAATACAGCCATTGAGCAAATATCAAGTGTATATGGGAATCAAGCGGTTGTTGTCAGCGTCGACCCGAAGAGGGTGTATATTTCAAAGCCAGCCGAAACGAGACACAACACAATCTCTACAAAATTTCCCGGTCCCAACGGGGAGACTGCGTGTTGGTACGCCTGCACAATCAAAGGTGGCCGAGAAACCAGAGATATGGATGTAGTGGAATTAGTGAAGGCAGTGGAAGCCATGGGCGCGGGCGAGATTCTCCTGAATTGTATAGACAAGGATGGCACGAATAGTGGCTTTGATTTTGAGCTTATTGATCAGGTAAAGAGTGCGGTCAGCATACCAGTCATCGCTTCCAGTGGCGCAGGCAATCCTGGACATTTTGAAGAAGTCTTCTCGAAAACGAAAACGGATGCAGCACTCGGTGCGGGTATGTTTCACAGGGGTGAATATACAGTTAAGCAAGTCAAGGACCATTTGGCAGCGAAGGGATTGATGGTTAGAGAGTTTGAAAGCGAAATTTAGATGCATTGGATATTGCAAGCTATCTAGGTACATACAGGAAGGGTTCGGCATGTAGAGTAATCGGGTGTGCTAGCTCCTAAGGGGAAATGAAGAAAGGGGCTCCGAGAGCTCTTCACATCCCAGTCTCGAATAGCTTAAGCATTTCCCTGAATATGTGCTTGAATCTTAGACTTCAACAAGACGTAATTGTTATAGTAAACATTCCTCCATGTCAGCACAACTGAATGATTTTATTCAGACCTTGAGGTTCCCACACATGACCACGTCCTCCCCGAACGGATGCCACATCACATTCTTAAGCCTCGTAGAAGGAACCAGGCTCCCATTACCATCAAATTGTCTCTCCGGAGAAACAACCACACCTCCTCTGCCTAACCATGTTGGAGCAATCGTGATTATCACAGAGCTAATAACCTCAAAATTTTCTGGTACCAGTAAAGAATTGATGACGGCCCCACCGCCTTCAATCATTACACTTCCCAGGCCCTCCGCAGCCAACGCCTTGAGGACATCCTTCCAATATAGCCCATACTCTCCGGTAACCGTAGTCTTTAACCCGACCCTGATAAACTTTCCACCATGTTTCTCTAGAATCGCTTCCTTGTCCGCAGGCGGCGTCTCGACCGCCGTGATGATGAAAGGTGCTTTCCCTCTTCCATCCCTCGCCAACTCAAATATCTTCTGATTCTCTGTGAAGTCCCAGCGGGCTTTGGGATCAACAATAATAGGTCTCGGCTGGCCTTCTAATCCGTCGCCGCCATAGCCACCTGCGCCCTCAATGCGGCAGTTCAGGCCGGGATTGTCAGCCACGGCCGTACCCACACCAATGAGAATGGCATCGTGGCGCGAGCGGAGATAGTGCGTCATCGCCTTGGACTGTGGGCCAGAGAGAACGGTTCGCGCTCCTGGTGATAGAGCAAGCTGGGAATCGAGAGATGTTGCGAATGTTAGGGTGGTAAATGGAAGAGCGTCAGCGCCTGAGAGTGCAAGATCTTTGGGCGGGAGGTAAGGCTCGAGGAATAGTCTATCAGAGGCGGGAAAGTAGAGAGTATCGCGCGCCATTCTTGCCAGTGGATTAAAATTGTATGATATGTGTTGTTGAGATGTGTTTTTATATTAAAATTGACAGATAAAGGTCGAGACCGCTCACTTGGGGAGAGGTCTCAATCACTAGCTTTGAGAAGCTTCTCGGGCCACTCTATTGAACCAAACAATAGAAAAGTCGTGTAAACTGATACATAGATAGGTAGTTACCATACGCTCTTGGATAACCACGTGAATAACTCCGAAAGTAACTTGAGATGTGGAGCGAAAAGCAGACGGCCGAAGCTCTCTACTTGGGTAATTTCAAGCGGTTAGTGACGGAGACTATAAAAGGCTCTGAAAGCTGCGTATGCTCGTAATCGTTCAAGCAGATTAATTTGATATCATGGGTATTGTGTTGATCGAACTGCAGCCTTCTCTCTGGTAGGGTTGATAGTTAAGTTGTCGTAGCGTCGGCAGGAATTGGGATATTTATGCTTACATAATGAATGACTTATGGAGATGGCTGATGCTGCATTGTCAGATTAAGGTTATTTACTAAGCGAGCTCGCTTCTTCTTCGGCGAGTAGTAATTAATTACCTCCTTGGGCGAAGCTTCTCTCCAACCTCACTTTTATATCCCACAATACTGCCACCATGGCCTTAGCCCAGGACCTTTCTAACAAGATTAGTTACACGATCTTAGCGACAAAAGAGCACAAAAATTACTTACAGCTTCCCTAGATGAAGATAGAAGAGTAGAGAGAGTAAGGCCTAGGTAAATATAACTTCTCATCGATTTCGACAAGTCTTTCTTACTGACATTCCTTAGTATTAGAATTAACTATAGCTCGTGCACGGAGGTTTTAGAGGACAATATTATGCCAAGCTTTATCCATGATTGCCATCAACGTGGCTCGCTCAGGGGATAATCAGAATGGTCTTTCCAGGATTTATTATTGTCGCCAGATTTCAATGCCTACGTATAGGTCCCAGAACCAGTAAATGCCATTAATCTTATTCAGCTTCTTTCTAGCTAACTCATGATAGCTTTCAAAAGTTTTACAGGCTCTGTCGGCTCGTCGGAGGCTCGGAGCAACTTGACCAGTATATTTACCTCCGAGAGTCCGAGGTCTCACTCTTCCGGCCGTAGGCCCGTAGAAATCGAGGCTGGGTTGGAGTCTCTTCCGCGGCCTTAGCTGGAATATAAGGCTATGTACAATGTCTAGTGGGCGGGGCAAACGCTGTTCGGCTAGTTCTGCTTTTAATCTGGTTCATACTAACAGGTGCCCGAGTGGTGGGCCTTGCCGTGGTTTATGATCTAGATGCGGACGGGAATGAGAGACTGTCACAACCAGAAGTAATAATCTATTACTGTGAGGCTTTGAAGTTTATATCTAACGGGATTAGGCTATTTTCTCGACTCTGGAGTCTGGACAATGCAGCAACTTAATCGATTAGTATTAATCGAGCCTCGAGGACAGCTATCTGGGTCCGTAATAACTGCCGGTAGAGATCCGAATGACGCCTTTTACCTCTCGCTTGATGCTCTTACACAAGATAGAGTTATGACTCCATGGGTATCCGCGTGGAAAGATGAAGTTTGTTCTAACTTCTAAGCAGCACTTCGTCTGAACATTTCGTTCCTTGTACGTTGTAACATTCCACTCCTGACTTCCTAAGCTAACATGTCTATATCCTCTAGTGAGTCTATTATTAAACACTTTACGGCTTTAAAGGACACGTTTTACCAGGCCCCTGGCAACAAGATCCCTATACGTTGGGCCTCGGCCATCCAATAGCTGGCTAGCCTTTTATAAGGCGCGGGATTTTGTCCAGAATCCAAAATAGTTACGAGAAGGTGATTGATCAGTAAATGATTACATCACACCAAATTAGGGTTCAAAGGACCTACATTCGGTCCCCTGTCAACAAGAGTTCTATACCTCGGCTACTCCGACATCTGTCCAGCTTTGCAAAGGCGCAGGTTTTTTTCAGTGATCATGGACTCTGTTTATCTCAAACTGGAGGAAACGGCTCGATTAAATAGTGAAGGTGGGGACCTACAAAAGCTAGGTATATATCCTAACGGAAAACAATACAACGTGACCTGTATTCTATCTGACAATACCTAAGTATATGACTCACTTTGAATTTCGAATTAACACATTCGTCAGGACAAGCTTTCTTCTTTCAAAGTTCCGTATTCTTGCGTCCCTATAAATCTACAGCCCAATCGCGGCTGAAAGTTTCATAGGTTGCGCAACTTGCGGAGTAAAGCGACCGCTACTCAGATCCAAAGACGGGAATGGATCAAAAGCCGGGGGGGGGGGGGGGCTCGTTTGGGTGAAGACTACAGTAGGTAAGTATAAAGACCGCCTTAACCCCTTTTCCTTGGACGTTGAGTTGAGCGTCCGTCAACTTTGATTTATATTTGTATTATCTTCTTTTTCGCAAAATGATTTTCATTTCATGTCTATTTGGCGACGCTACCTTAGGGCAGGCTACAAAAAAGTCGCAAATAAGCATTGAAGCTAATCTTACTTATTGAGCAATGTTCTCCCCAGTACGAGGAAGTCTTCTATATTGAGTTTTAAGGTACACCGTACATCAAGTGGCGCACAGTTGTGGGTGGTTTTTCTTATCCTATAGCATGGATGCAAGTACGCCTCGACTATAGGCCATGATAACTTGCGAGAACGCCGATCCTTGTACCGGGCGTCATACTGCATCATGAGTTAGTCAGTTTGTCAATCATACTGCACCGTGAGTTGGTCGGTTTGTCACGGTTTTTTCTGCATATACAATCGTGGCTCCTCTCGTAGCTTTTGTTTTCTCTTTCTCCGTCACATCTCTCTCATCAACCTCCCCCGCAACCGCAACCACAGCGCTCATATATCGAAAGCGCCCACTACTTCGTAGTCATTTCTAGTTCTATTCTTCATCCAGCAAACATGGCGGGCACGGGACGGATCTGGTGGAAAGATGGCGTCGTCTACCAAATCTACCCCGCCAGCTACCAAGACTCCAACGCCGATGGCCTGGGCGACATCCCCGGCATAATCTCCAAGATTGACTACATCAAAGATTTGGGCATTGACATTGTCTGGCTGTCTCCAATGTACGAGTCTCCGCAGCACGACATGGGATATGATGTCTCCGACTATGAATCCGTGTACCCGCCGTACGGCACCGTCGCTGACATAGAAGCTCTGATTGAGGCCTGTCATTCTCGCGGTATGCGATTGATTCTTGATCTCGTTGTCAATCATACCAGCGATGAACATGCATGGTTCAAGGAATCGAGATCTTCAAAGACGAATCCGAAGAGAGACTGGTATATTTGGCGACCAGCCAAGTATGCAGAGGATGGAACGAAGATGCCACCAAATAATTGGAGAAGTTTCTTCAGTGGCAGTGTATGGGAATGGGACGAGGAGACACAGGAATACTACCTGCATCTCTTCGCCAAACAGCAGCCTGATCTGAACTGGGAGAATCCTGTTACTCGACGTGCAATTTATAACTCAGCCATGGAATTCTGGCTCTCTAAGGGTGTGGATGGGTTCAGAATTGACACCGTCAATATGTATTCGAAAGGCACAGCGTTCCCGGACGCACCAATTGTCGATGAAGGGATTTTTGAGCAGCCTGCCAGTGGTCTATTCTGTAACGGACCACGAATGCATGAATTTCTTCGCGAAATGAACCAGCAGGTCCTCAGTAAATATGACACTATGACCGTGGGCGAACTTCCATCTACCCCCGACCCCGCCCATGTGCTCCGTTATGTTGGTGCAAACGACAGACAGCTGGACATGGTCTTTCAGTTCGACCTTGTTGATCTTGGAACCGGCAAACCACACAAATACGAGTACGAAGGCTACAAACTCTCAGATTTGAAGGAGGTTGTTAGCAGGTGGCAGACTTTTATAGCCGGGACCGACGGCTGGACTACCGCATTCTGCGAGAACCACGACCAAGGTCGCTCTGTATCTCGCTATGCCAGTGATGCACCTGAATGGCGAGAGAGATCGGCGAAGATGTTGGCAATGATGATGTGTGCTATGACCGGTACACTGTTTATCTATCAGGGACAGGAAATTGGGATGATCAACGCGCCAAAAGACTGGCCTATTGAAGACTATAAGGATATTGAGAGTATTAATTACTATAATTCAGTGGCGGAGAGGACCAACCGTGATCCGAAGGCCTTGGATAGGGTGATGAAAGGGATTCAGGTTCTAGGAAGGGACCATCCAAGATTGCCAATGCAGTGGGACGATTCACCTTTTGCTGGCTTTACCTCGAGCAAAGCCGGAGCTTGGATGCGGACCCACGATTCTTACAAAGATATTAATGTGGCTTCACAAGTTAAAGACCCGAAGTCGGTACTTAGTTTCTGGAAGCAGATGCTTAAAATCAGGAAGGAGTACAAAGACGTGTTCATCCATGGCGAGTTCCAAGGCTTGGACATGGAGAACGAGCAAACCTTTGTTTTTAGTAAGAAGTATGGGGCGAAAAAGGCGCTCATAGTATTGAATTTTACGGCGGATGAGCAAGGGTTCAAGATGCCCGTTGAGGACGGCAAGCTCGATTTTCTTGTGGGAAATATCCAGGATGCAGATGGCACGAAAGCGAGGTTGCAGGGCTATGAAGGGAGGATATACTTCGTCAACTGACTAGATGCTTGGAAGATCACGGGCTTGATTCCTTTTTCTGCGGCTTGAGGCTTGCGTCTGATGGTTGATATAGAATTTTGCTTCCCCCTTACCTAGTTTGTATCGAAATGGATAGTGGGCGATGTTGATAAATGACCCAGTTTCATATGTTATTGATGAGTTGATTCTTGTTGCCCCCTCATCGACAACTTAGTCGTATCTCTTTCCTCTCACCACACGTTCAATATTTCTCCATCGGCTTGCCAGGCTTGATCGAAGCTGTAAAGGAAATGATGGTAGCTTCGGGTTCGCCGGTGTTGGTGTATCAGATCAATAGAGAGATAAAATATATCCCAGTGTTAGAGAGAGAACTAAAGAGAATAGAAGGTATTCGGGTTCTATTTTCCAGTTGCTGACTTGGGAGGTTGCATAGCGCTGACTACGGACTCAACCTCTCGATCTTCCATTCTCCTTCCTTTCCCTCCACCTTGTGGTACACAAAGCGGTCATGTAACCTACTCTCTCTGCCCTGCCAGAACTCAATCATCTCCGGTTTGATCCTGAGCCCGCCCCAAAACTCCGGACAAGGCACCTCATCTACCCCCTCGAACCTCTTCTCCACCTCGTGCACCCTCGCCTCGAGCTCTTCCCTCCCTTGAAGCACCTGACTCTGCCGACTAGCCCAGGCTCCAATCCGACTACCCCTAATCCTCGTATCAAAATAGACTTGACTCTCCTCTCTGCTCAACCTCTCAGCAATCCCCTCCACCCTAACCTGTCTCTCTAACTCCCTCCACCAAAACGTGAGACTCGCCCATTTATTCGACTCCAGATCCGCCCCCTTCTTACTCGTCCCAAAGTTCGAATAGATCACAAACCCCTTCTTGTCGAGCTCCTTGAGGTATACGACGCGAGCCGATACGCGGCCGGAGGGGAGCGACGCTGTGGATAAGCACACCGTTTCCGGCTGGTGGACGCCGTTGTGCTGCGCGTGCGTGAACCAGGCGTGAAATTGCTCGAGCGGGTCGCCATTCAGATTGGAGCGCTCGAGAGTCCCTTTCTTGTACTGCTCGGCTTGCGAGTTGAGCTTTTCGTTGGCGGGCGCGACTGGAAACACTGTTTAGAGCGGGGTCTGGAGTAGGGGAGGCATACCTAGCGCTTGGGCTGGAGGGACTGGGACGAACATATTAGTTTCTCCGTCGCGGGCGGTCTGGGGAATGCCATCTTAAAGAGCGTGGGTCGGAATAGGAGCGTGGTCGTGAGGCGCATGAGTCGGCGGAGGTGTTGGAATACTCTGGAGGTTGAAGATGTCTCTTTATCAGCCGGCGGTCCAGATCTGAAGCTAGTTTTTCAGCCTTGCGCTAAGTCGAGACGAGGCGGAGGACACACGGATAAGGCTAAAGGGGATCGATCGGTCAATGATCTGAGCTGCTGTCTGGAGAATATAGAATGCTCATAACTGAGGTTACAGCTCCATGTGAGGGCGAATATAAGCTTGTTCTTTGCTAGGAATTCTTCTTCCAATTTCAATAATGCCATTTTCCTTGCCGCAATTCTTCCGCCGCGACCTTCGCAAATATATTTCAGAATACCATGCCCTTGAATGTGCCAACCTGCGCCCTGATATACAAATCCTCAACAATCAACCAAAGCTAGGAGCCAGTGAGATCAGGCTGAACCTCATCTCTCCTCCGCTAGTCGAGATCTCTCTTTGTATGAACTTTCTTGGTCCTAAGTCCAGCGCCTTCTCGCTCAGTACATCTTCCCCCGCTTCTAATTGTCCTCTATCCAGTGGCCCCTTCCTTCGTCCATCCATCTCCCACAAATGATTCTTCTCATCCTTCACGAAGCAAACAAAGTGTAAATCCACCTCATCTTCTGCACCAGGCGCCGTACTCTGACCTTGTGAAGCTGCGCTCTGATGCGCACTCTCCAACGCTTTTGAATTATAGAGAAGTTCCGCACGTTCGATGGGACCAAGTGGGGTTGCTTCCTTAATGAGCTTGTAGAGGTCCGAATCCGGTTCTAACATCGACCTGTTAGATATCTCCCTTGTGCATGCTAAAAGCCAAACCTACCGATAAAATTCCTAGCACTCCCATTACTGACGGCATGCAGAATGCCAATCAGTCCACACGCATTCCTAATCGTCTGCTTGTACCAGATAACCGGCTCGGCGCCCGTACCCTCATACACGGGCCTCTCTGAATCTTCCTGCATCCGGAAGGTTTCGTAAGATTTAGAAACGGGAAAAACGAGGAGGAGAGCGTTGGCGGGACGAGGCACAAATGAGAGCATTTCGGGGTCATCGATGCTCCAGACGTCGTGGAAGGCGAGGGTGGGCGAGAGGCCGAGCTTATGGACAAGAGAGGTCATCACTTCGGGGTTGTTCTCTGCCAGGCACTTAGATTTGAGAGCAAAGAGGCAAATAGATAGAGAGCATACCGAGAGGCACAAACGCTTTGTTCGTCTGTGGGACGTCAGGATCATCATGGTTGGCTTCCGCCATTATGTGACAGGTCGCAGACGAATTTCGAGGTTTCAGAAGTGTGTGCCCTCTAGACTTGAGGTTTAAAACGGATTTTGGTATTAGAATAAGTTGGTTCGAAGATGTTGATTAAGAGACTCTAAAGTAAACAAAAGAATAGTAGATAATATGATGGACGCAACGACCCACGACCCCGCGATATGAATAGCGGGACGGTGAAACAGATTGTCCGGAATTAAGACCTCAGGCATACATGCATTTATCTTACCGCTCACCCCTTTCCTTTCGCCAACAGAGACCGCACCCTTCTACCGTCGACGGAGCAAATCCCAATCCGACGATGCTATATTACTTGGTTCTCAACAAGCTTCTATCTCACAATGACCGAACCAAGTCAGTATGGGAGACCAGGCCCAACCATCGTACAATGGCTCCTCGACACGCGACCTCTCTGGCCCGTCCCAAAGCAGGCTAGCTCAAAGGACGAGGTCGCTGAGCTTAAGAACGTAGTACGTATCAATACCTCTCCCTAGTCTGAACTTAATTTAAAATAAGCAGGCATCTCAAGCTCTCTCATTTCTTTCACCCTCTGAACAAGCCTCGGTGTTGAAATACTACCACCTGAAAGATGCAAAAATGAGCCTGGCGTCTCACCTCTTAAAACATCTTGTGATCACCAAATACTGCCATGTTCCCTGGTCCAGTAGCACTCCCATTAAAGATGCGAACGGTAAACCCATTTGGGCGCCTGCAAATCCCAACCTTATGGGTCAGGTCAAAATTGGATTCAATGTCAGTCATCAAGCTGGTCTCGTGTCCCTCATTGCGGTAATAGGGGGAGAAGGGAAGGAGGAGGTGGGTACGGATATTGTGTGTGTGAGTGAGAGATTGGTGCAGGATTATCAGCATATTGAGAAACAGGGCTTCTTTGACTGGGTAGATATGCACGGAGAGGTGTTTTCGGAGAGTGAGGTAAGTTTTATGAAGTTGGCGGCGGTGGAGTTGAAGTTGGGAGCAGGGTTGGAATTGATGGGTTTTGGGAAAGATGCATTGAGTAGATGCCAGCGGAGGAATATGAAGCTCGAAGTGAAAGCGCTGAAGGGAGAAGAGAGGAAGGAAACTACGGTCACGATTGACAGCAATATCGTTATCGAGGCAAAAAGGAGACGATTCTATGCGATGTGGTGCTTGCGAGAGGCATATGTCAAGATGACCGGAGAAGCACTGCTGGCACCTTGGTTGAAGGAATTGGAGATTTTGGATGTTCAAGTGCCAGCTGGAAACGAAGATATTCGGGACCCGATATCTCTTGAAAAAGGTCAAGTGATCAAAGACTTCCGGATCATTTTCAAGGACAAACCGGTTACGAACGTCAAGATGGAATTGACGGCATTGGGTACGGACTACATGGTTGCTGCTGCCGCCAGACCAGCAACTGGTGCAGACAACCCAACTCTGGAATTGGGAGACTGGAAGCTACTGGATCTCGAAAATGATGTTTTGGCATTCGGCCAGGTGATATACTAGTCTCACAGAATCCTCCTCTGAACGGATGGGTAGGTTTAGAAGAGGAGAGGTCGGTTTAGAGATATTTCACGTGCTATTCTACGCTAAAGTACGACTGACCCGAGTGGGTTAGTAGGATAATGGGTGGCGGTGCCTTGCTTTTAAGCGGGCCGAGTGATCTCCGCGGGGTTGGAAATACTCGGCTTTCTACCGGAAATCATTCACTCGGCAGAAAGACTCACCGCCAACGATTAGATAAAAAGGTGGGATAAGATAAAAAAAGTTCGACGGAGTTTTACTTTGATGACCCCTCCACGGCATGGCAAAACGAATGGCACGTACATCTCTTCTTACGGCAATTGACTCGACATCGCACGTTCATCTTGTCATCGGGTCTAATTCATTAGCAGCAGCAAGATGTGCGAAATCCCTTGAAGTCGGCGCAAAGCCGCGTCTCATCGCACCAGCAGACGCGGAATTGCATTATGCACTGCAAAAGCGAATAGATAGCGGGGAGGTAGAATGGTTGGCGAAGCCGTTCGAAGATGGGGATCTTTTACAACTTGGCAGGGAAGAGATTGATAGAGTTGTTGATGCGGTCTTTGTCACTTCCGGACCTCGGGATCCGTTAAGTAAATAGTAACCCCCCAATTCTTCTTTATGACTGCTAACAAACAAAGGTGCACATATCTCCCAACTCTGCAAACGACATCGAATTCCCGTCAACGTCGCCGATGCTCCAGCGCTCTGTACGTTTAGCCTCCTCTCTACACACACCGATGGTCCCCTCCAAATTGGCGTAACCACCAATGGGCGAGGGTGCAAACTCTCCTCCCGAATACGACGAGAAATTGCCTCCATACTTCCACCACAGCTAGGCTCTGCCTGTGAACGTCTTGGAACAATCCGCAGACGAATCCAAGAAGAAGACCATCTCTCACATGCCGCTCTGTCTGGTGATCTTGAAGAAGAAGATTCGATAGGCCAAACATCGACCTTCAATAAACTAGTCACGGAAACAGATCTCGATGCTGCGAAAAATAGGCGGATGCGATGGTTGTTCCAAATCTGCGAATACTGGCCCATTAGACGCCTTGCAAACATAAGCGATGAAGATGTGGACTCTATGTTGAAATCCTACGCTTCCAATCCCACCCTCCCTACCTCAGCCGAAACTCCCCACCTTGATTCTAGACCAGGGAAGAAGGGGAGGATCATTCTTGCAGGCAGTGGGCCCGGACATCCTGATTTGCTTACGCGAGCAACGCACAAAGCAATTATAACGGCCGATGTGATCCTAGCAGATAAACTTGTCCCCTCCAGCGTTCTCGATTTGATACCCCGCCGCACGCCTGTACATATAGCGCGCAAATTCCCCGGGAATGCGGACCGTGCCCAAGAAGAACTTCTCGAACTCGGTCTCTCTGGCCTGAAAAAGGGCCAAACGGTGCTGAGACTGAAGCAAGGTGATCCATATATCTACGGCCGGGGCGGGGAGGAATTTGAATTCTTCAGAAATGAAGGGTTCGCAGATAGGATTACCGTGTTGCCTGGAATTACGAGTGCTCTCTCTGCGCCCCTCTTTGCAGGCATTCCGGCTACGCAACGCGGAATTAGTGATCAAGTTTTGATATGTACAGGAACGGGACGGAAAGGGAAGCCAACTGTTCCACCTGAGTTTGTAGAGACTAGGACAGTGGTTTTCCTCATGGCGCTACATCGAATTGCGGAACTTGTGGCCGATCTTACAACGCATGATTCCGACGACGCGAAGGTGGTTCTGGAAGATGGGAGTTTAGATAAGACGAGGAGATTATGGCCAAGGTCGACTCCGTGTGCCGTGATCGAGAGGGCAAGTTGCCCGGATCAGAGGGTTATTCGGACGCGCCTTGAATTTGTGACGGCGGCAATTGAGGAGCAAGGGAGCAGACCGCCGGGGTTATTGGTATTAGGAAAGGCGTGCGAGGCTTTGTTCACGGCTGATGCGGACAGGAAATGGGTTGTTGAGGAGGGGTTTCAGGGGTTTGAGGTCGAGGGCGTCAGTTTAGAGGAGTTCGTTTTGGAAAATGAAAAGCTGGACGCTGTGAAGAGTGAAACCTAGTTTTGAGAGGGAGCTTGAGATTCGAGTTGATATGTATTGATACCTTTGAATGGCATATACTATACCTCAATAGGGATAATAGTGTGGGTGTATCAAGTAATCTATTTTCAATTTCCTCCCCGCTCCATCCCCCGCTCCATTCCCCACTTCGTCAGCAATTTCCCCAAGTTCCGCTCTTCAGCGCAGCTCCTCTCTCCTTCTGACAATTCTCAGCACCCGCCCTCCAGCAACCGTGGGTGCAGAAACTTGGAAGACCCGATTGATAAATTGAATCTACTCTGCCCACAGAATCCACAGGCGGGTGACTAAGCGCGCAGATTTCACTGCAGGAACGAAATAAATCCCTGACAACTTCTGCTCAGCCTTCCTCAGCCTCGTCAATTGACGGCTCTCGACGCTGAATTGACGCCCTCATGATGGCTGTTCGAGACCATCCCACTCTTCCCGACAATGTTACTTTGTCATATCTGGCTGAAGGCGCTGCGAATATTGTATACAGAATCCATATCCCTCCTGGGACTCCGCAGCCAAGCGTGCTCGAGGAGTATGGAGATGACGAGCCACAGCCAACTGAGATTGATTCTGCACCCATCTGGCTGAGACAATTTGAAAGTAAGTAGCAGATCATGATGAGTTCTATTTCACTTGAAGCATCGGGAAAAAGTCTTCTAGTTGGATTATTTTCCATTCCTTTTTCAGCCTTGTCATATTCATAATGCTTTTCAGACACGATTCCCTTATGATAAGTGCATTTCACTCACTGCTCCTTAAGATAAACTTCTCCGCTTGCGTAAAGATCTTCCAACCACCTCTCCATGTGCAGCAGGGCACGATACATGGCTTCGACTCATCGCACCTCTGTTCCCCGCGGATCAGATCGTTCACCAATCCCTGGTAGAACTTCGACCACCCGGGATCATCACAAAGTTGAACGAAGAACTTCGTAGCTGGGAGCAATCCTCCGAGCGATCCACTATAAAGAAAAGTCATTTACGGTCATTAGATCTTCGACCTACGCAACGTCAAGGGATCTACTTGGCAGAGGATGACCATGGCTTGCTCGTCACAGATATGACATCTAGTGGGTCCACCCCTGAAACTTGAAGTCTTACATATTAACTGAAGCAGGCGGTGAAAGCGGCGAGGAAATAATAGAATTCAAGCCGAAATGGCTCTGCCAATCTCCCTCAGCACCAGCGAACTCGAAGCGCTGCCGTCAATGCGCTCGTGCGGCTCGCACCAATGCCAGACGAGCTCGTACCGGCGAACACCTAATGCCACTGTTATGTCCCCTCGACCTGGTCTCCAAATCACCCAGTGATCTCGAGCTCGTTTCCTCTCGGCTCTTAGCACCAGACAAAGACCCCGCCATCATCAGGCGCTTCGCAAGGTGGCTCGAAACCAACACACTTCTCCAACAGCTGCGCACGTATCAAGAGATGTTAGACCAAAAGGGGGTTCTAGTAGGAGATGTGGACGACGAGAATTTTCTCGTGGCCATGACGTTGAGAGATTGTACCGTCTTTGTACGGTTCCCGCCAGAAGGTAGCGGGAGAGAAATCGAGGCGAGACTTGGGGATCTTGATGTGAAGAGTAGTAGAAAGAAGGACTACTGGAGGAGTATCGAGTTACCGTTAATAGAAGAGGGCTGGTATGCTGGCACAGAGAACAAGGAAGATCGGCAGCCCCTCATTTGCCGATTGAGTCCGGAAAGATGGAACAAAAGAAGAGAGGAAAAGGACAGCTGAGTACATACGGGAAAGTTAAAATTATGTATAAATAGTGTAATTCTATTGAGAGGACTCGTCTTGTAGACAAGATAGGTAGGTCTGTGGACTTTGACGAGGGGATGTCCAAAACAGACTACCCAATTTAGAGTCTAAAAGTTCAGGTAGTTATGGGCAATTGGTAAAATATTAAATATACACATAGCAGGGCCATATTTCTCATAAGGTAGTCCCCAGGTCTGTGAAAGAAGTTGTGGATCAATTAACTTCTGGCTTACTCCGTGTATAAATATTACTATTCTCACACCTATCACCAGTATGATATTCGCTTAGACGTCTTTCCCACGACTTCTACCTCGTCGCCGCTGTCCATCAGACATGTAAAGATCCTCAAATGCGACCCTTATTATATCCCAACCGTCCTGCGGCATTGAGGATAACCTCATTCTCTAGTATTGATAATCGATGTCTCAACCCTAGGAGGTTCTACGGCGTAATGGCCAGCCGAACTTACGATGTGAGCCCGCAGAGACCATGCTTCAAGCACAAGCTTACAAGAGCTAGGATGCCGTTGGTCTGCTTAATACACTTCAGACCCCACACAAAGTACTCAATGAACGTGTGGCAGCCGGTGTCAGAATCGACGAAACCGCAAATAATGAGCTGAGAAAATGCCTCGCTCGGATCGGCTACTCAGTATGTCACCCCCCTCTGCTCTGTGTAAGGGCGGTCTAACCTGCCTCTAGCCAAGCGATCTGGACAAGCTGAACATCGTCCACGTAGCCGGTACGAAAGGCAAGGGTAGCACTTGTGCATATGTCGACTCGATTCTGTCGCAGTATCGCAAGTCACATGACGTCCCCCGGCGAGTTGGACTCTTCACCTCCCCGCATCTTATCGCCGTCCGAGAGCGAATCCGTATAAATTCCGTCCCTATATCAGCCCCTCTCTTTGCGAAGTACTTTTTTGAAGTATGGGACGCACTTGATGGCGCGGGGGTGGGGTCGGATGCGCCTCTGAAGAAGCCCCCCTATTTCAGATACCTGACATTGATGAGCTATCATGCGTTCCTGCAGGAGGGTGTCGACGCAGCTATCTATGAAGTTGGAGTAGGGGGAGAGTATGATTCGACGAACCTCGTGCAGCGTCCTGTTGCGACGGGGATTTCGAAGTTGGGTATCGATCATACGTTCACCTTGGGAGAGACGATCGATAAGATCGCGTGGCACAAGGCAGGAATTCAGAAGTCTGGAGTCCCGTCTTTTACGGTCAAGCAGCTACCAGCTGCCATGGAGGTTGTTGAGAAGAGAGCAGGGGAGAGAGATGTGAAGTCCCTGAAGGTAATCGATCTGGACCCAAGACTTCAGAAGGTGAAGATTCGGCCGGATGCGGACTTCCAAAGATCAAACGCCAGCCTCGCAATTGCCTTAGCAGAGACCGCTCTGAAGAAGCTGTATCCCAATTTCCAACTACCACCAGACTCACTCCCCAAAGAATTTGTCGATGGCTTGGAGGGAGTCGTCTGGCGTGGAAGATGTGAGACGAAGGCAGAAGGCAACATTACGTGGTTCCTGGACGGTGCACATACGGAAGATAGCATTCTAGTAGCAACCCGCTGGTTTGGGGAGCAATGCTCACAAATGTCTGTGGTCCAACCGCCTCCCTGGATGAACTCTTGTCTAACTCTCCACACAGACCCGGGACACGGGTGTTGATCTTTAACCAGCAAGGCCACCGCGAAGCCGTACCACTCCTTGAAGGTCTATTCAACGCCATCAAGGCTCAGGGTCTGGTAAAATTTGACCATGTGGTATTCTGCACGAGCGCCCCTCAGGAGAAGAACGGTTCCTCGAAAGGTATTTGCTGCTTCTCCAACTATTGTTCCTTCAAAAACTGACGCCTCAAATCAACAGATTCTGTTAATTATTCTCTTGACAGCAACGCCATTTCCGGACTAACCATGCAGAAGACCTTCGCTGAGAAATGGCGAGCTCTGGACCCTTCGCCTTCTACTACCATCAAGGTGCTCCCTTGTATCGAGGACGCTCTTGAGTATGTTAGGGGATTGGACTTGAAGAGCAGGGAAGCAGGTGATGAAATCGAGGGGAGCAAGGAGATCCAGGCTTTGATTACGGGGAGTTTGCATTTGGTTGGGAGGGCTCTGGGAGTGTTGGATGGCGTTGATGCCGCATAGACGGATACTATCTTCGTGGAACCTTTCTTATTGGCATCGCAAAGAGGATGGAAGGCCAGCTACTACTTCGACAACCTCTGTATGGACGTTGTAGAAAGCTACAGCTCGGTATGCTGGGGAACAGCAACCCATTAAGTATTACATACGACGCATCTAGTGCGTACATTTCAATTCCGAAAAACCCCTCGTCCACTGCATGCTCCCCATGATAATAATCAGGAAGCACATCGCCACCACGACACTGGCCATTCCATATCTATATGCATGTCTTCTCTTCAATGTGCTTAGCTCACTCACCCAAGTACTGATTGTCGTTAAACAGCCGCAAAAGCCATCTTCAATTCCCTGTAACACCTGGCATCCAACCTGCCCTCCTAAAGGCACGTGCTGTAGATCATAACTCATACCCAAGATCACCGTACCAAAGATGTTCACGACAAAGGTCCCGAGAGGAAACGAGGCTATTTTGCTGTTGAGATAGATGGAGGCATAGAAGCGTCCAAGGCAACCCAGAGGGGCGAAGACGAGGGCGAAGACCGCGCGGCCGCGCCAGATCTCGCGACCGCCATCGTGCCGGTCTGGGGGGAAAATGGCAAGGAAGATGGCGCCGAGCCAGCATCCCCAGGCAAGAACCACGGCCAAGCGGTCGAGGAGCTTGCGGCAGAATGCGAAGGGGAGAGAAGGAGTATAAGGCTCCAAAGCGATGGCGATATGTGCGCCTACGTGCAGACCTGATATGCATAGAGCGATGGTGGTAATCATAACAGCTAGTAGAGCCATGAATGAGTACCCGCCATTGCGGGAGACAGTTGAGGTCGAGCTGGCGAGGACTGGGCTGTAGTCCTCGGGGTGGTTGAGAGGTGTAGGGAGCTCATTGGCCAAAGCAAGATAGATATCCCGGATGAAGGACGAGAAAGAGGTAAAGCATCCGCAGAATCCAGTTGCCAGTCCGATATAGAGAGGAATGGTCTTCTTCGTCGCCGCGTGCGCCTTCTTTGCGGCCTGCAAATCGACGACGTGGTCTGAGCCCGAACCGCCCTCCTCATCTATGGCACGCTGCCTTGCTTTTTTGAGCTGCTGATCATATGTTGGAGTTCCCCATTCCTCTTTGAACAACATGCGATCCTCGCTGAGAAAGCCCATAAAGAGGCTGCCGCCAAAATTCGCCCAAAGCACACCAAAAGAAATGGGCGCGCCAGGATAAAACGTTATGGCCTGCAAGCCAAGCCTTGCGAGGGTACCAAAAAAAGAGAATAATACCAGATATGAAATGGTATACAACTGAGTTGCAAATCTGGAAGCTTCGGGCCCTCTCGCGCCCTTCTTTTCCTCTTCTTTTGGTTCTTCCCCTCTCGCGAGCGATGCTCTTCTCTCTTCCTCCTTGCCTCGTTGATATTCTTCCCTCTCGGCCCTTCGCTCCTCCAATGATCTATGCAGATATATCGGGGCCTCAGCCGGGTTCTCTACTGGCGACGGCGCAGCCAATTCATCCAGGTTCGCATAACTATCTGGGGGGTTGTATTGGGCGCTGTCCTGGTATTTTCTCTCCTCTGCGCTTCGAGATATCTGCCGCCGCGCTTCTTGAGAGAGAACTCCTTCCCGGCTGCGCACGCCAGCTATAGCATCTTCGCGGACATTTTGTACCGGCCCAGTGGCTAGCTCGTTGAGATTGGCGTAATTATCTGGTATATTGTACTGGGCCTCTTGCGATGCGCGTGCTCGCGGTTGTTGTGATTCAGATTGAGGGCCGGTGATGCCGTGCGCGGCAGTCGTGTTCTCGTCACTCATTTCCCTATATGAGGAGTAAGAGCGCTTCTGCGCAATCCTCCTGGGTTCCGTTTCCCTCCTGTTGTTCAGTTCCCCGACGTGTGTCTTGGGAATCCCAAGAGCGCTGTTGCGGCGATAACAACGCAAACCAATGGTATTCCCAGGGTCTTACTGCGTGTACCCAGTTTGTGCTGCAACCACCCTCTCTCTCGCTTGTCTACCTAGATACTCACGTGCAAACAACAACCAACAAACAACAAAGCCCTTCTTCCTCTGTAGTTTGCTCCGTCGGTGTAAAACCTTCTTCACCTTCACCGAGCATTTTGATCTGTGTCTACTCTTCTATATAAGAACCAGAAATCCCAGGATGAGAAAAGTTGGACTTCAAACAGCTGCTCAATCCAAGAGCCGACGGCCCTTGCAGGGTCCACCATCACGGAGACATAATCCTGCTTTGCTGAGTGAGTTTCTCCAGAGAAGGACATAGTAGCTGTGCTAACTTTCATAATAGCGATTCACGGAATCATGTGGGGTCTATATATAACTCCTTTCCCTGGAACCCACCACGAAATTGATCAAGCTACCTGCTGGCCAAAACCATAAGAATAATGTTCTCGGTATACCACCTCTACAGGATCCCGCCATTTCTGTATCGACTATCTCTTTGACCATCCGACTGGGTTAGCTATGACTTCTTTCCGAAAAGGAATCTCCAGCCAAGTAGCCATACAAGCTACGGGACCCTGTGTCCTGTGGTAAACTACTTGTTGGAACGGTGCCACTTACCTGGCTACGATACAGTGTCGGAAGATCCACAATTACTATAATACCGCTCCTCTCCGGACAGTCCCAAATAACGGGGCTCTTCATGAGATCCTGATGGCGACTATCTCGCTCTCCAGCGCTTGACTCCATGATGGCTAGCAATTCGCCAATCAAATGGGTAGAGAGTTCTCATGAGAACATACTTGTCTACAAAGACTTGGTTTTTGACTACATCAAGTTCTCATCATCTCGTTTCTCCTTCGCTTCGGTATTCATCTTCTTCACGAGCTTATTATTTCGTCAAAGATCCTCGATGGATTTAAAAGTAGAAGTATTGAAGGTGAAAAGAGTATCACTCCTACGGCCTGGTAGTCTTGGTATGACCCGAATTTGCCCTGTTGGACGACTTACGGAGAGAACAGCGGATACCCTCGCTGCCATAATGGCAGTTGGCAAATATGACCAGTCAACATGGGAAGATCTGCTCCCGTTCATCCAATTTGCGCTTAACACATCAGTCAACGCGTCTACGGGTTCCTCCCCTTACGCCTGTTATACGGCAGGGAGCAAAATCAGATTTCGAGGTCGCGGAGCCGCAGTCAGAGTCTCAGAGACCGATTGGATACAGAGACGCGTAGAACTGCGTAACGAGGCAGCGGACGCCGTGAAACTAGCACAAGCCCGGGTGAAGATCTACTACGATGACCACCATTTCATGCCGCGCTTTGATGAGTACGCCTATTTACGCCTGAGTAAGAAGAACGAGAGGGGCTATCACCTTGACAACCAGACAAAATTGTCTTTCAATAAAATTGGCCCTTTTCGCATTCTCCGATCCTACGGTGATCTAGCCCATGAGATCGACCTACCGGACTGGCTTAAAGGGATGCATCCAGTTATCTCAGTAGAGCATTTAGAACCCGCCCCATCAGATCCGTACAACAGGCGCAAGCCAGACCCCGGGCCCATACATATTGACGGTGAGGAGCGCTATATCATCGACAAGATTCTCGTGTGAGCTCCGGCTCAGCCGTCCTGGGACCGTAACACAAACCGTCCACGGACCAGCGCCCCTTGGCAGTGGCCCAGTGGGTGCAACCAGGACCGTTAACTTGACCTACGAGCCGGAAACCCAGTCCCTCTGAGTTAAACTCCAGAATGCCAGATGGCCGTCTACAATATGATCTGACGCTTATCTGGGCTCCTTACCTGAGTCTACTCTGGATGACCTCTGGCCGCCGTGTCCAACTGGTTGGCTATGCCCTTCACAATGAGCAGAACACTTGCCCAGATTGTGAATTTCCGTAGGTCGTCGCAACTCTGAAGGCAAGAGGGCAGGAATTGGCTTCTGCGGCATATTCCGCCAGAAGAAACGACGTAAGGTAGCCTAGGACACGCTGTTGCGCCGAGGCTAATTGTCCCACAGAAAGAGATCAAGGCCGCACAGACGTCAGTCAAGAAATACCTTCAGCACCTCAAGAACCGGGTCGGCATGTCGGCAGAGAAGCGGTGTCGCAGTGACGAAGAGGAGAAGCAGGAGAGGGAAGAAAGGTCTGCGATCCTGCTTGAGAAGGTTTCGCGCCTCCTGGAATCTCGCAACGACCTCGCCGAAAAGGCGAATGAACTGGCGGAGCGTCGTACGGTGGCCCTAGAGCAGTGAGTGAAGGATTACCAGAAGGTGGTGAGTTTGACGATGGGTCGAACGTAGGTCGCAGCTAATCCGAAAGCAGAATTCCGACCAGCTACAGGCTTCCTGCGCCACCTCGGAGGAAGGAGGAAGTGCGATCGTCACGGTGCGGAGGTAGAACGGTTTGTTGGTTGCTCTTAATATTCCTCGAGGGAAGTTTTCGACCGACAACGCCCCGAAGTGTTGCAGGTAGTAAACGTGGTTAGGCACGTTGTGGATGTTCGGTTAGGACTTTCTAAATCTTCTCGAAAATGGCAAGATGACCATTGAGTTTCGTCGAGCACCAGGAGTTACAAATGCTGAAAATTGCTTGGCCTGGGTTGAATTCGTGGTAACGTTAGTTCAAGCCGCAATACAGAAAGGAATTGGATTATCCAACGACACTAGTCTGGCAGCGACTGTACAGGAGCTCAAGGGCTTCCTAGGCACTGTCCTTGTCTCTGGGGGCCAGCCAGCTCTGCTTGAGGCTATCTTTGCTAGAAAGTCTGGTGCCGTCTTTCCACGAGAATTCAACTCCTGCGTATGAATGCCTCTAAGAAGGTAGCAACAAAGGTCTCGAAGACGAAGATCTCGAAAATCAAGCCAAAGGTGCCTACCGATCAACCAGAACTACTTTTTACACACACACGATCGCAGCAGAGCTACACACAACCAGAACTACTTCGCGCACAAATGCAACAGAATTACACACACAATGGAGGTCCCGGACGTGAACCGAATCGACCTCAGTCCAGATAGGACCGCTGACGAAACACTCTCCGGAGACGAAGAAGCAAACACGGGCATACGCAACCAATTGGCTACAGACATCGCGAACTTACGGATCACACGGAGTAAGAAAGCAATGGAGGCAATTAAAGAATCCGTCGAGCGCCAGATGATAGCTGGAGAAAAGAACTCAATAGAAGAGGGTGCGTTACGTGCGGCCGTTACGGCCCCGGCGTCCCCCGTGTCAGCTGCTTAAACATGAGACAGAGAGCGATTGGGAATACTGCAAACGTTGCATTGTTGATGACTTCTTGTTTCTCTGGCGGTTGGGTCATAAAGACGGCTCGAGACGAGTCCAAAGCATTGCTCAATGCAACAGTGATGGCTGCAGCAGGGCCTGATACGGTTTCTGAGTCCTCCCAAGTTGTGCTGGGCCAGGTCATCATAGAACTGCTGTGAGTTTATGAAGTCTGAGGAGTTGGGCTACTTCTTCGGCGTTGGAGAAGTAGTTCTTTTGTCCCCCCAACAACGGTAAGTCAACATAGATCACAGCAACACGCTTGAAACGGCCAATCTAATAATAGTAGGTCTGGCGCTCTACAATACTCTGGAACAGTCTCTCGACTGGGGAAGCCATGGGAAACCTGCATGACTAGGCGGAGCGCCCTCAGATATCTCTACAACGAGCAGAGAAGGTTTCCCGCGATAGAAAAGCATAAGATAGGTGCTTGGTATGCTACTGCCACCGGCTCTACGACTAACAATGGCGACGATCCTCCTGCCACTAGCAACTTCAGCTTTACAATGGTCATACTACGTTGCCCGCTTCGGCCTGCAGATTTAGTCAAGTATTCTCATCAATAGCACATAAACACGACCCTAGTCCATCAGGATTCAGAAGCCACCTGCATAATGGCGAACAAAATCGAATTCTCACCTGCCATGCCTTTGCCTCCAGTTTTTGATGCCCAAGAGCAGTGCATTTATGATGACGACTATTAGCCACCCCCGATTAGTTACCCACTGAGTAACGCGCACATACAATCAAAAAGATTTCATCCGCAAAAATAGGGGCCTCGGCTCGGGGGACAAACAAAGATCTTCAATAAGATTCGTGTGACCATGAATCCCTAAATTCGCTGCTCTCACATATAGGCTGCGCAGAAACCCATGGGTCCCCACCAAATGGGTTGGGTACCCACCCCATGGGGTGGGTTATAGTGAATAGGACAAAGCCCAAAGCCAAAAGCCACTACCCACACAACTAAGTTGTCCAACTATGCTACCAAAAAGAGCTGTAGTACGCCGCCCCTAATCTAGCAAAAGGCTCCCCGGACAGCCTAACTAACCTAACTAGCCTAACTAGCCTAACTAACCGAACGGTCTGAACCCTTAGGCTAGAAGACGAAGATTTAAACTAGGCAGTAAGTTAATTAGTATAAAGATTAGTATAAAAACTCTACTAACAAATTTAATAGCTATAGCGCTAAGAGAGATAAGAAAGTATTAAAAGACTACCGAACTATTAATACTATAGGCCCCCTTTATAAGGCTAGTAAAAGAGATTATACTTTAGCTACGCCCTAAATTCTAAGTCTAGAGAAGCGTAATAAAAGCCTTACAAGAATCTGTAGAGGCTATGTTAACTACTAAGTTTTCTTATAAGTATTTAATCTATTATACTAATCTTTATACTAATCAAACAATATATAGTAACAAATCTCGCCGCTATCTATACTAAACGAGTTACAATTTAGTAAAAGGATATAAAGCTCGTGTAGTCTATACGTAATAGAATACTCGGGTATCCTATACTAGAAGGTAAAAGGCTATAAGGCTAAATTTAAAATAGAGTAGTAATAAGATTATAAGTTATAAGGCACGATTCTATTGTATATTTTCCGTAAATTCCTAAATATAATCTATTAAATAACGCCTTATAAAGTAATTAGTATAAAGATTAGTATAAACTATAATTATTATACTACTACGTAATATTATTAAGGCTTAAATCACGTGTTAAGGTCTTGATAACCTATAGGTTAGGTTATAGGTTAGGGCCTACCTACTAGTCTAAACCTACCTTATAGGTTAGATCCCTATAGGTTAGGTCCTACCTATAGAAACCTAACCTATAGGGACCTATTGCGCAGCCTACTTACATAGCGCGGGGTGTTAAGATCGCTTGCCGGTCGAACCAAAGCGGAAGTCCCATCACCTGTATTTCATTATCTTCGACCCCTAACTTTTGACTTAACTCGTTTAAGGATTTCCTCAACTCTTTTAAAAGTCTAGTGCTTGCGCTAACGTGTCTTTCTAGTAGGAAAAAATTCGAACAAGAGACGCTCTAAGGAGCTCGCTGTAGAGAAGGCAGCTAGTAAAAGTAGGCTGCGCAATAAGTCCCTATAAGTTAGGTTTCTATAGGTAGGACCTAACCTATAGGGATCTAACCTATAGGGTAGGTTTAGACTAGTAGGTAGGCCCTAACCTATAACCTAACCTATAGGTTACTAAGACCCTAACACGTGATTTAAGCCTTAATAATATTACGTAGTAGTATAATGATTATAGTTTATACTAATCTTTATACTAATTACTTTATAAGGCGTTATTTAATAGATTACATTTAGGAATTTATAAAAAATATATAATAGAATCGTACCTTGTAACTTATAATCTTATTACTACTCTATTCTAAATTTAGCCCTATAGCCTTTTACCTCCTAGTATAGTATACCTAAGAATTCTATTACGTATAGACTACACGAGCTTTATATCCTTTTACTAAATTGTAACTTGTTTAGTATAGATAGTAGTAAGATTTGTTACTATATGTTGTTTGATTAGTATAAAGATTAGTATAATAGATCAAATACTTATAAGAAAACTTAGTAGTTAACATAGCCTCTACAGATTCTTGTAAGGCTTCTATTACGCTTCTCTAGACTCGGAATTTAGGGCGTAGCTAAAGTATAATCTCCTTTACTAGCCTTACAAAAGGTACTTATAGTATTAATAGTTCGGTAGTCTTTTAGTACTTTCTTATTTCTCTTAGCGCTATAGCTATTAAATTTGTTAGTAGAGTTTTTATACTAATCTTTATACTAATTAACTTACTGCCTAGTTTAAATCTTTATCTTCTAGCCTAAGGGTTTAGACTATTCGGCTAGTTAGGCTAGTTAGGTTAGTTAGGCTGTCTAGAGAGCCTTTTACTAGATTAGGGGCGGCGTACTATAGCTCTTTTTAGTAGTATAGTTAGAGTGGCTTTTAGCTTTAGGCTTTACGCTATTTTATAATCGCGATCAACAAATAGTAGATAAGAAGACTAACAAAGTTAGTATAGTAAGAGGTATAGGGGGTAGGGGGGTAAGAGGGGGCCTGTATACCGAATTAAGGTTGGCTTAATAAAAGAAAGGTAGGTAAGTAGTAGAGAGTTGTCTATTTATATATTATAAAAATAAAGGCTCGGCAAATTTTTAGCAAAATCAATTTACTTTATAACTGACTGCCCTACTTATAGCGCTACAATAATAGTAACGCTATAACACTAGATAATATAATAAGAATAAGGACAGTAAGACGCGTTAAACGCGTCTATCTATTGTTTATTTTAATTATTATACTAATATTTCTACTAATCGCGTAAAAGAGTATTATAAAACATTATATAGAAAATTTTAAAGTATTATTTAAACTTATTACTAATTTACTTTTAAACCCCCCCCCTCTTTCTTTTTTTATCTTTATTTTATACCTATACTATTTAATAGTCTAAATATAGAACAAAGAGTCTAAAGAACTAAGAGTCTATTAAATTAGCCTAAATATTAAACAAAGAGTCTAAAAGTAAAGTTATAGCCTAAATATTAAACAAAGAGTTTAAAAGTAAATTGATTTTACTAAACATTTTTTGCTTCTACTACCCTACCTCTTTTACTACTACCCTACCTTTACAATAACAACAACAACAACAACAACAATAGGTATAGTTTACGTGTCGATCTATACTAATCATTATACTAATCATTAATACAGTTGATTAATAACAACAACGACCTGATCCGTAGCTTACCTTTTAAAGAACCCTTTGATTAATCTATAGCTCCTTCCTTTTAAAGAATTCTTTTGATTAATCCGTAGCTCTCTCCTTTTAAAGAATTATTTTGATTAATCTATAGCTTACCTCCTTTTAAAGAATTCTTTTGATTAATCCGTAGCTCCCTCCTTTTAAAGAATTCTTTTGATTAATCCGTAGCTTTTCTCCTTTCTAAGAATTCCTTTAATTAATCCGTGGCTTTCCTCTTTTTAAAGAATTCCTTTAACATAGATACAAGAAGGCATATAGTAGGTATAAGTTTACGTATCGATCTATACTAATCATTATACTAATTAATAACACAGTCAAATTTTAATAACTACAATAGTAACAATAGATAACGGTAACGGCAGAAACTTAAAGCGTAAGGCTATAGAAGAGCTCTCGACAAACCTAAACACAATTAAGGTACAAAAGCGCTAGGACACAGACGACAAAGTCGTTAAAAAGATTAATAAAGTAAAAGCTACTAACTAGAGGGCTGTAACATACGCTAAGAAGAAAGTAAAAGAGACATCTAGATTTATTAGTACATCTAATGTATAGAAACAACAGATACTTAACGATATAAGAGACTAAGTTCTGTTATAAAGGTATGTTTAACTTCTATATACTAAGGTATTTTATACTAATCTTTATACTAATCGATATTAGATCGCGAACAGGAAAGGACTAGAAGACCTTAGCTTAAGAGCTAGGCTATAGCGAGATTAGTAGATAATTTACTATTAAAGATAATAGAAATCTTACCTAAGAAGATATCGACTTTAAAGAAGAAAATACTACGTAATATAAAGAGATATAGC